ATAAAAGCCTTCTAAAAAATTTCCTTTTAATATTTTGTTTGTAATTTATTTCATTAAGGTAAAATAACTGAAGACGATGAAAAAAAAAATATTCGTTCACTCATTGTAAATGCAAATTAGAGCAAAATTCTTTTATGGCGTTTGAAAGATAATTATTCTCGTGACTGATATTCTTGATCGTGATTTTAATTATTTGAATTTCATTTAAATAACACCGTTTGTTCATGAATTCAATGAGAATGTCTTTGGACATCGTGCACGAATATTTTCAAGGAAAACTAATTTAAAATAAAAAAATTTAATAACTAGAGATTCATAAACTAAAATGATTTTAGAAAGAATCATTTTATGCTTTGGTGTTGTGACATGTGAGATTAGAAAAAACTTTCGTTTTGTTAACCAGAACCTAATTGAATTTTTAAATTGCAGCATTTGCTTCTGCTGTAAATTGGTGGCCACAAAGCCCGAGCGGCACAAGCGGAGATTCTGCCAAAATTGCCTTTAAAATCGCTTAATTTTCCTTCAAGGATGCGGGTAGGACGGTTTTTCGTCACCGCATGTAAAAATTTCACGGAATCTGCTGAAGGCAAGCTATAGGCATTCAAGCGGAAAGCTTGTGCCGCTCGGGAAGTAAAAGAAAAAATTCTTCAACAAATTTAATTTCTACTTAAAATTTGTTTAAATAATTTTATAGGTTGTCCAGGCAATGAACTTTTTCAAAAATGCGGACCAGGATGTGGAGATCTTACTTGTAGAAACTACGAGCATCCGCCTGTTTGCCATGAAGAGTGTAAACCTGGATGTTATTGTCCTCCTGAATGCGTGAGAGATGATGAAAATAAATGTGTTTTAAAAAAAACTTGTGGTAAGCATTTTGATAAAAATTGGAAACGCTACAAGGGTTCGTTTTATTGGATCATCATTAATATTCATTTTCCTATACAAAACAAGTTAAATGTGGACCTAATGAACACTACGAATCATGTGGATCCATGTGTGGTGACTTTAATTGTGAAAATCCAACATTTGCTGACAGAATTTGCCCTGCTGGTTGCAAAAAAGGATGTTTCTGTGATAAAGGTTTTGTCAGAGGTCCTGACGGAAAATGCATTCCTTACAAAGAATGCTTCAAACTGTGTACACGGGCACATGAACTTTTCACACAGTGTGGTGCTAATTGTGAGAAGCATTGCAATGATCCTTTCAATCTGGATCCAATTTGTCCGGATACTTGCGAATCCGGTTGCGTTTGTAAAGATGGATATTTGAGAAAAAATAAAAAATGTGTTCCAATTCACAAATGTAGAAGACATGGTAAGTGACATGATGAATTTAAACCTAGAAAATTAATTCACATAATCATTCCACATTAGAATGCAAAAAGAAGAGACATCAAACATATCTTGAATGTGGATTCCCATGCGAGCGAAGTTGTGACCGACTTGAACCATTTTTCTGTCATGAAACATGTGGTCCCGGCTGTTTCTGTAAGCAAGGTTACGTCCGAGATGATCATGGTGAATGTATTAAACCGAAACATTGCAATCAAGGTAATAAAAATAAAATTGCATTTGAACTATTTGAGAAAACCTTTTAAATTTTGACAGAATGTGGTAAAGATGAAATCTTTCAAGTGTGTGGCCCACCATGTGGTGATCTTACCTGCAAAAACTTCAATCATCCTCCTGAATGTCATTCAGGATGTCATCCTGGATGTTATTGCCGTGAAGGATGTGTCAGGAATAAACACGATGAATGTGTTCCAATAACTGAATGTGAAAATTGGTAAAAATGAAAATTTGAATAAATTGTTCAAGCAGCTTAAATATCTTTAATTGCGAAGACAAATGAAATAAAAATTTTATTGTGTATTCAAATAAACTTTTGTTTGTTTGTTTGTTTAAATTTTATTTTTAAGTTTTGTAAATTATTTTGTGACGTTATTTTGAAATGCTTCAACTTCCAGATATTTCAGCTTCTGTATAAGAATTTATTAGATGTGAAAGAATTAGGTATGTAATGAATTTAATTTAAATTCCATTACATTTCAAAGAGAAATTTGTAAAAATAAAATTAAATAATAACGGATTTTAAAATTTCGAATTAAATTTGAACGGATTATCTATTTTCTATTTCTACTGAACGCACTCAACATGTCAAATTAACGTTAGTGGCTTGTTTGTTTACAAAAATTTCGAGACGCTTCATTCTCATTAAAACAAGAAATATCATCACAATTTAAGCATTTAAAGTTTAATGTTTCTGTAAAGTGTTTTAAAAGAGTTAAGCTGAGTGGAAATATGGATGTCTCACACATTTGTCGCGTTTGTCTTGCTTCAAAAGAAGAAACCATAAATATTTTCTCTCAATCTGATTATTTGGATATGAGTTTCAGTGATATTATTCAACAAATATCATCATTAAATGTAGATTTTAACGACCAACTTTCGAAGAACATCTGTTTGTCATGTAAAGACTTTTGTAATGATTACTTAAAGTTCAGAGAAATGATAATAAATTCTAATGAGTATCAAAATTCATTAATCGTGAAAGAGGAAATCAGTGAATACGAACTAGAGACAATGAAAATAGAAACTGTAGATGGTTCTGAAATCCAGTTTCTTGAAATAAATGAAGAGCATTTGACTGAAGATGACACGAATATTTCTGCTGCTAACAGTGATATTTGTAATGATACAGAATATGTGATTGGTGATGAAATTATCGACACTGAAGACGATGATTTTGTTGAAATGGCCTCCACTGATGACTTAGAAATAAAGCAATCTCCAAAAAGGAAATCTTCATCGAAAACGCGCCTCCATTCATGCGATGTTTGCAAGAGAAAATTCACCACAGCTGATCTTTTGACACGACATGAAGTCATCCATTCAAATCTCATCACACAAATAAGAGAAGAAGATAAGATGCATTGCATTATTTGTCAGAAGAAATTTGATGATGTAACTGAGAAAGAAGAGCATATGCGGGATCATAAGCTCAGCATGGAATCGGAAGCGATTTCTTGTCAATATTGCAATAAATCTTACAATAAATTTAACAGTTTCATTCGTCATTTGAAGACGCACGAGGAGAACAAAACGCATGAATGTAATGTTTGTAAACGAACTTTTGCATTGGGACAAGACTTGATTGATCATCTCAATGGACATAAAGGATACAAACCACACAAATGTCACATCTGTAATAAATCTTATCTTCAAATAACAAAACTAAAAGTTCATCTCAAAACACATAGCACTGATCGGGTAACAAAAATTACTTTAAATATTAATTTAAAATTTTTAAATTATTTTTTTCTTTAAGGATCTTTTATGCACTCAATGTGGAAAGAGCTTCACACGTCACAGCAATCTTCGTCAACATTTGCTTCGTCATTCCGGAGAGAAAAAGTTCCACTGCACCCAATGTCCAGCAAAGTTTGTATCCAAAGGAAATCTTAAAGCTCACATGTCAGCTCATACAAATACCAAACCTTACAAATGTGAAACATGCGGATCCTCTTTTACTCAACCTTATTCCTTAGTCAAGCACAACAGAATTCATTCGGGTGAACGTCCATTTGTTGTGAGTAATCAAATTTGATAAAAATTATCAAAAAGTCATTAAATTCTTTCTTCAACAGTGCGAGTTTTGTGATATGAGATTTTACTCTTCTGATCATCTTAAAAGGCATATAAGAACTCACACAGGTGAATTGAAAATAAAAGATTTAAAAAATTTTAATAACTTTTTCTTAATTTCCTTTTAAAGGTGAAAAGCCATACAAATGTGAATTCTGTCCGAAAGCTTTTGCACAAAACGGAGATCTCAACAAACATAAACGAACACATATAGGAAAGAACACCTATAAATGTTCCGAAGCTGGATGTCCAGAAGCTTTTCGCCTTCTCGCTGAATTGAGAGACCACATGAAAGTTCATTACTGTAAAGAATTTAATTTTGCAGAAACTGAAACTGAAATGTTGAACGACGTCGATTGCTCCAAAGATGAATAGAAAGAAATTAAATTAAATTCTCACTTTTATTTATTTTTAAATAAATCCAAAGTTTTAATTTCCCGGAACAATCAAAGATGCGCCGGAATAAATTATTTCATTCTTATTAAGCAAAGTGTTAAGTTTTATTGTGCATAAAAGTTTCTCACGAAGGTTCGTCGCATAAAGTGGAATTGCGTGGGTGTTGTGATCATCTTCATCACTTGATGAGCTTGAAGAATTTTCTTTGAAGAGAATGAAAATGTCTGAAGTAAAATTGTTAGTCGCATTTGTTCCATCAGATTTAATTAAGCGATTATTTTCAAAGCTTAATCCATCGATGATCACAGGTGCAATCCTGATGACGAGAGTTTGACTCGATTTCAATTTTGAGAGTCGCCCTTCGTCAGTAAATGATTCCAAGTTTAAGTCACTTGCTGATATCTTCAGATGACGAGAAGAAACCAATTTAACAGTCGATAAGAATGAATCAACATGGAAGATTTTCGCAAAGTCAACATCGCTAATTGAGTCGTCAAGGTTGTCGAGATAATTCATGACTGCTTGCACTCTTACGCCAACTGATTTAAGAAACTCAGATGCAAGTTTCGATCCTTGCCAAAGCTTTCTCCATTCATAGGGCACAACATTGTCACTTAAAGTCACCAAAACACTTTTATCACCATCAGTTATCGAATTCAAGTCGATTGAAGAAAATTTCGATAAAGTTTGTGAAATATTTTGAACGAGTTGAATAGCAAGATGAATTTCTGATAGTTTGAAAAGTCTCCAAGGATTGACATCGTCTAATGAATCTTGTCTGACATTCTCCAATTCAGAAATGTTGAAAGTCTAAAGAAAAAGAAATTCAAATGACAAATGACCCAAGAAAATTTATTTTTTCCACTCACATTTGTCAGCTTTCGCCACAAACTCATCAACGGTTTGATTCGTTTCTCATAATTCTCACTCTCATCAATGTTGAAGTAAATTTTCCTTAAATCTCTCAACAAATTTCGACAGAAAGTGATGTTCCTTGTCACTGATGATGATGGAGACAAACCAAACATTTCAGGCTTTGAATCATTCGATTCAATTTTGAGGAAAACGCTTTGATATTCCTCAAAGTTGTTCGAATTTGGAATCGCAATTTCAAGTGACTTTGGTGTCCATTTTCCGGTCATGATTTTGTTATCAAAATATTCGTTGATAAGTGCGATGATTTTCTGTAATTTAATCGTTATTTATTGGAAGTTTCTATAAATTTATTCAAATTTCACCTCAAAATCTTGAACATTATCAACACGACCACCATACACAATCTTCTCTAATAAACCTTTCAAGACAACCCAATCAAGATTGTAAGATTTTCCTGTCACTGCAACAATGAAGTCGATCGCAGCCTTCACATCAGCATCACCAAACTCGTACCATTTGCACCAACCTTGTGGAATGAAATTTCTCCGCTCTTGAAGAATCGAGTGAAGAATGAAAAGTGCAATGAAAAGTTTCATGTGACGATAGTCACGTTTGTCACGAACAATCGCTTGATGCTGTTCAAGAAGATGGAAAATTTTATGTTTTATTCCATTTGGTGGTTCCATCAAAATTTTCTTAAACTTGTTGAGTTGATTTTTCGGAATGTTTCTATCAGATTCGCAAACATAAATAATTCTGAAATTCTCATGAATTTGAGTTGTTTTGAGTTTTTGATCAATTTTCTGCAGAAATTGTGGCATCAAATGAACATTCTTAACACAAATTACTTCGCCTTTCTCTGCGCCACGTTGAACAAGATTTAAGTTTGACGCATCTTGACCTTTTCCAACATAAATTTCTTTATAATTTTTAATTCCAACTGTTGAGGCAGCAAATTCTTTGATTTCATTTGTTGGATCAGCGCCATTAGAAGCAACAACAAGAATCGCTTCATGACTTTCAACTTCTGTCAACAATTGCTTCATTCCTGACTGTGTAAATGAATCATTTTGTAGTCTTAAAAGATTTGCTGTCGTTTGATTAATCGTCGTCAGAAGATGATCAGGCCTGAAAATTTGATAAATCAAAAGTCTTTGAAAATCTGTCGTTTGAATGTTTGGAAAATATTTTTGAACGTTGTCAGTTGCTTCGATAAATTGTCGCCATTCAAAATCATTCTCAAAGTTAAGTTGCTGATAAAATTTCGGATGTTGATTCTTCAAAGATGAAATCTTTGGAATTAATTCTTTCTTGATCCATTTTGGAATGTTGTGATCAATAATTGAGTCTGAATCAGCAAAATTGAAGATGAACATTTCCCATTCAATGTCTGGAACTTTCTTCGCGAACGCACATTTGCAAATGTTCAATCCAAGCTGAACTTGTTCTGACTTTTTAATTGAACGATTAAGCAGCAAATAAGTTTTCTTAACAATTTCAACAAAAGGATCTGACAAATCTTCATAAGCTTTCTGCTTGTCCAAGACTTCAAGGAAAATATTTGTGAACGATTTTGCATCAATTTCATAAATCTTTGAGATTCCAACATAAAACGACGCTGATTGATTGCAAATCTCCTTAAATTGATTATAATTATCAAGAAGTTTGACACGAATGTCGTGACTTTCATTCAAAGACTTCTCAATTCCAATGCTGCTTTCCTTGATCTGATTCAAAGTCGCCAAAAGTTTCTCATTCTTGAGAATGTCACCTTCAGCATGAGAAAGTTCTTCAAGGAGTTTATCTTGTAATTGAATCTTTTCTTGCATTAATTTTCCTTCATTCTGAAGAAGTTCGATGCGCTTTTTCTCAGTGTCGGGATGTTTCATTGAAATCCATTTCGTCATGAGTTGATCTGTGTAAAGATTTATTTAAATTTTAAAATTAAAAGCATTTGAAATTTTTACCAGTCAATCCAGAAGTTGTCAATGTGAATGGAATTATCGTCACATTTGCATTAACATCTCCATTTAATTGTTTGATCTCCGAACTTGTCACGAGAATTAAACGAAAATCTTCATGCAAATCGATTAATTTGTTCCCTATTTGAATCATTTTTTTGTTAAATCGACATTGAATTCTCATCGATATTAATGCAAGTAAAGCTGCTGTCATTTGAAGTGAAACATCGTCGATGATCAAAACTTTCCCAAATCGTACACCAAGTTCAAGATTGTAAGTGAAACGTTCATCATTTTGATTGAGAACTTCGAATTTCATGTTGGATTTTGATTTGAGATATTTTGTCAGCCATTTTAAAGCACTTCCACTTTGGTCAAGAATCAAAGGAATTGGAGTTGATGTGAAAGGAAGTTCAAGAAACTAAAATGAAAGTTGTTAAATATCTTAATGGAAAATTTAATCAAAATTCAAACCTTTGTTAAAAGTGAAGCATTCTCAACTGATTGCATGTCCGATGACAATCCCATGCTTTCCCAAACCAACTTATCTTGATCCGAATATAAAGTCACGTGAAGATTAAAATTCACATTCAAAATTTCGCTGATTAATTCCAAATATTTCGCTCGTTCTTCTTCTAACATGTGAGAGAAATGTGTGAGACACAAAGCAATCATCATCGATTGCTTATCAAGGTTTTCAATTTCCTTGTTGATGCTTTCAAGTTCTTCACTCCAGTTTTTATATTCGGAACTCAATTTTTCAACAAGCACTTCAGTTGACTTTAACGTGTTTCTTGTGTCTTCGAGTTTTATCTCAAGAACAGCTGCTTCTTGTGTATATCCATTCAATTGTTCTGATAACTCTTTAACTTTAACATTGACATCATCAATCCCCGTTGATAGCGATTTCATTTGATTCTCAGTATGTTCAAGATTCCTTTCAAGCTCTTGTTGTTCTCTCTCCAAAGGTTTAATGCTTTGAATAACTTTTGAATACTTGACACATGCAACAACCCAAGAAGCAAGTGGAGCAGCAGCAACTGAAGCTCGTTTCGCATTTTTAAAGTCGAAAGATTCAGATTTCATTTCAATTAAACGTTCAACTTCAGCGCAGTTTTCAGGAGTAATCAAGCTTGGATTAAGTGATCGAATGTCTTCTTTAACCCCACGTTTAGCCAGAAAAGATTTCATGCTGTTCCAGGAAGTGTCACGAATTCCCATGAGTCTTAAGACACCTTCCAAGATGTCACGAATAGTTTCTGGTGGTGCTCGAAGTGATCTAATTTCTGCCAATGCTTCTGTCTTAATGGAACCAACAGCTGCACTTGCTTCCTTTAAGAGAGGCTCAACAAGACTCAATTCTTCTTCAATCTCCAACTTTCGTTGTTTCAAAATTTCTCCATTTTCTTCAGTTTTCGTTTTTAATTTTATCATGTCGGTTTTCTGATCGCTTGCATTCTTCATCGTACTTGAAATCATTTGAAGTGCTTGATTAGCCAATTGGCGTTTCTCAGCCAAAGCCTTTTCTTTCTCTTTAGCATCATCTTTCAATTTAGCGACGTATTTGTAAGCATCGGAAAGCTTTTGAATTCCACACTCAAGTTTTGATTTGTGATCCAATTTCTTCCTCTCACTCTGATTGTGGATTAAGAAATAAGATTTGATTAACTGAATTGATCGCTTTGGGGAGTCAATCCAAGATCCACAATCGCTGATCACACTTTCGAAATATTTTGTTGATAATGTTGAGTTGTTTGTGAACTTCAAAGTCGTGTCATTCTTCATTTGCTTAATGACACTTTCGCAAAGAATATTTTTAGTTTGATTTGAATTATCTGGTAACCAAATGAACTCGGTTTTTGCATAGAGCGACTTGTAAGTTTTCAAAATTTCTTGAAAGTTTGTTGAGGTGATTTCAAGTGCAATAACCAGATGGAAATTACTTCGAACACCTTGAATGAAGAAAAGTTGTTAACGAAATGATTTCAACATAAAATTTAACTCACGTTTTAAAAAGAAGGAAATTAAACTGTCTTGATATCCTTCAAGTTGTGCAGCACCTTTTAAAGAGCTTGCGATTGTTTCTAAATCTTCGCCAAAGAGATTATCATTTCTAAATCCATCTTCAAGAATTGCTTCGCAAGATTTTAAAATATCTTCGAAGTAATTAATCCAAACTTGATCGATGTAAAAGATTGCGACTTCATTCTCCAATCCACATGTTTGCATAACAATCTTCAAGTCGTTGGAAAAGTCGTTGAGTGAATAATTTCGTGTAACTTGTGGATAAAACATTTTGATGTTGAGTATTGTTGAAGCCAAAACAGTTGATTCAAATCGTCCTGATCCAAGTTTCCCAGCTAAACAAATGTTTGTTCCATAGCGAGTTAAAGCTCTCACAATAGAAGCAACTGACTTTGTTATCTCTTCAGTCACTGGTAAGTCGATTAAAGCTGTTTCTGAATTACAAATTGGAAGATTTTTCTCAACCAAATCTTTCCAATTGCTCGCATCGATCATTTGAAGTTGCGACGACTTTGCTGAAGTTTGAATGAAAAATGTTTCATTTTCGTCAAACTTTGTATCGAAGAATTTTCCAACATTTCTCAAAATGTCATTGAAAGTTGTTTTATGTTCAATCGACATTAAGCGATCACCAAAAATCTTTGTGAATTCATAAACAAAACTATAAGAAAACTGATCAATTGAATAATTTTCGAGTCCAATTATCCACATTTCAATCATTTTTGGTGTGAATTTGTAATGATTACTCATATCTGGTGTGAAATTCTGTTTAATCTCATTGAAAGCATCAAGAATGACTTCTGCAAGTTTTTCCTTCCTCATCAGAATTGAATTATTCTTGAACTTATTGTAAATGAAAGTTAAAAAGTTCACAATGATGTTTTGCATGTCACTTTCAGTTGGATAACTTGTTAAGATGATGTTACATTTTGAAATGAATCGTGGCGATAAGTTTTGTTTATTTAAATCCGAAAGTGTTCCACAAACTTGCAAGCCACTGATGCTGATCCATTCAAGATTTTCTCCATAAAATCCACTTCTGTTGATGATTTGCAGCAAAAGTTCGATGACATCGCTTGAACCCCAAGAATCAATCGGACACAAGTCAATGTTCTTCATGAACAAAACAAGTCTCGACAGCTTCGGTTTGAATTCCTTCCCTCGAATTCCAGACACGATTAAACAATTTTGCTTCAGAACATGAAGAAGTTGACTCGCATTCAATTGAGCGCTGCAATTGATGGTCACTAATTGATAGCCTGTAAATTCAGAAACTATCGAATTGATCGTCAAAGCTTTTGCATTTCCATTCGCACCAACAATTAGAAAAGCTGGTCGATCTTCATTCTTCAGAATATTTCGAAGCAAATCGCAATTGGATTTGATTGAAGCTGTTTTGAATAAAGTTGTAGTGTAACTTTGATCATTGAACGTCGTTTCATTGGGGACGTCATCAGTTGTGTAAATGTCAGTAATATTCCTGAATTTATTATAGTAAAGATTCTCTGCTTGATTAGGATTGCTGACGTAAATGTTGTTATGATCGAGAATCTGAAATCATTTTAAAATTCCATTTAACAATTTCCCATTGTCGCTAATTTTCCCCCAAACTCACCGCATTTGTAAATTCATTTCGTTGCTTCCCTTCAATCATTGCATTGCATGCTTTGATCAATTCAACTACAAACTCTTCATTAGAATCAATATTTGGCAAAACATTAAGAATGTTCTTCACCACACTTATTCGGCCGACTTTTGAAGAACTGAAAATAAAATTTTAATTAACTTTAAATCAATTTTAATGAAAATTTTCAATTTACATTTCTGAAACTTCTTCAAACTTGTCTAAAACGTGATTAAAATATTTCTCAACCAGCAATTGTGCTGTGTCAGGGTTGGACTGAACAGCAATCCAAGGATTTATCAATAATTCTGATGGCAAATCTTCTGAGCTGAATTTTATGATTCCCATTCGTGAAATTGTAGCAGGCGATGCGTTAATCAAGTCATGCGTCTCAAATATGAAATTCACATTATTGCCAAACTGAATTCGCCAACCCGAAGGTAAAGTTAGAAGTTTGTTGTCATCTAAGACAGAGTTGAGTGCTTCAATCCATTCAGGATCGACATCACCATCGCAAATAATCCAAGATGTCACCTCAGTTGGTTCACTATTCACAGCGATTGCTGTTTGCGTCAAAACTCCATCATACCACTGACGAGTGTTGATGTCTAAGTTGCCTAAAAGTTGCGATCGTTCCATAGATTTCGGTGAAATTATGTAAGTTCGAATAGTCTTCGACAGCGAAGTTAAAACTGATTTTAAGAGGCTAATCACAGTACTTTTACCAGAACTTGGCGGACCAAGCACAGCAACTCCAATTCTCTTACTCAATTGCTCGTATAATTCAATACATTTATCAACTTGTCGTTCATTTTTACTCATTCCCATCATTTGCAATGCTTCGACAATTTTATTCCGGAATTCTTCATTCACATCTGTATTCAAATTCAACTGAGGGAAAACATCTTCCAGAAGCATATTAAAGCGCTTGCAGTCATTTAATGTTAATTTTGACATCACATTAGGCTTCAATGATTGCACGACAACTTCCATCTCATCTTCAAATGAAAGTTCTTTATCCATTTGTCTTGACAAACTCAAAGACCTTCCACAGGCACTTAAAACAGTTTTAAGTTCACGAAGTCCCCAATCGTAATGTCGTTGCGGTGACAAAAGTTTGCTACGTAAAAAATGTTTTTAAGACAAAAATCTTTCAAAGAAACTTTTCTTACCTTGACAAATCGAATAATTCAACGATTCGTCTTCCAATTTCTTCAGCATTCTTAAATCCTTCAATGAACAGCATAACTTTTGCAATCTCCTTAGGCTCTGGTTGTTGCATAACAATTGGACGGAACAAAGCTTGTAAATTAGATGGCAATTGATTTCTTCCACCGTAATCTTCGTCAGCTGGGTTGAGTGTCACAAAGATGCATGAATGACGATTTAAAGGAATCTAAATAAAGAATTTTATCAAGAATTCACTGCAATTAACATATTTAAAGTTTCTCACATTTTTATCCAGAAGATTGACAAATTCTTGTTTCTCTTTTAACGAAATTTGAAGCGGTTGAATCAACATTGCGATTGCTGATAAGGTTTCTTCTTGCAAACGATTAAATTCATCAAAACATCCCCAAGCACCACATCGTGAGATGCCAGTTAAAATCAAAGCCATGGCTGATGTGTCAATATTTTCATTACAATTAAATACTAAAACCATTCGACCCAACATCGCTCCGAGCGATTTAACACATTCGGTCTTTCCAGTTCCAGCTCGTCCGAATGGATTTCCACCCAATCCAAGATACATCGCTTGTGTTAATGTCAAATAGCAGTTGTGAGTTAAAGCTGTGTACACAAGTTTGTTGTAATTACCGAGAAATTCGTAAGAATATTCAAATTCAGCATTGACAACAACGACGGAGATTCCTTCAGTCGTTGAGTTGTAATAAAATTTAATTTGTTGCAACCAATGCCAGTCATTAAGATTTGTCACATTATGTTTAATCAAATATTGAATTGTCGTAACATGATGAACCATGTCAAACAAAAGTGCTCGAATCTTAAGTTGTGTCAGAAAATTTTCTGATTTTTGAAGTAGCAACGAAAATTTGCTGATGTCACTTTTAATCGAGATTAAAATTTTCTCCAAACTCATTGTCGTTATTGCTTTCTCCAACTTTCCAGTGAAATTTACTGAATTTATTAAGCAAAGAATTTGCATCGGGAACTTTTCAATTGTTTCAATCGACAAATCATTCCTTTGATAACAAATTTTAATTAAATTCTTCAATGTCAATTTCAATTCATTGTCTAAACTGCTTAGCCATGACTCGACAGCAGCATCATTTGTTAAAATCTCATTAGAAAGCTGCATGTAATCATTTTCCGCACTTCTAACTCCTTTAATTTGCATGTTCCTGTCAACAATTTCTAACTCAAGCTTGCTGACTCCCGGGAAAAGTTTGCTGACATGCTTTTGGAGAATATTTTCTTTATTTGATTGCCCTAAAATCTCCAATAAATCATCATCACTGAGAAAGTAAAAGCGTGGAAATAAATCTCGTTTGCCAGTCATGTAAGCTGTCAAAGTGTTCTGACAATGCTGCAGCTGATTCAGCAACGATTCAATAATCATTTGAATGTTGTTGATCTTACTCAGCGAAATAACTTTCGGATTATTTGCAATGTCTCTCATAATGTAACGAAAATCTTTGTCGATTCGATGAAATGAAGTGTCGCCACTTCTTAACGTTCCATTTGAGAAAATTGGTTCAAGATAAATCCACTTCTTCTGAATCTGGCATAAATTATTCAAAATGAAGCTCAGCATGTTGAGTTTGTTCTCCCAAAGTTCAATTTGATCAGTGAATGAGTCAATTGCTGCAGTGTTCTTAGCAGACTGCAACAAACTTTGATTATCACCAATCTTGCTTAAAGCTTCTTGAAAGTCTTTAATCAGCATAATTGTTTCGCTTTTACTGTCAACATGAGTGAAGAGTTTCAAGTTGGCAACAACTGACCATTGCTCCAATTCTGTGATTGCTTGTCGAACGATTTGTTCGGAATAAGCTTGATGAACAATAACTTTGATCTCATTCGAATTTTCTTCCAATTTTGAAGCATGTTTAAGAACGTCGACGAGTTTAATGTCGTGATATGATTTCGGTGGCAATCCAATGATGTTAAAAATATTCGCCCAATGTTTGTCACTCAATGAATCCGATTGCAACATGGTCAATGTTGGCATAATATTTCGATAATTATCGATTTGCTTCTTGATTCTCATAGCTGGAACTGTGATCATATTTCCCACCTGATTTTCCCATTTCGAAAGGAAGTCTGCAAAAATGTAAGGCTTACGTCGATAAATTGACCATTCTTCTTGTTCAATTGATTCATAATCAGAGAAAAATTCTTCGAAAATCGTCCACTGTTCGCCATGCCGTTTAACTTCGTCTTCAATCTTTTTAAAGTTTTCACTTAAATCTTTCGTGAATGAAGCATTGAACTTTTCACATTCAGCTATCATTGCATCTCGTCTTTCAACAAACTCATTCCATTGTTGCTTTCTCTCCCTAAACACTTCAAAGTCACCATCTGGGTTTGCTTCCAAATCCTTCAAAGTGTCTTCCCATTTTATCAAAAACTTTTCAGCATCTTCATTCAGATTTACGATTTTTCCAAGGAGAGTTTCTTTAATGACTTCAATTTGTCCTTGCAGGAGAACATGATGATTCTCAATCAGTGGTAAAAGCTTCTCCCATTTATTAATTAAAGAATCTAGAGATCCCACAGTCTCTCTACACCAACCAGCTAAGCAAGTGTTCTTACTTTGAACGCTTTTAAGAAGTTCTGTCATCTGAAATTTAATTAATTATTTCATTAAATTTAGCAAAATATTTTGTTATCAATTTCAATCACCCTCGGCAAATCTTCAACAATCTTTTCGTATTTAAAACTCGTTGAAATAATTCCAGTCTCGTCATTCGGAATATGTTGAAGAACATTCAAAGCCGTTGTAATGTATTCATGTAATGTCGAATTGTCATCTAAAATTGATGATCTTAAAGTGATTGAAAGCGTCTCCCAGAAGCTTCTTGCAATGTATTCAATATGTGATCTCACTGGCGCTACATTCACGACAAAGCAATCGATTCTCTCTTCAGAACTGGAAAATTTTAATAAATTAATGGAAGAATTTTAAGAATAATTAAACTCACTTCTGAATCTTTGCAATTTTTTGACTGAAATTCTTGCATGCTTTGAAATTCTTGTCCCAATTTTCCCAACTGTTCAAATGTACTTGACAAAGATTCTCGAGATTCACGCAACCAATGGACACCCAAGGAAGCCACAAATCACGAAACTCGCACAATCTTTGAAAGTTTCTCTCCGCACGATCATAAAGCGATTTGAATCTTGATCGATTTCGTTCAACCATAACTTGGAAAATTTTATTGCTGTTGTCAGAGAAGCCATGAAAATGCAAAGGCATTTCCACATACTTTCTAAGTTGTGAATAGTACTGGAATCGGATTTCTTCTAACGTCGGTCGGAACTGCAATTGTTGTTGTCGAAACACAATATCAATGTTGATATCCGGAAGTTTCTCTTTACTGTCGATCAAGAAGAAGATTAATTGATGCTCGAGTGCTTTGTAAAGTTGATAATCCCAATGAAGTTTGAACAAATGAAGGTTTGTGTAACCTTTTCGTTCGAGTGTCGCCATCAAATCTCTGAGATGTTTCAATTCATCTTTCCAGACATTTGATTGTTTAAGAAGATCGGTGTTCATGAGTTTTATAATCTATTGGAAGATATAATTTTTGTATTTGAATGTTAATTAAAGAAAAGTTTTCACTCACCGATTTCTTAAAGTTTTCATGATAACCCGAAAGCAAATTGTTGTCTCTTGATAAAGTGTTGATCGCTTCTTGTAACACTAAAATGTATTTCTTCACCGACTCTTCATCGTTCCATGACACTGACTGACTTTTAACTAAGTTTGATAATTCTTTTGCATTTTTAAGCATGATTGGTCTTTGACATGGAACTATTCGGTCGCCGATAGTGTTGTGGAAGTTTGAAATTTGTTGTAGATTTCTAGCGTATTTGATGTACTTCCTACCGATATTGCCATACTTAACAAGTTCGTTTGGAATGTTGTTGAATCCAAAGTTCTTCAAGTATCGGATGTCTTGACAAAATACCAAAAGTTTTGGATTGTAAGTGACAGTCATAAGTTGTCGATCTTTCTTCTCAAATTTCACTACTGGTTCGTTGTCTTTGAGAACCAAATCACCGCTTACAACTGATGACGATGATTGTTCACACCACTGATCGAAGTTCTGTTTCAATGAATTTTCCATTTCCGATTGAAACTCTGTGAGATTTTTCATCAATTCCTGATAATCTTCACGATCGTAGAGAACACTTTGACAAATTTGATTGACTTGTTGCACTTGATATTCGATGATCTTCAACCATTTAATTTCAGACACTAATGGCGACACATCATTGTCGTCATCATGTGGATTTTTCTTACTATCAGCAAGAGCTTGATGCAATTGCTTAAAGAAAATCAACATCGAATGATGCAAATGATCGCATTCAATTCTCAACGCATCTTTAATCTTTTGTCGTCTTAAAATGTTTTCATATTTTGAGAAAATGTAAATGACTTGACGTGGATTGTTGAGCGCGTTTTGAATTGAAAATTTGATGTTCATTGCAATCTTCTCGTCAATATTCGACAAAGATTGTTCAAATTTACTTTTTGCTGTGTTCCAATACTTTTCGCCAATTGGTGTTGTGTCAAAGACGTTAATGTCACGAAAGCTGTGAAAATAATCGCGTGACTTCAGATCAATTGTTTCATCTTCCGAGCTTAAAATTGAGATTTGTTTATGAACGTTTTTAATGTCTAAAATCTCATCAACTCTCGTTTTAAATTTCGTGATTAAATTTGGTATGTAAGGCTTTCCACTCCATGAATGTTGCTCACAATTCGTCCAAAACAATCTCGTGAGTGAATCACAAACTTGAATCCAATTGTTCATAATTTCCATAACATGTCCAATCAATTCATTCAAGTTCATTGAACTTGTACTCCAAATGTCGTCTTGCTGATTCATGTCGTCAACACAACAAACAATAATCAATGACGACAGAACATCGATAATCGAAATCATTCGATTTTGAGGGTATTGAAAGTTTGGAACCCTCCAAAGTTCATCAAGAATGTACTGAGTTCGGTCAATCAAATCCTCAAGATTTCTTAACTTATGATTCGTTTTCAGCTTCATGAAGTCTTCAATAATTCCATTGAGATTATTTAAATGTTCGCTGAATATTCTCGCAGCTTCTTTGTCAGATTTTGTTTGTGCCACTTCCGTCTTCTGCTTCCAAAAGTAAATTTCATCTTTGACCGAAGTTATTCCTGTTTCAGCAACGCCCAAAGAAACGCTCAAGTTTGTTTGTAGGTTTTCAATTAGATTTATGACGTCATTTGAACATTCATTTTTCTAGATCAAGCGGAAGAAGAAGGAATTGAATGAAATTATAATAAATAAATAAAATCAAACTTAACACAGCATGATTGAGTTGAAATTTGTGTAGACCACGCAAAACGCAAGTCATTTTGGGAATTCCCTCATAAATAATTAATTATGAACTTACATTCAAGGCATTCGGTACAAAAATGGACGAAATTGAATTATATATCGATTTGACGATGCCTCCTTCCAAGGTTAACATTCCCAAGTCTGATCTTTGACTGTTTCCAAGTCCATTTTTGTCAATCTTTTGACTCTTATAGAACAGAAGAGTTCGTTCGTATTCATTAGGAATTTTATTCTGGAAGTGAAGTGACTTCCTTGTATCATTTAGAGATGCCGATAAGATCCTTTGACCATCATTCTCGAGGAAATCTTTTATGTATGAATCGTCAAAAGCATTCTCGAAATTTTGATTCAAATTGAAGAAGTTTGCTTTGAAATTTGAAATTCATTATTAAATTAAAATAAAGTTATTTCAATTAAAACTTACCTGAAGTATTCAAGATAAAATTGATTGGATCCATCTGAACTCGAATAGCTTCTGAAAAGTTCTGACTTTCTTTTTCATTTATTTGTTTGGTCACTTTCCTAAACAACTCGCCATGCCAACGATATTAAAATATTTCAAGGTCGCGAAAATCGTTTCCATAGCGATTACATTTCGGCGCGAAATATTTCTTTTCTTTCGACATAAGCATAAACATAAATAAGAATCACAAAAGCGTGAAGCATGTTTTCGTCGCGCCTTCATCAACAGAACATTCGAGGGGTTGGTGTGTGAGGGTGGCAGCTGCGTCTGTCGCTCATGCGCCGTCCACAAAAAGCACGTTTTTCTTATCATTGCACAATTTTCATTCTCAATTCTCTCTCAAATTCTCTCAGTTATTGTGAAGTCGTTCGACGAATTTTTCCACAAAAGATTTTCCTCTGTGATACATTTTTAAAGTTTTAGGATTTAAAAAATTCATTTTGATGTGGAAAAGTTGAAAAGTTCTGAGTAAAACATAAATGTGATTGAAGTTAAGCAAATGATAAACTCGAATGAACAAATTTTCTTTAGAAAATGATTGAATGAAGTCACAAACACATAAATTAAAAAAATGAATTGAAAATCTACAACTTTAAGAATTTTTTCATTACTGTTATGAATTGAAATATAAAATCAACAGAAACAAAATGGTTTTTGACAGATATTTGATAGAAAAGTGTTTGAAAGGAAGAAAAAACTTTAAAATATTTGTAAATAATGCGATCTAAGTTTATCAGAATGTTGCAATTTTATCGATTTTTCTTCACCCCATCCTTGCATTAAGGGATGATGTCGCTTCTCGTAAACACAACCCATCGCTAATAATAACAACACAATCAACATCTGTATACTAAATATGGAGAGAAGTGTTGCACTGTGTGCATGAAAATCTTTCCTTATTGGAAGCTTATGAAAAAGTGCATAAAGTGGATTATTTCAATAAAGTCGTTTAATAACTAAATTGTGAACAATTCTCAATATTATTTGGATTAACTAAGATGATATCGAACCAACAGCAACAACATCAGTCTAATAGTCTGGAAGTGACCAATAATTCGCTGTTGGTTACGAGTGGAACATCAGAAGAGCTGAACTTCACAGCTTTCATCGATCTATGTCGTTTTTGTTCCATTAAAATGGGACCGCGATTAAATCTCTTTGAAAAAGAAGCTGAACAAAGACAATTATTATTCAAAATAAGAACAATTTTACCAATTTCTATTGCCAAAGAAGATTTTCTACCGAAGAAAGTCTGTGAACGGTGCGTGAATAGAATCGAACAATTTTTTGAGTGGCGAACAAGTTGTGTTCAAACTGAAAGCATCTTCAAAAACTACGCGGAATCTATGAGAAACGTAACAGCAACAATAAACTTTCAAGTAAGTGAAATGTTGTAAATCTAACTCTTTGATATGTTTAATCTAACTCTTACTTTTTGATCTAACTCCAACTCTTTTAATCTAACTCTTACTTTTTAATCTAACTCCATTTATTTGGATTATTTCTTTCGTTTTAGGACGGAACAGTTAACATTGATAAAATGACACCAGCACAAAGACATGCATATGTTGATGCTCATATGACAGTTCAACAACATATAGCTCAAGCCAATCTGCATTATCAACAACAACATAACAGTTCAACATCACGTCAAGTAATAAAAGAAAATGATCAACAAAACAATCATCATTCAACGTCACAAGGATCAACAATGACAACGGTATCATCTCATCAACAATATACGTCGAATTTAAAAATCCCCCAAATATCTTCAAGTGCTTCAGCTTCTGCGACAACGTCGACATATACAACAGTTCCTGATGATGGCCTAGGATATGATAATGGAATAAGAGTTCTTCAATCACTTGGCAGTTGGACTGCTGACATTCCACCAAACATTCCACGTCCCAATCTAATTCCATTCACTGAGCCTTACGTTGAAGGTGGTTCCCTTAATCCAAACAGTCGTTTACTTCAACATCATCATCACACCACAAAACATCACGGAACATCAATAAGTACAAGCTCGAGAAAAAGTCGGAGTAGCAATGCCAATGCCCCAAAGGCTTTTGAGTGTACAGTTTGTGGAAAGGGACTCGCAAGAAAAGACAAGTTAACGATACATATGAGAATTCATACAGTGAGTTTGTAGTGTCAAAAGAAGCATTCACTGTGAATGGGAAACGTCTAACAAGATTTTCCTTTTGTATTTCAGGGTGAAAAACCGTATATCTGTGAAGTGTGTGACAAAGCTTTCGCCCGAAGAGATAAGTTGGGTAAGAAAGCTTTAAAACTTTACTTTATTTGATTGAGTTCATTCATCTGTTTGTCTTTATTTATTTAGTTATACACATGAATAAGTTTAAACACATTACTCCGACAAATATCGCTCCACTTGGAAAGCGCCACAATAATCTTGCCAGTTTAATTAAAAAAGAAGAACAACATCAACAGAAAGCTGTAATTATCACCCATGAAGCAAAACCGGCACCAACAAGTGAACACCATCAACAGTCAACACAATCTTTTCAACTCCATCATCAGATTCAAAGCCAAAGTGTTCCATCGAGTGGATTAAATACAATAACTCACACGATAAGTTCACAAAATCATCATTCGCAACAGCACTCTCATCAACAACCAACCACAATCTCTAATCTCGGCCAACAACTTTGGACATGCGAACTTTGTAATCGCATTTTGCCAACAAGGGAAGAATGGACGGCACATGCGAAAGCCCACATGGAGGTTTGTGTTGATGTTGAATTTGAGTTTTTCATTAGATTAAATATTTCGATAAATCATGATTTAAGTTAATTTATTGAAAAATATTTCCAGTATTGACACAGCCAACCACCCGCAACGACTTTGTCATCATCATCACAAACTTTACCATCGACAACGCAAGTTTATAGCAACAATTTAGCTTCGGACACACAGCAAATGAATTACATAATTTTAGAAAACAGCAACTATCGTCCATCAACAAGTGTCGCCAGTTATATTGAAGAAGTTAGTCTTCATTATCATGACATGTATAAATGACCACGATATTAATTCCAGTTTTATAATTTCTAGGTCGTTCCAATACGAGATGACACTGTCATTACATCACAACAAACTTCAGTCACCACATCGTTAACCAATGCACCGATTTCCTCCTCGTTGACTTCCCAATGCATTCTTTGTCGGGAGATTTGTTTGAACAAAAACGATCTCATCCAACATTTACGTAATCATTTAGCGGATGATAATAAAACTTATGTCATAAACAACACATCAAATATGGCGGCAGTTCCATCTTCCGGTCACGAGACTAACGCTACAACAATCACAGTTCCGAGTTCACTTGTCGATCTTTTGAAGTTGGATAACAAAGAGTTATGCGCTTAAATGAAAACAAGGAAAGGAAATTAGAGAAGAAAAAAATTGTTGCACTTATTTTATTAAGTAAATGAAGCCGGTTTTTAAATATCCAACATCCAAGTTGAAGTTTAACGTATGATCAATGAAAATCAGATCAATGTAGGAAAAAAGAAAAACTGAATCGACAAATCTCATTACATAAATGAAAAGTTAGAAACTTTCACAATAAAATCAAATGCGGCATTGAATGTCATCGCTGTTGCTATTTGAACAAGTTCCAATATTTCCACACCTACAATTTCCTTCCCATTTAAGTTAGCCGCTGCAGAGCTATTTAAAATTAAATTTTAAACATAAACGAGAAGAAAATCGTTTTAAAATTAATCGTCGATATCATTCGCAATGTTTTTTTATTATCGATGGAGCAATGAAATTAATAAATAGATAAATACCAAACGCATTTGAAGCTAAACAAGTAAATTATTATCAATTACAATTACTTTGTTGTCATTCATTAGGAGATCATATGTAGCTTGTAGTTACGTGTATAGATAATAATCGGATGTACAATGTTCCAACAATTGGAAGAAGAAATAAAAATCTGAATTATCAAGATAATTGAGTTGTCTTTAACTAAGTTGTAAACTCGTAACAGCAAGAAACTTCAACGACATTCGAGTGTCTTGCTTTGATATAAGATACATTAGCTGGAAATGATGACTTAATGCTTTAATAAAGTAGCAATTAGGAATGTACAATGAGTCATTTGAGGGCTTTTCTTTTTAATTTTATTAGCGTGGCGAGAGATCAGACTTGTTATAATTAATTTTCCTACGTAACATTTCATCATTCACCGAAATTTTCATCGTAAAAACTTGTTTTTTAACAACACTGGATGAAAATTTATGTTGACTACATTTAAACACTCGGCAATTTCCGCCACAAAAGCAGCATTTGAAAAGAGAGATGAAACAATTTTAAGCTTGTAACATAATCGGTGGTGGATGTTTTAAGGCTATTATTAGAAACAAGCATTTTGTCTCATTCTTTCATTTCAATCAATTGTCGTCAGTTAATTAATTTCTTATCACAACACAGTCAATTGGATTATGAACGTTAATGAATGAGACAATAAGTGGAAAGTAAAAGTTATGCTACGCTTCGTATGTATTCGCAAGTATTTTATGTTGAATGAAATTAAAGATAAAACCCTACTTTAATGTTAGGAAGCATTTCAAAGAAATGAAAATTAATAAATCTTGATCAGCTCAAACATTTTTTATTTCCGCTACTTTGAGGTTGAGGGAAGCAATTAAGATGAAGCGTAAAACAAATTTAAGATAATGATAAGTCCTAAATACTTATCAGTGATTGAAAATTATAATCACTTTAACTTTAAACATCATCGATTGTAATAAAAGAAAATTAAAAACCAATCGACGCTTAACACAAGACATACGAGATATCGAATAGTGAAGAAGAAAACATTAAAATGCTTGCAGTTCAACCAATTAATTTAATAGCGCTAATGTTTCAATCATTGTAGCATCGCAGCATTTTCTTTTCTGCTTTGTGATTCGCATTCTCAACAATGTTTATCATGCTTATAAAAACCAAAATCGATTTGAATGCGATTTAAAACGGGATTGAAATTCTTCCGCTGATGTGCGACAGCTGATTGGTGCTATGCAACTATAAACAACTTCTTTGCAGCACTTCTCACGAATGCAAATGGTAATGTATTGAAAAACGAAAGTGAAGCATCATTCGTGCAATATTTGAGATTGATGTTTATTTCACTATGCTGACAGTTGATGGGTGATAGATAATTGAAGGAAATTCAATATCATCTTAATGATGCTTAATGTGTCAACTCCACCTAAGGCGCCACACTGCCAAATCAATTTCCTTCTTTTCACTCGTTTAAATAATTTTCCCAGCAGCTCTTCGAGTTTGCACTTGGCTAAGAAGCTGAAAAAGAGAGTGAGAGTCACCTCAACTAATACTAGTTGGAAATCTTTCACCGTAAGTTGTCCAGTGTTATTTTTCATTATTTCTCGTAGAGAAGCAATTTCCATACGTCAAACTATACGCCACACCATCAACCACCAAGCTTTATCGCGAGATTGTATGCACTTGAGCGCGTTTATATTTAAAAGAAACTTTAAAAAGTCTCTTTTAAGTATATTTCGGAAAAATTATTATAAATAGATGATGAAACCGTGAAATGGGATTCAGTTCAACTTCGTTTGTCTTTCACTTCACTGAAGAAATTTTCAGTGAAATTTTATTTCAATTTGTTCAAAATATTTAAAAGTTACAAAGTGTGATTGAGAGTGAAGCATCAAAGCATAAAAATCAAGTCAGTTGACGACACTTTTGATTTCTCAAAGGATATTTTTCATAAAAATCAGAAACATGCAGGTGGTAAGTTATCATCATAAAAGTTCGAATTTCAAAGCGTGGGAGTATCACTGATACGAATATTTTTAAAAAACTTTAAGATAGTGTTCAATGACTTCTGATTGGCATGGCATGAGTTGAATTGCTTTCCAACATTCTAACTTCATGTTGAAGAAAAACTAAAAACTGAACATGCAATTTTCAAGTGAAATTTAGTTGAAAATATTTTAACAAGACTTGATGGTATCAAAGATTGTGTTTTGAATTTTATATTAAAAAAACTGTCTTGCAATTTACAGCTTGTTAACTAGAAATTTTTTATATTGAATATGAAACTTTACAACTTTTCTAATATCACTAAAGTGTAATGTCAGTTATCAACAAAGTTGGAAAAGTTCACTGAAACAGATTGAAATCTTAAACGAAAGCAGTTCAATGTTTTTTCCATCACTTTATAATCAGCGGTGTGTAGATTATTGATTGTTATTAATCGCTTAAGTGGTCAATTTGGTAGCCAAACAATAATCATTAGCTTTTACTTTCAATATTGTTAATCGACAAAGATTTAAACTGAAAAATCGCAAAGCATTGCTCCACATAGATATCGCTTTCGATATCACAAACAATTGACTTGATCATCATTCAACAATGCGATATTAAGTTCAAAATAAAGAAATTTATTGCTATGCGACAGTAAAAAAATAAAAGAAAAATTTCTAATTTTTCTTTATGTTTTTCCTCGTTGACTTAACTATCTTATTTATGTTTGACACGAAAGCGACATTTCTTGACATAACAAAGAGAAAAACAAAATTGAAAGTGATGAATGTTATTAAATTGCATTTCTTTTGCATTTCAACAAGAAATAGCAGTTGAATGGAGAGACTGCTTCTAATTAATGTAAATATATAAATACAGAAACATAATCTCTGCGCAATGATGCGTTTCAATAAAGTCGCTGACTGTGACATGTTTTACTACAATCTTATGGCATTGCAATTTACAAATCAATTACGAGGCCTTGCCAATGAAACTTAAGCGAGAAAACTATGTGATTAAAAAGTAATACTGAATAAGAGATTATAATGAATGAAATTTAATTCTATTAACTTTTAATTGGAGTTAGGTAGTTACTTAAAAGAGATTAGTCTACATGTTTCCAATGAAGACGGTAGAAAGTGATTTGAAGTTGTTTAACTGAAGTTTGTGGTTTGTAGATTCTGTTGCGGTTAAGTCAATGACCGACCGTGCACGTCTATTAAAGCAACGTGTGCAGTTTAATTTTCTTTCTTTAAAACGATTCTTTTGGCTTCTCATTTCATTCTCTCAAGATATTTATCAAGATAGATGTTCGGAATGAAATCAATTTTAACTTCATTAAAGTAACATGCTGCTGTGACTTTATGAGAATTTTTACTGCTATTTTCATGAAAAAAGAGTTCAATTTTCTTTTTCGATAGTTTCTTAAATTTCAACTAAACTGAATCACGAATTGTGAATGAACAATGAAAAGTTAGAGTTCCATGAAACTTTTCCCATTCATTTGCTTTCAATAAAGTTCCATCTTTCATGCTCGTGAATAGTTCTTTAGTTACACATTTTTTAGTAGAAACAAGAATCATTGGAAGAGCAATCGAATTACAATTTGAGCAAGTAAGAATAGAAACTTTTTTGCTATAGAGCAAAATCTAATAGAACGAAATCGGAACGGAAATGTTCAACTTTATTCGACATTAATCTATTGCACTTTTATTCACTGAATTATCATCTACAACGCTGTGTGCTTAAAGTTAATTTAAAATGAATGAATTTATTTATTTTGCGAATAATCAAGAGATTGTTGTTCCAATGAAAAAGCAAAGCATAAAACCAGAAGCTCGCTCGCTCCAAAAAAATAAATTATAATAACAAATTATCGCATCTTTTTCGCAGCCAACCGCAAAAGATTTCGAGAGATATTGTACAAATATAAAAGACTTTAATGATAGAGAAATGTTTTCCAGTATTAAAGATTTTCTATTCCAATTAACAAGTTTTTCTGTTTTGAATTTTATTCAACTAATGGTTGTTAATCTCTTCGTTTATTTAACTTCAGGTTCAGGTCAGAAAAAGTGAAAAAAGTTGAATAATTAAAACTCATCTTTAATGTAAATAATAATATAAAAAATGAACTTTGTATACATTTCTATTTGACTTTCGATTTCAAACTTGCAAATATGCGAAGCCTTCTCTCGTAATTTTATCTTCAATTTAGAGATCATATTTAATTGAATTAAATTTTTATGTTCAAGGCTGAATAAATTTCGCAAGAAAACTTTCTTTTCCTTGATTTCGGGGGGATTTGAAGTTAAAGTGTTCAAGCTGAACAATGAATGGAATTTAATTCTTGTACATGCCAACATGAATAAAATCCAGGGAGAATAAAAGAAATTTTCGTGATGTCTGGCCGTTCAATTCAATTTAAATTCTACTGATTTTTATGTTCCCACATTGGTCCATTCAGAGATTTTAGCATAAATTTAAATATCCTCCCACCCACACGTTCTGAAATTCAATCTTCGCACATTTTATTTCACTTTCCGTGTACAAAAAAAACAATTTCGTTTACCGTATCTGGAAACGTAATAAAATATCACATAAAAAAGTAATATGTAACGACATGTTATCTGATTTGTTAGAAATTGAGATGGAAACACGAAGAAAAATAATTTTCTGCATTCGAATTTCCTGTTCGACGAGTGTTGAGAGTTTAAAGAAAAAAGAGAAACAGAAATTGATATTTAAAAAGGAAATTATTAAAAAAGTTACTAAATTAAACATTTTTTATTTCCAGATAAGATTATCACAGCTGTTTAGTGTTTTATTTCTCATAATTGGCTGTGATGCAAGATCGACACAAGTTTCCGCACAATACAGTGTATCCGATGGAAATGGAGAATCAACGCGAACTTTCAGCACACGTGGCATTGTCGAGGATGCTGTAGTTGAAGATGGCGGAATATTAACGAAAATAAGCTCAAGGACTTCAAAGGTAATAAATCTTCTATTGATAGCAAATGCCCTTTAATCATTTCCTAATTTATATTCATTAATTTTGTAGAGTCCACCACGTGGACATAAGCGACGACCTTTAACAGTAAATCCTAGTGCTGATTACGAACAGTTACCATTCCAACCTGAATTCTTTGCTGTAAAAGGAAAAGTTCTTAACGATGATGAAGCGATTCCAACAAAATCTATTTTGAAAGTAAGACCGACACGAGCTAAAACATTTACATCAAAGCCCAAGCCGAAGCCTTTTCATTCAAGTCCGGAAATAGATTATTCACATCACGATTCGTCCGGCAGTTCTTTTAAATATCCAACCATTCAAAACGAAGAGTATTTCGAAAGTAACTTACAAAAATCTCCATCGAGTGTCACGAAAAAGTATAAAAAAGCTGAAGGCGGAGACGGTTCGTTATATTCGTACAGCACAATCAATTTTAATGCAAATGATGGCGATAATGATAGCAGAATAAAAGCTCAAAGTTCAAAACGTCCAAACAATCCAACGAATTCATTTAAATTGGAACAAACTTTTGGAGGACAACAATTGAAGTTTGACACTGAGATTGATGACAATGTCGGAGGGTTCAGACCATCACCAAAATACACAACAAAACGACAAAAATCACCTGGAAAACTTTTCAAATCAACTGAAGATGAGTTCAAAGATGCGAGTTTTTATGACTTTTCGATAAAACCACGCCCGGGACAATCTGTCACTGCCCTTGGACCTGAGGGAAGATTAGAAAAGCTTCAAGCTGAGTTGGGTGTTAGAAGTCACACAATAGCACCGCATAAAAATAAATTCGACCCCCAGTTACAAGGCGGCTTTAAACCTTCATTTAAATTACGAGATTTTCCTGCAATTCATGGTAATGATCAAGGATCTGGAATTGCTTCTGTCGGACAAATTAAAACTTTTTATGACCGACAAGAGGCTGATAGAGGTGAGCGGCTCCAACAAAAGTTGTTAAATGAACAAAAGTCGACAACAAAAGCCCAATTTGTGCAATTTCTTCGAGCAAAAGATGAAGAAGAACGCCTAGAGAGACTCGTTGAGGAACAATACAAACTACAACAACAGAAGCTCCTAGCACAAGAGAAGGAAGCTGAATTGAAGCATCAACAACAAATACTTCAAAGACAAAAGGAAAAATTGCAGCTAGTTGAAAAGCATCTGTCAAATAAAGTCACGAGACAAGCAATTCGTCAAAAACGAAGACCAGGAGGCCCATCGCGAAGACAACGACAACCAAATCCACACAACTTCAGTGTTGTTGGCAATCAATCGCCGGTTCCGGTGAGATCAATTAAAGGAAACGAAGGATCCTATCGAGCAACCTTCAACATTTAACATGCAATAACAACATTGTTTAAATAGTCGATAGGCTACTTTCATTTGTTTTCGTTAATCAACGGGAACTGTACGGATGTTAAGTAACTTACCTTAAAGTTAAACTCATAACCACCAAAAGAATCATAAACGATGTTCAAGCTAATTATAATGTGATAAAGTTTGAAGAGAACACTTGTTTTACGGATTACAAAAGTTCCGTACAATCCCCGTCTACATTCATATTAGAATTAATGACTTAATTTATATGTAATTTTCTTACTGTTTTTTGTTTTTGTTTTTTTTACACTTGTGGAGTTGAGAAAAACATTTAAGCTGGAGAAGGCTGAAGAAAATAGAAATTTAATTCGTGTTTATGTTCGTTTTTCTTGTAATAAATCATTTGCTGCTCCAATAATTACTAGATTGACGGTTTCCTTGTCACTTTTTATTTAATCGTATTTTCTTTTTCCTTCTCATCACTGTCGAGTAAATGTCAAATCGTGTTGCTTCTTTGATTTCATTTATTTGATATCGTTACGGCGACAACATCAGTGCAATGAACATTTATCAACTCAATAACATTGATTTTCACATGATATTTGAATCTCAATGTAGAAATTCGTAGAAATGTTTTTCTTCTGCTACTAATGATGATGGTTGCTTCGAGAGTTTGGTTTGATGGTAAGTTTTATGCCCCCAGGCAAAGAAAAAGCTCAATCTAAACATAATTACGTCGAACGCTCATAAACATAATGTGATTAATAAGCTATAAATTCAATCAACACGAAATCAGATTGCGAAACAACGCGGAATTTCAGTACACATTTAAAGACGAAAGTGAAAATTAAAGCTAGCTGGCGCTTTTTTTATGTCTGTACGTAATGTCGTGTCCGCCTATTAAAACGAGAGCAATAGCAACACTTTTGTTTCAAGGGCGAATACTTAACGTTATTCTCTACCTCTTTACAACATGCTCGCACACTCAACCCGACTATTGTTCCACTAAAGTCTTTGTTATATGTTGCTGTTCGGTTATGTTAAATAATTCAATGATTGTTCCAAATATGTTATCGAATTGTACTTCATTCATCATGAGTAGACTCATTTTTATTCCGCAATTCGAATGTTTTGCTGCATCATAAAATAAAACCGTTTTTCATCACTCGCTTTACTTTACTTAATTGACGAAATAAAAGAATCAAAAGATAAATAAAATATTTTATGTGGAGTCCGAATCTGAACAACATTGGTTGAATAATTAATTGGATTACTTACTTCGACATGCTTCACCACCTTAAGCTAGTTACGCTGTAAATTTTATTATCTTCTTATTGTGCAAAATATTGAGTCAAACATCCCATGGCAAAAAAGTAGTAAAACCGGTTCATAAATCGCTTCCTTATTCTTTCAGTCTGTGCTTCAAAGCTCTTTTACTTTCATTCTCACTCAAAGTAAGTACAATGATCCAGCACTTTAATCTTTCGGTATAACGATATCGATTTTCCTTACTTTTCTTTCGGATTTTCATTTATGTTGTCATAAAAAAGAAGAAAAGATTTTCAAGAGCGAAAGTAAATCTCTGAGGAAATTTTTTTGGACAACGATGGAAAAACGGAAAACAAGTTTGAAGAAGAAGGAAAAATATTTATCGTTTGTTATTAGCACGACCGTGACAATAAATCTTTTCACTTTAAATTACCGAGGCACATAATCAATCAAGAGAATGAAACAAAAAGCATAAGTGGGGAAATATTAAAAATGTTTCTTTATGTTTATTTTCTTCATTTCTCATTTATGTTTCATTTACATTCATTTTTATCACAATTTCAACGCTTTAAATTCGTTATTTACAACTCTATGAAATGTTTATATCTTTTTTTTTGTATTTTTTATGACTTGAGATTCTCTTTTTTCCTTGTTATCGAGAAGACAGGGGGAAAATGAAAGACGGAAGAGAAAAGGTGAATAGAATGGAGAAAAGTGACAGGAAATGTGATGGGAGATGGAGTTGAAGGAAAGGGGAAAATTTCAGAATAAAAATGTGCATTAAAAACTTTCTTATTGACTTCTGATTGAGTTCTCGCTCAAATTAAAAATCTTTTCTCGATACCTCTTGTTGAATTTTCGACTTGAAAGTCATCAGCATTGCACATGAAAGACGCGAAGAACTGGAAATCAATTTTTTGAGAAGAAAAAGTTCTTTGAATAGTAAACAAAAAAATAAATTACAGTCTAAAAGCAAAGTCTAAGTTTTCTACAGGCTTGAAGATGGTGAAACTTCTTAAGCTTTGTTGAAAGTGTAGCTGAAGCCGTCTGGTGTACGGTTCAGTGACAATTTTCCTGGTGGCAAGAATCTGTGTGGGTTTTGTGTGGTTTCATAGTGCTGGGGGGCTTGTGGGACGTTGTAGTTCTGTTGACGAACTGCTGGGATTGGAGCTGGTGCAGGTGCAGGGGCTTGGTGTTGATAGTTGTAGTTATGGCTTGGAGCTGGTGCAGCTGGGCGGTGGACTGGAGCTGAACGACCGTCACCTTGGAATGATGGGTTGTTCCATCTTTCATCATAAGATCCATCATCGAATTGACCTGACTTGTCATAGGGATCGACGTAGTTGCGTTGAGCTCCAGTTGGGGCGTATTGAGGCTGAACGGGTTGCGGAATTGGCTGTGGTGGTGCAGGTGGGGCAACTGGCAAGTGATCTCCAGTGGCTTGGAATCTGCATAAAATCAAGAGAATTATTATTTAGCATTCCATTATGCAAGCAACACTTTCACGCTCTAGATTTTATTACGATGTGTGGTTGGGGAGAAATTTATAAATCGTAAAGCAGACTTAGGTTGCAATGTCGTTAAGCAATAACTTATTGTTGTGGTTCATTACATTATTTTACGTTTCAAGTTAGAGAAGAAAACGAAAAGTTTATTGAAAGAAAAGCACAATTTGCGGCTTCGGTTGAATGGAGTCAAACTATTTGAGTTGTTGGTGTTAAATGAAACTTTGTTAAATATTTCAGACTTTACCCATTCTTTCCAGCAACATATGAAACTGTTCTGGTCTTGCCATCGGGGTCAACATAAGAATATGATCCACGACGATTTCCTTGTTCGTCAGTTTCTTCTTTGAAGTTTATTCCATCTTCTTGAGTGTAAGCGGCACCGAATTGACCGTTACCAGACAAGTAGCGTTGTTCGCTGATGATAGCAGCGGTTTTTGGATCACGGTTGTAGTGTTGGGCGGCTGAAAGAGCCACAAGTGCTGACAAAATGATCTTTGAAGAGAAGAAGAGTAAAGGTCAATTTAAATCCATGAATAAATTGAAGTGATTATAAAAGGGACGAACAGGTATGGACGGCCACATATCTACACGAATCTTAAACATTTTTGGGTAGTTTTTCAAAATTAAAATGAACTTTTCATGATAAATTTTCGGAATATTTAAGTAGAGACTTTTCATGAATATTTAAGAATCTTAAAGCTTTGACTCGTCGTTTTATTTTCCTTCTGATGTTACAAACATTCCATTAAACAATAAACTAGTTTCATATCTATCATAAACTTGTTTCATTTCATAATAACTAACATCACATGAAAGATGAAAGCGAAACTTTATTTGCACATTTTTCTTATGAGAATCTCGTAAGACGAAAAACCTCGACGATAAATTCTCATAAGAAGTCAACATGTCAGTTTTTCTTAAAATGTTTCAAAGTCTGATTATTGACACTCACAAAACGAAACATGATTAAAAGCAGAACTTTGACTGAATTTTCTTCCTTTTTTCTTTTGGTAAACTGCTTTGGCGAAAAGCCTTCACACAAACAATCACAAAACTTCTCTAATTGAAATAATTAAACAAAAAAGTAAGAAATGCTTTTGAGCAGTTCACTCGTATGGAAATGAAGGAACTGATTGTATTCCGATCCAATTCAATCGTTTTTATAGGCTGCCCCCGAAAAAATCTTTTACACAACCGTAGAAAAATTCCGCAGTCGATTTTCTGTTGCTACCACCATGTGGATCAAAAATGTGTGTGTATGTGTGCATGTCTGTGTTGCATGCAGCACAGAAAAACCTTGGAATAAACACTTGCATGCCTAAAGCTTTTTTTTGTTATTGTTTTGTTTCTCTCTGTCACTCATCTACAAGAAAAACTTGCCCCCCTCATGCTTGAATTTACTTTGATACAAATCTCGATACACGGCCGTGTTGAGTCAGTGTTGAGGGAAAAAAGTTGCTGTAGGTATTTCCAGTTCTACATTTCTTTCCTTCGATTTAAAATTGCACTTTTATGTAAACTACAATTGGTGGTTTGACGTCACATTAGATAAGGATTATGAAATTGAAAAATCGCTGATCAGAGCTCCAAATAAAGCGTTTAAATTTAGGGTTTTCCAAAACCCGTATTTTAGAAAACCCGAAATTTCGGGTCGGGTTTCTTTAAAACCCGCGGGTTTTCGGGTCGGGTCGGGTTTTATTTAATATTGAAAAATTTGAATTAACCATGAAAATATCATTTAAAAATATATTTTTTTCGTCAATAATTAATTACTTTATTATATTTCATGAAAGAAAATGAAGCAATTACAGGGGTTTTGCTATGCTTTAAAGGTTTCTTGTGACATTTTGAATCAAAATGTTGACCTTGATGTTCACTAAACAATGAAACATAGAATTTCTGAAAGTTGAGAATACTTTGCGGTATTTTGCGTTGGTTATTGATATTTTAATGATTTTGTTCAGTTCTTCATTTATTGAAAAATGGAAGGAAGTCGCATTTATGGAACTGTATTTTGGCTTTCAGTGACGTTGCTGGAATAATTTGCTTTCAATCACACTACATTGAGATTACGTGCTTTCTATGAATTATGTTATAGAGTTAATTTGTTTCGTTTTGATCATATAAATAAAATTTTAGAAAAAATACAATTATGAGAAGATTTCCTTTGAAAATCTTAAAAAGTGTTTGTTTTTCAAATGAATTCATAAATTAACAAACCAACAAAAAAATTGCGAGACATAGATGAAGATAATCCATAATCATAAGTTCATTTAATCGTTGAGTAAACTGAATTTCAGAAACTTTTTAATCTCAAATTTTCTTCTTATCTTAAACAAATATAAAAAATAATTACAATTTATTCATTTCGTAGCATCTTAATACACTTTTCTTTTATTTTATGTTGCTTTCAATCATAGTAACCAAAACAAAGAAGGAAATTTTTATCCACTTTACAAAAATATATCATTTTTCAATAAAAATATAAAATTAATTTTCATTTTTTCGAATATTTTGTATGATTTTGTTCGTATGTTAGTACGTCTTCAAAAACCCGAAACCCGACGGAAGACCGTGCTCGGGTTTTTCGACGAAAAGACCGTACTTAAACCCGAAGAAAACCCGACCCGGAAAACCCTATTTAAATTATAAGTGGATTAATAAATGCGGGTGCCAATTGCACGTTTGTTGATCGTTGAAATAATAAAACGATTGGAAAGACTTTCGTTTAATGAAAAGGAATTGAAGAAATAATTTTACATGAATTTTTATGCATCAGCATGATCTAAGAGAAAGAAAGAAAAAATCGATTATGCTGCTTTTGCATAATTCATTCTATCATGTTTTTAAGTTTCAGTTTTTTCTGAATGCAGTACGATGTTGATCGTCGATAAAATCGTTATTCAACAACTTTTTATACGTGAACAAGTTCAAATTTGCGTCATTGTTGACGAATTTCTCATCAAGGCTTATTTATTATTCTTTTTATGGTGTCAGCTCGGAAAATTAATAAACCAAAATCGACCATAGAAAAGTTGATAAAGTTCGTCATGCTGTCGAATCGATTTATTGTGATGCTTGTATTAACAATGCTATGGTTATTTTATTGAGTTTTTTTATGGGGAAACCAAACCAGTGCTAATTTATTTGTCATCGTCGAAAAAAATCTTCATTAAAGAGAATATTAATTAATAATTTCGATGAAATAAATTGTAATGCAGTTTAATTGTGTATTCGTTCCATATTTTCATTAATTCAGAATTATGTTTGTTTGTTTTCTTTTCATCATAAAAGCATTTCGAATTGTTTGTGTTGAATCTGAAAATATTTAAATTCATAATGTAACAAAAATTAATTTAAATGAATCTGTAAAAGGTTCTTCATTGGATGCGTTTAAATCCTAAATAAATTTGATTAAGTCTCTGTTGAAAATTAAACAAAACTCATGAAATTCTGGTTATGTAACCGGATTAAAGTAACTCTAAATATAGAAACCCCAATTGAAGAAAATTTAATGAGTATATCTAAGTGAAAATTGTTCAAAATTAATTTTTTTGCAACGCACTGTAAATGAGTGTTGAAGAAATTCATCGCTTTAAATTTGAATGAAAGGGTTTTGCTACAAGTTTTGTCATAGTTTTCCGTTGAAATATTAAAGCCCACGAAAATCATCAAGAAACTGAAGTAAATTTAATTAAACTATTTCAAGTGTCTTCAATATTGTGGCGCCTTGCATTGAATTTAATCAAGAATATGATTAGGAAAATTGAATAACTTAAAACCTTCAAGCAGAAAAGTGACCAAAATGAATCAATCAATCAACTTAATTGATTCTCTTTGATGTTTACACAGCATGAAATTGATCGAATTTAATGTGGAATGTTATTGCCAAATAATAGAAATTTGACGCATGTTGGAATTTTAATGAGATGACTGTGACATATTCACTAAATTGTATTCAAATTTGTACATACATAAACGCAGTTAAGAATGTACAAATTTACAAGAAATTAGCAAGAATGATATACATATCCATATAAAGGCAAATAAAATCTTGTTCACCTTGTCCGTTGTGCTGAAACAGATAGTAATCCATCCAGTGTTTAACATTCTGCACGGTCATGGCCGAACATTTTTTTGTCTTCTTATATCTCTTCTGAGATTTTGAGGATTCAGCATAAAATTAAAGGATTAATAGAAACTTTATCTAAGTACAAACAAGTGACTAAGCATCTGTCGTTGTTCCTACAACTGAGATAGATTTTTCATTGAACGTTGATTTCTAGGAAGTTCTTTGCTCTCAATTCTCAAAGCGGTAGAGTTCATTTTATCCATCGTTTCATGGATATAATATTATAAGCTCAAATAAATAACATTTCATTTGATTCCAATGAATCCAACAAATATGTGTCTAGTATCTGGCGAGCTTTTGTAGGAAAGCAATACGTTCAGTTTTTATGACAACATATACAACTTCGATTTGGTCGAATCAATGAAGAAATAAAAATTGTAAGCGAGCACAATGCACCTACAAAATTCATTTTTTTCTTCTCTTTTCTACAACTTCGCGTTATGTAGTTTGCTTACATAAATAAAATACAAGTTGAGTTTACCATAATAGAAGTACAAAAAAATTGCCGCCGCATCTTTTTTATCTGAAATTATTAATTTCTTTGTCACTTCTTTGAAGACAAGAACTTTCAATTAAAGGAATAAAGATAAGGAAGTGAATTGACAATTACCTGCTCTTGAACGATTATTAATTCAGCGATAAGTCTGCGCTAAGTCAACTCTTGTGAAATAAAATTTTCTTTGGTCTTTCTCTATCATTTGTCGTCATCGAATAACGACTTGAATAATTTAGTTAATGTTACGTGATAGAAATTACAGAAGTAAACCGAAAAATCACTACTGAACAGTAGTAGATGTGGTTCAATGTCAAGATTACTGCGATCGTAAGCATATTTATGAGATGCCCTGTGAGATTTTTGTCGTAATATGGAAATTGCTTATGGTCATTTATTCAGGTTAATTGATGTACTTACATAAAACTTTAAATCGATAGTTAAACCACCTTAACTTGTACATAAAAACAGTGTAAAATCAGCTGATGAAAGAATGTTAAAGTCCAAAGAGGTTGAACAAGTTCAAGAAATGCAAACAACGCTGCAATATCGTCGACAGTAGGTTTGAGTTTTCACTGTTTTTAGGTGAGGCAGGCATGACATTGCCGCATGTTCGCGATAACTATAAAACTTGTATTGTTGTTATGGAATGAAAAAGAAATCAATTAAAATGTGAATTAAATATCTGTCAAGTAGGATGATTTCTTTGAAAAGATATCAATCCAGTTTTTGTTTGAAGATGTTTTATTTCCGCAACAACTTCACCGTAAACTGACACCATATATCATTACTCAGCCTGCTATAAATATTATTAACAAGAACAAAAAAATGTTTAAGTCCTTGAAACAATCACGATATGAACATTCCCATCGAGTTTTAATCTTTATTCGTATATTGACTTTATTCAACCTAATTAATCCCGCATGAATGTGTTAAATGGTTGTAGAAATAAATTGAAGGAAGTAGGAAATATAATCCCAGTTCAATTAAAAATCTTATCACCATGACGCTATTTTTATCCACAGACACTGACAATCAAAACTTGATTGCAAAGAAAATTTTTCGCTATGCCGCAAAGCTCAAATGGCTAACAACTTCTTCAACGTTTTCCTTTGGCGTAATTATTTTCATCCACGTCACGTGCTTTTGTAAATTAAAATTATTATCATTGATGGTGAATTTAATGTCAAGGTTGGAAGAGTTTTTCTCTGCACAGAGCATTCAATCGACTTTGAACGAGTTATTTGCTGTTCTTTATTTCCTTATTTATCTTGAATAGTTTCCGCTTTTACGTGTTGTTTTACTGCTGCAATATTTAATAAGCTAATATTTTTTGCTGCATAGAAATTATTTATATTGACATCAAAATATTTATTGTAACAATCTTTTTATCAATTGTTGAATGTCGTTTGCATTGCTTTCGATAATTTTTCTTCAAAGTGTAAATTTTGTTGCTAATTCCATTCAAATTTCTATCTCTGGTTTCTCAATCCATGTCTATGTTGATTTCAAATTGGAAATTGAATTTATGATTGTTCATTGAGAAGTTATAACAATAAGTCGTCAAAGCAAATGCATTGGAAAACAGGAAGAGATTATAGTGATTATAGTTGAAACCGGATTTGCGAAGATAGGAAATTTCCTGCGTACATTATCAATTTACATGCAATTTTAATAGCAGTTGCATTGATGCCATTCCGTGGCTTTTACGCTTATTAGCAATTTGGTTAATTATATTAATGAGAAAAGAAAATCAATTATTCATTTCTCTCTTTCGATGAAAAAACATCGAAAAGCACATTAACAGAATTTTATCATCTCAATTATGCGTCGTACACGTATAAAATAAAAAATTTAATATAAATTATAATATTTATGTGGTTTCAATATTCAACCAACCTAAAGACTTTAAATGGTAATTTCAAACCACAACTTCGTATCCTCAATTTAGATTATTGTTGTAATTATAAGATTTAAGTGGGAAATATTCACAAATATGAAATTATTAAATGAAATTAGAAACAGAATTTTACCCATGAATTCATTAAAACTTTTTCGTTTCCATTCAATGTGAAAAACTTTCAAGCAATTAATTTCCGCAAATTTTCCCAACATTGTTTTTATTGTTTGATGAAAGTATTTATGATCCATATTGCTCACTCATCGTTTCATTCTATTCAATAGAAAATAAAACGTAACTTATCAACTTTTGCTGGCTTTTATTTTCGCCTAGATATGTTGAAGTGAAAAACGAGCTGTGTGAAGGGAGAACATAAATGGCTTTGAAATGTAATGAAGATGGTTGTGTTGCGATACCATTTTTGCCATTCATCACAACAATAACTATCCAACTTAGTCTTTTTCCATCTAAAGTCTATAAAGATGTGTGCGACCCATGCAGACAAAATTAACGGCAAGGGATCTAATAGAGACGAGATAGTAGTGCTTCAAAAAAAAAGTTTTAATCCTCACAAATAGGCTCTCAAATTGCCTGCACACATTCAAAAAGTTTTCCTTTCACAAGGATAAACAACAGTTGAATCAGAAGAAACATGTTTGTCGACAGCTGGATGTTTCCAGAATATTTGTTTTGTTGGTGAATAAAGTTTTCTTCCGATCTAATGTCATGTAGAATGACTTATGAGTCAGGAATTTAATGAAATTTCCTACCAACCATTTTATTGTGGAAAACATTTATTAATTAAAGTGTGGGTGTAGAGTTTATGTTTTTGTGCTAAGTTGAGCGTGAAATTATAAACAAATTTATCTAATGCAAATCAAAGCTAAACAAATTATTAGAAAATGTTGATAATTCAAGCATAAATCGTTGAATTTAATAAATTTAAAGTCCAGAAAGACAAGCTTTAAAAATGTTTCTTTTGTTCAGCTTTTCAGAATTTATTCTAAGAAGAAGAAAAAAAAGTATCGTGAGAAGGTCAAAAGCAATTCAGAAAACGATTAAACCACAATTACATAAATCTCAATGCTTGAATTTCAATTAAATTGACGCTTTTGACGAGACCCTTTCATATTTCACTCAAATCCTAAGCCGAGGATGTTTCTTGTGTTGTTTTCACCCTGTGCAATTTTTTAATCCTTAACTTCCATTGTTAGCTGTGAAATATGACGAGTGATGACTTCATCATTTAGTAATATTTCTTTATTGTTATGACGTCAATTTGAATCTGATGATCAGCTTTGCCAAAGGATGATGGTTTGGAATGAAGCAAGGGTTAAAGCTCTTAAGTTCATTGACAAATATTTTAATAATTTCCCAATTATCTGCTCAATAACAATTGAAATGCGATTAGAAAAGTTTCGAAGGTTTTAAAGCATTGCAGAAAATTATTAAAATTGTTAAGCCTCTCGTTATATTCAAGAACAAGTTTCAAATTGCAAAACTGCATTTTTTTCTAATTCTAAGACATGAACTTCTAAAAACTTTAAGCAAATGCACTTGAAACATTTTCTTCTGAATTGCACAATTTTTCAATGCTGAAATGAAGTCAGAAAAAATTATTATGATTAATTTGTCTTTTTAATTGCATACTTTAGATTAGTTTTGAAGTTTCTTTAATATTGTACGTTGCTTGTTAATACACGAAAGAGTTTCATGTCACGGAACAGTCACCTAGTTTTTGAAGAATTAGTGTAGCGAATGAAATGGGAAAATCCTTGAGCAACGCCCTTTTCATTATCTCAGCACACAACTTGAGTAACAAAAAAACTAAATCCGGTGATTGAATAAAAAAACGTTAGAAATTAAAAATAACAAAGTTGCATCAACGAGTAATGTCAACAGAAATGAAAGTTTGTCGAAGCCATAAATCCCTCAATTATAAGTGAACATGTGTCGATGAGGGCTCTTGATAATCGTTGTCATTCTTAAAAATGTTGAATTCAGGGAGAGGTGGTAACAATGGCAGGCACCAAGCGAGATTTTATTTAGTTGATAGGAATATATAATGATGTCATTATCCTTTCGGATGATGTGTTTATAAAGAATTGACATTTCGTCTCGCTGTTGCTTAATGCGTTGCATTTCATTATGCAACAAAAACTCAAATATTGAAAATATTCAGTAGGAAGAATTTATTTACCAGGATCGAGATTTCCACATCGCCATTTGTTACGTAAGTCAGATTTGGTCAACAAACCACTCAATTTTCAAAAATCTCGCGAGGAAGACAACGTGAGAAACATTGAAATGTTACTGAACTCGTTATTTGTAGGTAACTATGAAAACAGATCTCAGTTGGAAGAATAACAGGAAAAAACTATGACACATTAATTAACTATTTCAATAAGAATTGACATTTCGTCTCGCTGTTGCTTAATGCGTTGCATTTCATTATGCAACAAAAACTCAAATATTGAAAATATTCAGTAGGAAGAATTTATTTACCAGGATCGAGATTTCCACATCGCCATTTGTTACGTAAGTCAGATTTGGTCAACAAACCACTCAATTTTCAAGAATCTCACACGGAAGACCACGTGAGAAACATTGAAATGTTACTGAACTCGTTATAGGTAACTATGAAAACAGATCTCAGTTGGAAGAATAACAGCAACAAACTATGACACATTAATTAACTTATTTTAATAAGTTTTAATTAGAAATGACGCAAATTCTAGACTTTTCCTTCACATTTCAGAAATTTATAAATTAGAGAAAAATTGAAAAGTTTATCAAAGGTATAAGTTTTATAATCAGCTAATGATGATTATTTAAGTTGATACAAATAAACATTTAGTTAGAATGATCATCTATTTATAAAAAAATTAATTAGTTTTCATGATTGAACACAAATAACATTCAATCTTCTCTTTCAATTTATCTTCCATGACTGAATAAAATAATATCATGGCAAATATTTATTACATTTCAATAGTTTGCTAGTAAACAATCTTTTTGACGTCAAATTAAATTCTTTGAAGAGCAAAAATAAATTCCAACTAAAACTTCCTTTTCCGTTAATTTTGTTTTTATTTTTTTAAGAGATATTCATTGAAATAAAAAGCACCGAAATGGATCTTTTTTAAAACCTTTAAAATGTCAGAAATTGTTTACATTCTGAATTGGAAGTTTTAAGCTGTAAAATTGCAGAATATTGTGATATGCAACAAAAACATATTTAACGAGCTTGAACTAAAAGGCTGCTTCGTGACAGTGCGTTCGGTGAAAAGGAAAAAATAACTCTTAGCACTGATCCCTACAATTTGCCATCTCTACCCATTTCCAAGGGATTAATTCCGTTCCATTGTTAAACATTTTACCGTGATATTAGTTTTCAAAGATCGCATTCGAGGGCAAATCTAAATTAAGTCAGAGAAGGGTTTCACGCTCTTCTCTTTCTGACATTACGCTAAAAGGCAATGCGAGTCAAAAAAAATACGAAATCACTTCCATTGCTGTCTGGTTGCCATCATCAAATTTATTTTGTTTCCATTCGTACTTTTTGTCACCATGTAGGGGACAAAAATGAAACAACAACGTATGGATGAGCAAAACCAAAAAAAACTTTGTCATCTCTTCCACATTTCTCTCTCTTTCTGTTGATTTATTATTTTATTTCATTTCACTCTTAAATTCTATGCATTGAAAATGGTGAAAGAAAGATGTGATGGAAACGATTATTTCCTTTACTTCCAGTCCCATTCATTCAGTGATCTGATTTTTAACTTCTTGCTTTAATGTTTATAAAATTGATGCTCTGATGCGTGTGCTTTTCATTGAATCTGTATTGACAACGATTCTTTGTGATGGGAACTCTGAACATCTGCTTCTATCGTATCGGCGTGTTGATCGACTTTCCTCTCATGCGTTTATTTTTTCAATTGCTTTTAATCTCTTTTTGTTGAGTTGGGGTGATGGGATGAGAAGAGCAAATAGTTGTTGAAGATGTCTTATGTATATTAAAGGAAAGTCAATGCTTAGTCGCCAAATCCTTTGGCGTTTTTTTAAACGCTGAACATTGCTTTGAGATGTTTGTTTCTATCATAAGATACGAAAGGAAAAATGATTCATAAATCTTTTTAAGGTCACCACAAACATTCCATTACCCATCTGATTTTCAATAGAAGTTGATAAAAGCACAATCATTGATAAAATATTTATAAAATATCAGCAGTGGTTGGAAAAAGGCAAGATTCTATGGAGGAAATTGCAGAAGGGACTTTTTTTACGCTATAATCACTCATGGGCAAAGTAAGAAACCTTTTCATTTACTTCATTATATTCCCAACACCAAAAGAAAAAAAAATATTAATATCCCTCAACCGAACTCTTGAATCATTTTTTTATCGTCATTTCAATCTTTTTCGTATCACAAATAAGAGAAAATTGGAAAATATTTTGAAAGGAATCTGTTCTAGTCGGTCTCATGTAACCCGGAATGGAGCGTGAAAGAAGAATGAGATGTAAATGATGTTGATGAAAAGGTAAAGACGTTTAAGTAACCTCTTAAAGAGGATTTAAATTTTAATTTCCATTCCAGAAAATCTATTCAGGTTCGTACAAACAAATGCAAATTATTATCATCATCAGATCTTTTCTTGTGAAATACTTTCACTCGCCGCAATGGATGCAGAAGCAAAAACTTCTTTTTTTGTTGTTTTTCGTATTCAAAAATCAAGACTCAAATCTCAAAGTCACATTTACCGACGACTTTTGAATGGTCATTTGTACAAGAAAAGGGATGGAATGGACTTGATCTATTCATGAAGACTTTATGTTTATTTAAAAGTAATTACTTGTAGCAATCCCTTTTTCAAAGCAATTATATTGTTTGCTGTATTTGAGAAGTTTGCTTTGCACCGTCACCAAAACAACATTCTTTAGGCTCTTAGGCAACTTTAAAATTATTTTTGGACTTTTCAAACTTTATCATGAATTAGATATAAAGTTGTAGGAATAAATTTACTTATTTTGAAACAGAATAAACAAACATTAACAGTTCGAAACGAATTCTTTCTTCCTGCTTTCAAGGAAAATATTTTCCATAAAGTTTAAAGTGATTGGAATAGAAAACAAAAGCTTATCAAAAGATTTTTTTATAAGTACGATCTGCCTTTCCATTTATTCATTTATTTAAATTCCTTCTTACGAATTCAATTCAAACCAATATTAGCTGTTTATTTTTTTCTGTGCCGAGAATATTAAGTAGACATTCCAATTGAATATTTTTGACAAGAGTTTTCCTCTTATTATGAAATGTTTATCTCCCACGACAATAAATCACAAATCCTTCACATTCCTGTTCGTCATTCAAGAATAAAGAATGAAATTTGGATAATAAAAAGAAGCAAAAGAATTTTATTCGAATGACATTATTAAATATTAAATGAATTACAGTCAACTCTTGATGAGAAAACAGTTGAGGGACTGGAAATTTAGTTGTCCTAGAAAAATTTCTCATTCAACTTATGGAATTCTTATCAAGAGTTCACTGTATCTGCTTATGCATAAATAACTTCAACTTTGATTACACATATAAAAACTCGTCATAAAAATTTAAAAATTTGAATTAATTCAAGGAAAAGGAATTTGGCAAGAATGTGAAACGTTCAAATTTATGCTTGCTTCGTCTGTTTAGTTTGGCACCTGAAAAAACATTTCGCAAAGGTATTCAAAATGTTCAACATTATGTTCAGTGAATGAATTAAATTCCATTAGACAGACTGAAAAACAAAAATCAAAAAAGTCACTAAAGCATGTTTAATTTGTTTTATTATTTTTTCCGTTTGCTTTTTGATGCTCGTTTCTTTGAGAGTTTAAGGACATTGAGATGTTAATACTGGTAGCAAAGTTAAACATTTGCTTCCTTTTTCTAGATCTTCTCAATGTTGTCTTTATTGAAAAATAATCTAAACGAATCTTGATCTTATTTCGTTTACGTCACTCATGTGTTATCTAAAAAGAAGCTACAAGTGCTTGATTTGCCAAACAAATTTAACAAATTTAGGTCTTGTTTTGCTTTTCAACTTAAATAACGTAAAATTCATTTTCTCTTTCTTTTAATTTACCTCAAGAGCTCTTAAGTAAGAAACAGAAAATTGAAGCCGAATGAATTTGTCTGCAAGTAATTTCTAATCCTAAAACATTCTTCTAAACAACTTAAGAGTAATTTAAAAATTAATAACAAACAAGCAATTTCGAGATTATTCACTTCAAATCCAACAGTTGAGTTAATAATGAAGGCTAATCTCATTGATTTCTTTCTAAACTATGCCAACGGAAATTCTTTCACATCTCACTGACTTCAGGATTCAATTTTCTATTTCAAATTTTATTTCATTCTCCATTTTTCGTTTATTAAAAGTCGAAAGGTTAAAGAATTGAACAATAAACATGAAATAGATATTTGAGAACAGAAATCATAAATTTGAGTGAAATAATTTTGAAGACGTTCAAATTTCTGAGTTCTTAAAATTTACATAAATTCTCAACTCAATTTAATTCAATCTTCAAGCTTTGAAACAATCCTTAAAAAAATCATTGGCTAATGAATCGGAAGACTCAAACAGAATAGTTTTCCCAGAAACAATAAATATTAAAATTGAATAATCATAAGAAATTGATATTGAGTTAACTAACTGGAAAGAAATCAATTTTCATGCCAATCATCCTTTCATTTAATGTTGCAGTTTACTATTCAGATATTCCTCAATCATTTCAATTCAATTTAACAATTCTGAACGAGCATTTCTATAACAATTAATGCAATAAATTTTCCTGAATAAAAGCTGTCGATTGTATTTTAAAAAATTAATCACTCAAATTTCTAATTGTCACTATTGCTTGTAATTGTTTCACATGAAAAACAATCCAATCAGCTCCATATGAGAAGCAACAAAAGTGTAACAATTTTAAAACTTCATTGATTTTGAAGTTGTTTCCTTTTTATTATATTGAAAGTGTCACTTTGCGAATAATTTTTAGATTTTGTTGAAGTGTCGTCGAGGACAACTCGAGGGAAATCAACTTGAAATCAATGATTAAAATGAAAAACAAAAGTAAGCAAAAAACTTTGTTGAGTCAGGGGTTGATTGCTTAAAAATAAATCATTGCATACGTTTTGAATGTCGAGAAGCATCATAAACTTAACAATGAGGTGCTAAACAATGCTGTGCAGTTGTTTATTGCGGTATATGTACAAGTATCCTTCTTTGTGAACCTATTAAGTGATTACAAATATACAACGCATACAATTGCATACGAATTCCTACTTTAAACCCGCCACCCCATTGAGCTTAACAAAATAAGAAGACGAAACAGAGCGAAAAAAAAAACTTGCAACATTCTCGAGTATAATAAGCTGAAATGTATTAAAATAATAAAGTGGTTACACTCGAGATATGATTTATGATTCGACGCTTTTCTCACGCAGATTTGCGTCAATAGTGTCTATGACTATTTATATCTGCTGACTTGTCTGCTGCTTCATAAAAAAGGAATTTTGTCTGGAGAAACGAATAAAGTTTCTCATGATTCGAGACTTCAGAATTCAATTTTCTCTGTTCAATATTTGTTATCTCAAGCGTAGGTGTTGCATCAAGTATCAACGACAATCAACCATGCCAATGAAATTCTGTAGCATAAGATTATAAGATTATTGGCAAATATCATCTCAAGAAATCTCATCTTTCGAATTGGAAAAATTTTATGTCAAATTGAATCATAAATGATCGGGAAAATTCTTAAAGATGAAACTAAAGATTTTTATTGCTTAGCTTTTGAATGGAAGAAAGTTTAAAACAAGGGAATATCTTTTGAACCTACAAAGCTTCCCTGAAAAATCAATTCAAACCTTCAAAAACACTCCTTTCGCTATTTTTCAAATAACAATATAATTTTATATAATTTATGAAATATTACGTAATATTTTCTGGTTCTCTTGTTAGTCAATTTGAACAGCTCAACATTGTTAAAAGATAGCAATAAGGATTTAATAAAATGTTTATAGATATAGGTCACAGCACAACATTAATTCACGCTCTGCAGTGTTGACAACTTTTATGCTTCTTTTTTGAACTAAGGAACACTAAGTAAGATGAAAGGAACAAAGAAGTCTTTTTATCTTAAGAATTCAGTCGAGTGCTTCAATCAAAAAAAGCCTTCGAAATTCAAGGACCGCCCGGGAAGTGAGAAGAAAAATTACACTCAATTGTGATTGAGTGTTCACTGTTCAAACCGACATTCATGTGATATTTTGTATCTCATTGTGATGTGAAATATGATTTTCAAGGTTCATGTCGTCCCTTTAATGCCCGTATGAGAAAAAAAATGAAAATCTTTAGTGCCCTTGCCAGAAGGATTAAGGAAACTCTGAATAAAGTAACAGTCATGAAATGATCTTTTTCCCACCGCAAAGTAAGTGGTGACGGAAGGAAGAGAAGGAAAAAACGAAGTGTCTGCTGTAAAATGAAAGAGTTCTTTCGTGTCTGCAGCCACGATAAATTTTTTCAAAGAATTACTTCATTCAAGGATTGAAAAAAAAAGAGAAGGTAAAGAGCAGAAAAAAGGTGAGAAAACTTAAGAACCATAAATTTTCAATCTTAGCTTCTGTCAAGACCATTAGTCAGTTGCTTCAAAATCTTATGTTCCTGTGGTCAGAGTCTCGTGCCGTTTCATATCCTTCTTCAAATGTTATTTATTAGCAAATGGTTAAAGTAAAAAAAGCTCTTCAAGAATTGATAAAGATGCGACAGTGTCAATAAACAATCGTTCAATCTTCTTTTAACAATTTCCTTTTAAATTGAATTGTCTTTCGTAACAAATATATTCAAGCCGAAGAAAAACAAATTCGATTTCATTGGAAATACCTTTTAACTTTAGGATTTCTTAGATCCCATGCTCTTATTTCTTGAATGGACAAAGTAAATTGAATTGTATCCTTGTGCTTTCTTCGTCGTGTATAACCAGAAGGGAAAAAGAAAGATGAATGGAAGGAAAGCAAAGAAAGAAGAAAACGAAATACTCTATAACAAATCGTCGTAACCAAACCTTCTTTGTTGTATTCAACTAATATTTTTTCACATGTCATATTAGTATTCTTATGGAGTAGAAATGTTTTGATGTTTTCTGGTAGTGCCTTTTCAAATATTTTCTTCTTAACTTGGACAGTTTATTTAGGTCGTTTACTAGTAAGGATCCTCGATAATCATATGAATTGATTGATGAGCTGGATTTAACATTCTATACTTACATAGCGAATCTTTATTCGCTAATGTTATTTGTATAAATTCGATTGCAAAGCATTATTCTATCCAACCCATTAGGCATCTTAAATTAAATTGCTTTTTATTGCGTTACAAACCGACAAGAAGGAAAAACGTGACCGCCTTAAGATATTTGATATATCTGAAACATGATTTCGTCATGATGGAAATTCTTTTTCTGGTATTTTACCTCGAAAACAAATTTTTGTGTTCATAACTGAAACTTCATTGACGTCATTTTGGAAGTTATGAAATGTTTTTTCTTCTGATGTATAAAACATTACAAGAATTTTCTATCATGAGAGTTAGTTGTTAAAGTGGCGAATAATACGAATTTAATGAACTTCTTTCTTCCAAAAGTATCATTCATCAGCAGCCACATAAATATCAGACGTGCTTACTGCTTACTCGCATCAGTGACTTTTAGACATCACGTAGTGTAATTTACATCAAAATGTTTTGTTTAACATGGAAGGATAATAAGACACAAAAAATTCATGAATTGATTTCTCGAAACTCATTCTCTTGTTTCAATTTGTTATGTCAGAAGTTCGATGCGAATTTAATACTTTCACAGACATCAAATTCTCATTTCGGTATGAGAGAATCATTTTCGAATTCTGAGTATTTTGTGTTCAATGCATGTTGGCACCTTTCATGTTCAAATCAAGGCTGACAAATCATGAAGTCGCTTGAAAGAGTCGAATCCGAACAATAGTAAAAAGCAATTTGTCAGTTTATGATTCTCATTCCTTTCTACCTTCCATTCTCATTGTGGCTATTCAACTTTAGTTCAACTATTCAAGAACATACAACAATAGCTAAATAGTTGAAAATTGATGAGGATTAAAACCATTTTTTGTAATCCCAAATGGAATCGTAAAATACAAATGTTGAAAAGGCAAAAAAAGAAGTTTCAAAGCAAAGATTTTATTTGCGAAATCTTTTTAAATTGGCAAAAAAAGATGTTTATGAAAAATATGCCCCAGGTTAGGGAAATAGAAAATATTCACGTGAATAGATTTCAATGGAAATTTTATCAATTGAGATTCCTTCGCAGTGCATAAATTTGAATTTTGCTCGTTTTGTCAATTGTCAATAAAATGAATAATTTACATCACAGGATTTACTTTTTATTTAACATTCAGAAAAACGATTTAAGATTTGATTTTTATTCACTTTTCCTTTCTTTTGCTAAGTATCTTAAGATCATATCTTGTGATGAGATGAAATTTGAAAACGATTCAATCTCTCGAAATTTGTTTATAATTTAATTCTCATGAAAATTTCATAGAAATATTTTTACAAATGATAGAACAAGTTAATATATTCCAATCATGATTTGATGACGAAAATTGAAGAAAATGAGTTGATTAATGTGCCATCATGTAGCACATTTCATTTTCAAATATATCTTGATATGACTTTATTAAAAGCAAGCAACGAAACATTTGAATGAATTTCACATTGAAAATCAATTTTCATTTAGATATATAAAGAAATGAAAATTGAAAGTCTTTTCACCTCAAAATGATTTTTTTTCTATCAAAAAGCGTCGTTTCCAGATTTTTATTATATTAATTCAGAACAGTCTCTGATATTGAGTTGCTTTCAAACATCGTGAGTAACGATATGACATTTCGCTTTTAAACAGTAAACAACAAGTCAACTACCTCCCAAGTTTTCTTTCAAATAAATATCATTCAATTCAAGATTAAAATATCTGCACGGTTCACAAGATTTCAAATGAAAAGTATTTGAAAGCAATATTTCAAGTTAAACGACAAGATAATCTCCTATTTCATTGCTTCTCTTTGTGAACTATTTTTCCAAATGGACTTAATCGTCGATTCTTAAAGATTTTTCTACTTCTTTCATGCTGTCGTTGCTTGAGATCCGTTCGACTTTCTTACTATTAATTTTCTTTACATTCTTTTTGGTCTCCTTAAACATCTTGTGTTGAAAGGCGAAAAGCAATTAAGGATAAATTAGCTGTAAGAGGATGAAGAAATAAAGTAACTTTCGGAAAGAAATTTTATAAAACTTGCAAAAAATTAGAACTCATTTCATGGTGATTTATTTAAAAGGATCAGAAAGGTTGAAAGTAGCTCTGAAGGTTTATTTGTGCATCAATAATTAAATAGACAAAATTTATCTCAAACTTCTCAATTGCAGGTTAAATTTAGAAGATAATTTTATTCTTTAATTAACTTTCATTTATTCACATAAACGCATTGTAAATGCTTCTAAATACATATCTACACAACTTTTATTTATAAATTCTTATAAAAACTTTTTCTACATCTAAAATTTTACAGTTATTATCTTAGGCATTATAAGATTGCTGATTACAACACGGTTTGCAAAAAGAAATTGCGATAAAATAAACATCACAGTTTTTCTTCATTCTTCCATTTCAAGACACTCCAAAAATCTCCATCGGATTATGATTTTGTTTTAATGAAATTTTTCTTCTTCCTTCGGATTTGGGAAGAATTTTTAAATTAAATCGCTTGGCGAACTTTCGTTTTGATTATTTGGGTTGTAAAACTTTTTATGTGACATAATTCTCTATGAAAGCCCAAAACGATTATTTTAGAATGTGACAATTCTTTTCCACAGAAATTGCCAAACTTCTTATCTCGATCGCTTTTAATATTTTTCTGTATTTTTTTTCTCTTGTTACTTAACGATTGTCATCTTCCGCCGTCCCAAAAGATCCTTTTTTCTTTCTTTACGCTGATTTTATTTTATTTTCATCTTTGTTGTTTGACTACTTATTTATGATTCCATTTTCACGGTCGCTTCTTCATCAACTTCTTCTTCTTTAAGCTTTCCTTTGCATGTAAAAATCAATGAGAAGTTTAAGCAATGGAACGTGACCAATGTTCCGACGGAAAAATAATTCTTCGATTGTAAAGTGTGAAACAAGCTTTAAAGATGGAAGCAAGGCGAGAAGGTTTTTGTATCGGATTTGATGAGTGATACCATAATAGCTTTGTTCATAAGCTGCGAGAGCGTCTTTTGCATTATTCTCAAGAGCTTTCACTTTCAACGGCTCCTCCAAAGTTTTTCCTGAAGACGACGATGTGGTTTTGAATGTTGTTGTCGAATTATTATGCGACAAATCTGACGATGAATCGTCACTCGTGCTTGTGATGATATCTTGGCTGTTATCTTTGTCTTTATTATTGTTGTTGTTATTATGATTGCTATTGAAGTCATTTTTATATAAAACAATCGCTCGAAGATAAACGTATTCATTCCTGTCGACCCTCATCTGTATGAACTTATTTAAAATCTCTTGGAATGCTTCAATCTCCCGGATCATTGTCTCTGTAGAGATTTTAGTTTTCGACTCATGACATGCCGTATTCATGAACTCGTAAGCAAACAAAAGCTGAGTGAAGTTAATGGGAAGAAGATTTTCTGCAACTCCCATGATGAAAAATTCACGCCATGATTCCTCGAACAATGTTAGCTGATCAGTGAGTGGTAGCTGAGTGAATGGTGCAAGATTCTTCAAAAAGTTGACATTCATGAAAAGTAACCTTGCAGCTTCTTCACGAATGCTTTCGACAGAAGCAAAGAAAGGATGTGTAGACGAAGATGTCATTTGATGAAAAATCGTTTGTTGTGGAGATGATGTGATGTGATGAGAATGAAGTGTCGTCGTCTGAGGTGGCGGTGTTGAAGTGACAGTTGATGGTGGTGAACTGTTTGACGAAGAAAAATTTGGAATGTAAGGCGGAGGTGTTAAGAAAGGATTTCTTGGAATTGTCAGATCCACTCCAATGTTTGGCATTATTTGAGGCGGTGCCATAAAAAAGTTGTCGTGATGTCGGATTCCTGTGTCTTTATTCATAAACATCGCCATTTGTTTACGTAACGTAGAATTTCTTGGCCCACGTTCATGCTGCACTGCATCACGATTCATTCCAACTTCGAAGCATTTCTTTAAACGGCATGCCCGGCATTGATTTCTATGTGTCTTGTCAACCATGCATAAACCATCTGACTTTGATTTACAAACATATTGTCGATTTCGTCGAATTGAACGCTTGAAGAAGCCAGCACATCCATCGCAAGCGTAAATTCCATAATGTTTTCCCGAACTGTGATCTCTGCATACTTTACATGGGACGTCATATAAAATTCTGCCTGCAAGAACAATCGAAAAAAAAGAAAATATAAGCACAAAAAATAAATGGGAATCACAAAGCCAAAGCAAAAAATTTCACTTTGAAGAAAGAAGAAATTCTACGATAAAAGTTTATTGAAATGTGATGCTATTGTTCTTCATTCACATCCTGCAAAATTTCATTGAAGCGAATGAAAAGACGTAAAATGCGCAAGGATCGCGTTGTGGTGGAAGGAAAAGTATCAAGTTGCACGAAAAAAAATAGGAGAAATCTCGATTTCAATGGAAAAATCAACAGGAGAATTCTTTTCAATGATTAGGCAGGAAATGTGATTTTGCCCGCCTCTGAATTTGATTCTTTCGCTTGCTGAATGTTCTTTTCGAAGTTTAATTATTCAAGTCAGTGCTTTCGAATTCGCACCTTATTTGTTTATTCATTTCCTGTTTTATTGACGTAATCAATTAAACAAATAAATTAATAATTAGCATGAAAATGTTTGAACTTTTTCGACGTCAAGAAAACTTTCATTACGAAATCAGTTTCTTGTTTTATTCTCTGTCATTTTAAACAGAAAAAAAAATAATGAAAGAAAGTTTGTGGAAAGGAGATTGATTAATTGTTAGAAAATCTGATCATGGAATCCTTTCACTCAACTTTTATTACTTTGAAAGTTTTTTCATTGTCGCATTTTGATGAAATATTTCTTTACGTATAAACTTTTTTATTATGTCATAAGGAGTGCTGATGTTATATAAAAGCTAAGTAAATAATAATTTCTTCACTTGGCACATCATAAAATAGTAAAAGGAAGTTTTATAGCAATTTTAGTTTCAAATTGTATTATCATGAAGGAAGTGGAATGCTTGACTCGCTATCAAGAATGTCATTTTATATGCGTTGACAACAAATTGACCTGAACTCAATGACATTGGAGCAGCATCATCAGATAAAGAAAATCATGAATGTTTTCCATAATTATTTTTATGATCCATAAACTTTAATTCATATATGAATGAAATTTCATTGAAATTTCCAGTTGTCGGAACGAAGAATGTCAAAGAGAAAGTGGGATGGAAAAGGATTAAAGTTTAATTACTGTCGGGATCAGTAAAGGGAATTTTCATTCAGTTTTAATTCTAAATCCTTTTGCTTATTAGTAAAACAATTGTCGGCATCTTTTGAATCAATTAAAGTGCAGTAAAAGTGGTTTGACCCGAAGCAAAAAAAACTTTCAATTTCCTTTGTCGGCACTTTTGTTTCTAAATTAATTAATTTCAGGTCAATTTCATTACTAACACTTTGACATTTTATTCAACCACGAATAAAACGACGAAAATTCGCTTAAATTCATTCACGAAATTATTTTTTATTGCTTTACTTACTCGATGATGATGCCGGTAATCTTAATTGGCTAAATCGCGGATCGATTAACTCGGGTGATGAACTTATTGGTGATTGCATCATTTTCATTTGAATATTTTTTTTTAATTTCTAAACTATTTTAATTAAGAAATCCTTGATAAAGTTTCTCAATTAATTTTTTTAAGGCACTTTTTTATTAAATCCAGTTTTAAATTCTTTTTGAAACTTGTGCGATCAACTTTGATCATTTAATTCATTTAATTGAAGTGAGAATATTCACGATGATTCCTGGATGAAGTCTCAAACTGTATTGATCGATAACTCAGTGCTCTACCGACTCTAAATAACTTTTCCATAAGCAGATCAAAAAGCTACCCTCTTTAAAATGTTTAACTGCAAATTTTTCAATTCTTCATCACTCTGCTCGTTTGTGATTGGTTGATTTGGCCTCCCTTCACAAATATGCAGCACAAACTCTTGTCACAAAGGCATTGAGAGAATTACTGTAGAACACTTAAAAGCATAAGAAGAGAGAGAGACTCTTCAACGGCATGAATGAAGTGCTTTACTGGCTTCTCTACTGCAGTTCATGATAAAGGGAGGAGTTGGTACCTCAAATGTTTATGTTTACTCTTCTTTGTCGTTGCGATCCTTTCTTCTTTAAGCAGTCACAATATGCCGCTTTTCTACCTGACATCACAACAAACTATAACAAATGTGGTGTGCGTGAGAGGGACATTTTTCATTAATGAAATTACGAATGTTTATCACGTTGAACATTCATTAAAGGGAAAAGAGGTGATTTATGATAATTATTTAGGGATGTACTGGCCTTTGTCGGCAAGACAAAAATTTGTTTATTTAATAAAATTCTAACCAGATTAAAATTGACCATCATTCTTTACCTTCAAGATGAATCAATTTCAGTTTCATGAATGAAAATGATTTATTTGGAATTAATTTGATATTACAATTATCATGAAGATATAAAAAGTGAAATGAATTCCCACGCTTCTCTATACGCATCCCTTCAATTTCATCCCGCTTCAGGATATTTTTTTCGCTAATGAAACGCAACATATGGTGCTCGAATCTATCGCAATGTTATGTTCAAAAGCGGAGAATAATTGTTCAAAGCCACCTACACTTGTTCTCTCAACCACTTTCGGTTTCATGTTGCGAGCTGCAAAGTAAAATCTTCCCCTTCAACAATTTTTCAATTGCATGTGAGTTGGGCTTGGATGTGAATTTTATTTTTAAAGGGACGCGTTGATGCTATCCGCTTGATGATACAAAAAATAATTTTTCTATTGCAGTGAATGATGATTTTATTTCATTTCTACCTTGCGTTTAATTTCTATGTACATTAACATCATCAAGTTCAGTCTAACGTACCATATGTCACCCTGAAGATCGCCATCCGGTGAATTAGTTCATCATGTGAGGGAATTTAACGTGAGAGTTTTTCTTTCGGATGAATTTTAGTGGGTGATAAAATAAATTTCACATCAATTGCTATGTTAGTGTTTTAAAGTTCTGTCGCATGATTCATGAGATAACACAATTTGATTGATATGCTTGACATGGGAAAAAAATACTTTTCCACAGCTTTAAGCTTAATTTATTAAAAACCCAACAGAACAGTTGCTCCCATCCTTACATTAAGAGTCGACAATATAAATTATTTTCTCATCTTAATTGCTGATATGTTTGAGGTGAGAACATGAGCAACAGAAGAAAGGAAAGGAGTGGGTGGCAAAGTTTCTGATTGCGATACACGAGAACCGACAAAATATTGCTTAATTATTGTTGCCTAATGTGAAAGAGAAATGAAAGTGTGAGAAAATGTCGGGAAAGGATGTTAAGGGATTCGAAAGGATGTTGCAGAATAAAAGAATATATAAATTGACATCGCATGCCATTCATTCCCAAAGCATGTTAAGAGTAAAAGATAATGGTGGGAGGAAATTGAATTAGGAAAGAATATTGTAGATAATTTATTTATAAAGAGTGCTTATGTTATGTTTCAATGTTTTTCAAAACAGAAACTTTGATATTGATGAAGATTCTTAAAATTTTTCATTGTTTGTTTTATAACAACATTTTCTGTTTTTGTCGTCTTTCAGTGAAGAGAAATTAGCGTTTGATATTAATGAACGGTATATTGTTACAAGAAATGCTTTAATGACTTAAAATTAATTTCCCAAGCGACAGTTTTTTTAGTTCTCGTATTGAATTCCGGGAGATTACAAAAAGCTTTTCTAGAAATATTCAAATTATTTTCAAATTTCATGCAAAATATGATGCCGAGTCACGTTTGAAAAATTCTTTTCATTAATCATCAATATTTAGTTAGGAAAATTAGCATCGTAAAGTTTTTCTAAGTAGATTTATAATCTTTCGTTGTAGATAATTTAATTCGCAAGAGCTGCAATGAATTTCATTAAAATGTATTAAGGATAGCAATAAAGCTGAGCACAATCAAAACGACTTTCATTCTTCCACAGATGGTCTAACATAATCGACAATAAATGTACAACAACGTCAACGAGAAACAGGAAAAACTTCTCAAGTGAAGTCTTAAAGACATTAATAAAGTTTTTCATGGTTTAACAATAAACAGGATGATGAACTCATAAAGGCAACGTGAAACTGAATATCATAATGATATGATTTACGCTCCTTTTCTATTCTTTAAGATATCTCTATAAAAAAGCGACGTATTGAAGAGCATTTAAATAAATCCCCATTCAACAACTCGATGAAATCAACGCCTTCCTTTTTCGTCATTCTCATAAACGGCAAAGATGATAAATGATGCCATGAGAATCATCAGAATGTTGAGTGAATTAGAGATGAAATCTTTCGCGAAATTTGATATGTTTGCTTCTGAAAATGTTGAGAAAAATGAAGTTGATGTATAAAACTAAAGAAAAAACTTTTGTAGTGTGAGGGAGGCTAACAAAATCAATTTGAAGAAATTCTTTTGAAAGACTTTTTGTCTGAGAAAAGAAATGAAATAATGAAAGAAATAAAGTTGAAGATTTTAATGAATAGAAAAGATAAAAAAATATTCAATCTTGTTCTTCGTTCTTCATCGCTGTTATTCGTATGGATTTGTCAACAGAACATGCAAACAGTTTACTGGTATAGCTCAGACATTCATCGATCTAAAATCTAGATCAACATTGATGACTTGGATTAACTTCCCAATGAGAAAGAACATCTGAGCGAAATGATAAACAAAAACTTTCTTCATAAAAAATTTTCATAAGAATTTTACTCCCAGAACTTTAAATCGAAATCATTTCTAACTGGGAAAAAATATAAACAAGACTTTAAATCCTTGGAAATGGAAATAAGGAAAAGCAGGTTAATATTTCTGGGATAACTGATCCAGATTGAAGATTACATCCAGGTTTTCTCACCAAATTCCATCATAAAAATTGTTCTGTCATCAAACAATGGATTTTTGATATTTCTGTCGTGATGATGTGACAAAAATCATGTAATCTCATAACAGTAAAAGATGCGTAAACTTTCCTTTAGTACGAATTTCTCTCATCGTCACACACCCAAGCAATGTTTTGTTATAGATATCATGTCACAATCTTCTAGCAATGAAATCTGTCTTAGTTGCCGTAGGAGTTGATCTACCTTAGACACAATTTATATTTGCACTGTTATCATGGTTTGTATCAAATTTGTATTTTCCTGCAAGGAAGTGAAATGAAGCACCTTCACCAAACCAACTTTCACCATCAGATAAAAAATTATTAAGAATTTTCCTCTCCAATCTCTTCCCGTTATACGAGCGACAATCTGTTGTTATGATCAAATGATTTCCTTCTTTTTCTTTTGTCACTTTGAAAGGCATTACGAAATAAATTGTTGAAAAAAAGAATAGTTTGATGTCGTTTAGTTTGATGTCAAAAAGAAATCATGGCAGCTCAACGTACAAAGCATTAGCAGAAAATTGTTATCCATTATATTCCTCGATGTTATAAAAAAATGTAAAACATCTCATTAAGGCAAAGTTTACAAACTTGACAGTGTTGAAACGATTGTTATTCAAAACGCCTTCAATATCTTTCCCCATTACTTAAGCTAACAAGTACAAGCAAGTGTGGAACATTTTTCTTCGGTTTCTTTTTTTTATTATTACTTTTTCTGTCAACCATTAAAGGAAATTGAAATTACTTTTAACAGTGCTTTGACATTAAATTCTACTGACTAAACACAATGCAAATGTTGTGGTTTTGTTTTCTTAGGACTTTACAACTTTAAGTATTGAAATATTTTTTCTCATTTTCTCATTTCTTCTTTATCTAGAAGACAACTAAAAGACGAAAGGGACTCCATAAGCATATCATAAATTTTCATTGAGGAAAATACGCTTTTGAGAGATGAGATGATTAATTTGTTTATTGAGTTCAACACGGAAGGTTTTAAAGTTTTGAGATAGCAATAAGCAACCCTGCAGCATGGACATGACAATGAAGAATGCAATGTTGTTTATCTAAGTCCTCAACTGATTTTACGATTGGCTTTTGTTTTTGTTAGTTAATAAAATTAGAAAGCAACAAGGCGAAAATGTGTAATAAAGCTATTAACAGTTATTTGAATTTATTGAGGATGTTCGAGAATCGAGCAAGTAAGGTTGGGCAGCATCCTCTGGCCTCTCATTATTTTCAGGCTTTATAATAAGTATTTAAGCATAGAAAAAGGTAGAGGAGAAAAATCTGGTCGAAATTGAATCACTCCATTGGGAAATTACACGACAGTGCGAAGTTTTCATATCGATTAGGTCCAATCTTGACGTGACTTGAACAATCTTTCTTTGTCATAACTTTCATTAAAAAAAAACTTTTCTTCTTATTACTTCAACGATGTGTCTTGCTTATCGTTCATCGTTCATCATCATCATCGTCAGTGTGAAAGTTACCATTAATAAAATCATAAATCAACATTGATGACAAATGAAAAAGTGTTTGAAAGACGTAAAACTTTATCAAAAGATATCCTTTTAAATAATAAAGTCATATTTATTTTGTGTCAGTATTTAGATCAAAGAATGAGAAAGCTGATTACAGAAACTTCTGACTTTCACAAAAAAAAAATAGAAACGATCTAAAAGCAAGCTTTTTCAATTTTCTTAAGAGAAAAATCGAGATTGCAAGTCACATGAACTGTAAGAAAACGAAGAAAAATAAAATTCGAAACAAAGAAGCTTAGGAATATATCTCCTTCCAAAACTGGGCTATACATAAATGAAAGTAGGAATCGATAATTCATATCATTATCTCAGTTGGAAACGAAAGATTGAGATAGATAAAGGTCACCAGGTTTGCCACAAGGTTTCCATAAGATCAAAACTAAATTAAATATAATCTCAATCCATCGTTTAAAAACAATCTAGGACAAGTTGTCAGCCGGTGATGAACAAAAGTTAAAGGCAAGGAGATTACTATGCAAAAAAAGTTTAAAATTTCATTCTGAAAATTTGTATTTTGTCTTAAATATGTTTGAAGTCTTCAAGGCTTTCGCTTCATGTTTCTCCTGCTTAATCAAGAGGCAGTAAATGCTTAAAACATCATCTTTCTTATTTTGTTTACTTCTTGTTAGATTATCTGTTTAAGACTAATGAGTCAAAATATTTTTGTGAAACGGAAAGAGAACCGAAGGGGAAGGCAGAAGAAGTGAAACCCTTTTTTCCCATTTCTTTCTTTATCTTTCAAAGACACTTGTAAGGATAAGACATCAAACTAGTAAGAGGATTAACATATTTAATATTTCATCTTAGAATTCTTCATGCTGTGCAATGATCTGGTTTTTAAAAAGTCAAGACTAAGCATAATTGCTTTGAATAACATTTGCGAATACGAGAAGTAAGAAAAAGAAATTTTTTAGTTTTTCTGGCTGAGATGAAACATTTTTATTGATTTTTCTAATATTTCTATTCAAGCAGAAATGAGAAAAAGCTAACTTTGCAATTATTTTTCAACGCTTAACTTTTAACTTTTTCTCTTAAAGAATTTCTATAAAATATTCACAAACTCTCCTGCTGACATAAATATCAGTCTTTGTAAATAAATAATCGTAATTTAAATATTCACTGTCAAGCTGCCACTTTTCTCTTTTCCAAACATAAAAGCCTTTCATGGATTTGAATGATTCTCGTCACACAAAGGAAAACACTTTAATTCTTTCAATCATCAAATCATAAACTTTTTTCTTTATCTTTTTTATCAGACCACGACAGCAAACAAAGAGAGAGAAGTAAGCAAATTCATTGCCTTCTTTTATAATTTTCAATCTTTATTCTGATATTATCTCTGCTGCTTTTATTCTTCTCTTCTGATGTTCTTTCATCATCATTGGAGTCGGTGATGATGGCATTTCCAGCATATTTAATATTAAAACCACCTGATGATCTCAAAAGCCTTTTAAATCGAGATGATTTTTTTTTTAATTTTTATAAAAAATCCTTCAATAAAGGAGATGAAAAATAAAATCCATAGTGGGATGAGAAGAGTATTAAGTTGCGGCCAAATTCTATTCAAACGTTTGCTGATGTCTTGGCACTTTACGACAAGAACAATAGAAGAGTTGAAATAATATTCATTCAACTTGAATCTACAAGAGGGAATTGTTGTTGATTGATAAAAGAAATTCGAGTTGATTGCATCGCAAATGGCTTATTCAAGAAGCTTTTATTTCAGAATTTAATTTTGTAAGAAAACTCTTCTGAAATTAGTTTTCGAACAAAAGGTTTGAAAATTAAATTTAATAAAAGGATAATAAAAGGACAAGGCGTCGTGGGAAGTTTTATGCATCAAAATTTATTTCATTCATTGAGTTTCATTTCTTCACTATGCAATATCAATTTTCATGAGTGTTGTTACCTTATGCTGCCTGCATTCGCTCACATTTTATTGAATGAAATAGAAGGGTGAATTATTCTTTCACATGACTTAGTCATCCTCTGACATGTAACAAGAATAATTGTACGTAATTAAATAAAAATTATGTTTGAAATCAAACATTTTTATGCAAAACGAGAAGTCAAATGCTGCCTTTTAAATTAGAATAATTTTTGCATTATTTTGCATACAATAATTTAATGAACAATAAAATGAAGATTTCATTTGTGAAGTTTGTTTTAATTGTCATCTCACATGAACACGAAACACTTTACTGTGGTTTGCTTTCCATTTTGTTATTTTATACAAACTAACATCATGCTGAGCAGTTAACTCTGTCAAGTCTGTTAACATCTAAAGGAAATTTCATAATTCATTAACATTTTACTGTAAACATGTTGCAGTGATTACTGCTATTAAGGTTGTTCAATTTAATTTTACGGAACAAATAACATGAAGGAAAGAATCTTCAAGAATTTAATTAAAATTAATTTGCTTACCTCCTCGAAAATCTAATGAAATAAGGAACGTAATTAACTTTTCCTTGCGGTTTTAAAAGTAAAACAAAAGTCTGGCGCAGTCTATGGATAGCAAGCGTTGCCATTTGGAAAAAAACATGATGCAATCAATATTCTGCAATGTCATTAGAAACTCTATTTTAGAAACTTCTTCGGAAACAGAGAAAGCTGGAAATGTCATTCACTATGAAGGAAAGAAACCAAAAACTTTGTAAATCGAAAGTAAATGAAGGAAATAAAAGACGAGAAAAACATTTTGCTGGAGGGAATAAAAACCTTTTCCGATCTGGTTTCATACTAAACTGTAATTAATTATTCTCTTGAGCTTCCTCAATAATAAATTGCAGCGCAAATTGGCCAAGATACTTGGAAACCTTTTCTTTGTGATATTTTGAGGATTTTCTGGGAATTTTTTCCCAAATTGAAGCTCATTCGAAGTTTTCTAACATTATTGAATAAAGCAAGCATGAATGTTGATAGAAATTGATAGATGCATGTGTCTGAAGCGATAGAAAATATTCGAGGCAATAAAAGCTCATTGACTGTCTGACAGGAAAGTTATGAAGAAACATTAATAAATTTCACCTTCATTTATTGTTCTCAGAACTTCCTTCGCATGATGATTTTCCGGATCCGTTAATAACATTTCATATGGAAATTAAATTCATTAATTTAAATATCAAAGTAAATCGAGAATGCTTATTAAGCGTAGACGATTTCACGTGCTTTGTTTAGATATGTAATAAGTTAACCACAGAGAACTCTTGAGGGAAGCAATCCGAAAGGATCGGAAATTGTTGTTTAATAAGAAGAATTCTTTTGTAGTTTGGACATGTATGAAGATGACAATATGAATAATAACAAGACATGTTTCTCTTATCTAACACAATTCTACTTCACATCATCTTTTACTACTTGCAAAATTTTGTCAATAAGCTGTCAGACTTAAATCTAAATGTTGACCGAATGATTGTGCAGATTCCGCAACATGTAAGTTGAAGGTTGTGAACCTCCCACTATCTATCTTGAACCCAGCCATAAGAAATCATCATATTCAAAGTCCCAAGATCCTATCAGAATATTCATTTACATCTTATGGAAATTTCTTTTCCGCATCATTTGCCTAAAGTGAGAAGTTTCAAGCTGAAACTAGACACAAGCTCGTCATTGTTGATTTCTCTCATGTGTCATGTCCTAAATAAATTAACTTCAAGAGATTTCATCATGGAAACTTTTCCATGATTGTTTCATTTGCTTTGTGTTTACAACTCTTGCGTCTGAACAAAATTAATTAAGAGAGGTAGAGAAGTTTCATAACATCAAATTATTGCCCCCAAGAAGGCAATCAAGTGACAATTTACTCAGATGGAAAACTTAAAACAGAAAATGTTTTGAGGAAAATGAAAATTTCTCTCAAATTGCTTGCTGAAGAGTAAAATTGGATCGGCGTTCAGTTGGAGAAGAGAAGTCAAAAGTGTTGTTCAATCATAGAAATTCTCCTGCAAACTCTTCAACATGAATTTCTTTATATCAACACATGTATCTTGTTACTGAATGCGCAAAGTTTAAATAATTGAATTCCATCATAGTGAAAGATGTTCCCAGTTTCATGAAATATTCTGTCGGTTGCTGAAAAGTATTCCCTTTCAAGTCATTCAATTTTATTTAATGCCATTATTTAATAATAATTTATTCAGCTTAAGACCGAAATGTAAAGTATTGTTGCCAAATTGATTGGCGAATCAATCAATGTGACTTTCAAATAAATTATGTCTCAAATTCCACGATGTCAATTTGTAAGCAGATATCAACCCTTCAGGTTTTATAAATTAAAGAAAAAGAAACTTCTAGTCGTGGATTCATCTCATTATTTCAATCACGTTTATTGTTAACCACTGCTGGTTAAAGATAAAGTTTCTGCTTTCTTGTTTTCTGGCTTCATTAATAAGCAATGTGGTGATTTTCTTCAACATCTTCATCATCTAAAAAGAAACTCAAGATGATGATACATGGTCTTATGTAAGTATTCTCTTTCTTTTGTTGTCTTCTCTGTTATTTGATAGTAAATTGAGCATTTGGCTTAGATTCGCATGTTAAGTATTGGCTTTTCTCTAGCAACAAGTTTTATATTTCAATCATTCAATCGCATCTAATTAAAACTTCATTTTGAAACTTGCACATAGATTTTCTTTCAAACTTTTCATTTTGTATAATCCTAAAGCAAGGCGACATTAGAAATCTTAATCAGTAATGAAAAAAGTTTCACTTTTCTCTTTAGTTAGTGGAAATCAAGTTCATTCGTGTGTGAAAAAATCGAAAGTAAACTTTTTTCATCCCGAGAAACTTTCATGGATTCATTAATGCTTAATGTGATGAATCCGGGGTGTAAATAAAAGTGTTATTGCTTTCCAACATTGTTTTCATTCCGGTTTATTAAATTTGAGAGAAATTTGCAGTCAGAACTTTTTTGTGTAATTTATTCAGGGTTTTTGTTTTATTATTCTTATTTGAAAGCGGCGATGGTTTCATTAAACAAAGCGAAGTTTTATACTTTTTCGGTTCACATTAATTTTTGAATATTGGTTAAGTTAACGTTAAAGCTTAGCTTTCCATAAAGATCTTTAGGCACCTGAGTAGGAACAACTGCTGTTAGCTTCTCAAGATAATTTGTTTTAATGTTTTTCTTAAGTTGTGGGTGTTTATTGAACGTTGTTTGGTAAATTCTCAACCAAGAATCGTCGACATAAAAATCATAAAATTCCAGAACTTTCTTCAAGCCTTCAAATTATCAAGAATATTTTTTTCTTCCTTTCTAAGATCTTCCTAATTAAAAATTAATGGAGAAAAAGATGTGAGAAACACGAGTTTAACATTTACACAACTAAAGAAGAACATTTGAAACATCTTTGCATCTACATAATTAAAAATAAAGTTAATTTTTCATGTACAAACTCTTCCATATTTTTCTGTGATTTCACATGCATACATAAATTACATTTTTAGAGAACATGAGTCACAAACATTAATTTTTAAAATGTTTTACACACGTGATAAAGTTTTTCTACCCGTTTTGTAATTCTTCTTGACATTAATTATGCTTCCAAGTATCTTAGTTATGTTGTTTTCATCTTAAATTAAATATGCTAATAAGTGAATCTTTGAGAATATTTACAAATCTCAAGGGTATTAGAGGAAATTTTAATTAATTAAATAATAATAACACCACTTGTCAGAATGCTGCTTGAATAATTTACACTAATGATTCATAATCGGATCTTTTTTGAAACGATTTTTATCCGAACGAATCGTTTAAAATATTTTTAAGGATGTTGTAATTTAATTTTATCCCCCGATAAACAAAAAAATAAAATGCATATGACTATGAGAAATTTGCATAACTTTTTAAAGCTGACACAATTTGCATAAATTTATAAATCCTACGGTTTAAAATTTTCTTCACTTTATATAATCTCAAACCAAAAATTCAATTGAAGGCTTCAACCTTTTTATTCATCCTGCTCTACTTCCTGCAATGATATCACGTAACTTTAGGGCTTTTTGCTAAAGAGAAAAGAGAAAATTTACATATAACTTCGTTTTCCAATCAAAAATTACACGACATTTGGGAGCAACCATTTCAAAGCTTCAATTTTATTTAACGATATGATAGCTAACCGTGAATTTACAGCGTTGACAAAGGTGTTGACATGTGAACATTTTTCCCTTTACTGATAAAGATTCAAAAAAAATTACGGAGGGTTGACATGACACCAGACTGGAGACGATAAACACAAATTCATAATGCTAACCTTTTTCACTTTCTTAAATAAAGATTGAACTTGAGTGTTTGCTCTTTATTCTGATAACAGACGTTGCTTGCTTTATCAACTTTTAAAGTGTTTAAATATGAGACTTTAATTTGCGTTAAATATCTTTCCTAATCTCAACGAGTTTGTAACTTGATGCTTACCCAATTTACAAGACCATAAAATCCGTTTAAATTATTCAAAAATGTAATAAAAGTAAAAATTTATTTTCCAATTGAAAGTTTTTTTTATAGAACCCAGGTGGATGAGAAACTTTTTTAATCGCCATTTATGTAGAACATGTGAAAACTTCAAATCAAGCTTCAAACAATAAAATGAGATTGCAATTTTATGCTGCAGCATAAATTTATGCTTGTTCGAATGCTTATCTTAGCAACATCAATGGTGTTTCGAAGAGGATTCTTTATTGTTAATTATTTAAATACCTACTTATGTTTTTTGCACGTTAAAGAAGTTCGAAAATGTTTAATGGATCATTTACAAATTGTTCGAAGAAAATTCTGAAATTCGAAAATTCATCAAAGCTTTCCATTCCGTTGTAGCATCTGAAACACAATAATATTTTATCATCGTTAAAATGCAAATCAGATCTGAAAGTTCGAAGTTTTTATTCAATGTTTTACGACATTTAAAGCATTCCAATCGATAGGAATATTCAAAATAAAAAATGTTCAAACTCTTGAAATTTCTCTTGAATAGTGAAGACCTTGATTTATGTTGACTCTATTAAATGTTCCCCAAGCAATTTTCCAATGTCATTAATTTTTAGTCAGTTGAGTAATTAAGTTCTTTAAACTAAGTTCTACTCAAACAAAGGAGCATCAACGAGACCAAGAAAGAATTTACTTAAGTTTCCCTTCTTTCGAATTTTCTCTATTGAAATTTCTTATAAGTGCTTTCAAGGGCAACTCAAAACTTGTGTAAATAATGATAATTAATCAATTTGAAACTTAGCGACGTAAACACCAAGAGAGACTTGAAATTATTCTCAAATAACAAGTTAGATGCTTCACTTGATGCGTATCTTAAAATATATTTACATTATCAATAAAGTTTCTTTGTGAACCGAAGAGATTTCATCTTGTGAACGAATTGTGCTCTCAAGAAAATCCAATTAATGTAATCATTTCGTTGAAAAAATTTTAGTAAACAACACTTAAATCACGTTACAAAACATTAATCAAGTCATTAAAAGTTTGACAAGTTTTGCAATTATGGATATCGTGTTAATTTGTTTTCCGTTATCACACTTCTTAATTAAAACTAATAAATTTGAAGCAGATTTGGGATCACTTAAGCGGCTTTAGGATAAAATCAGAAATATTAATGAATTACGGCTGTGCTTTTATTATTGTCTGTAACTTTTTTGTAAAGATATTTAGTTATTCTTGAAGCTTTTAGTTTCATTTTCATTAATTATGCTCCATCAGAGTCTTAAGTCTTCATCCTATCACAATCCAAGTCCTGAATTGTTGCCAGCCGAAAACAATGAATAAACAAATTTCAATTAGACATGAAAACAATCCTCGCCTCGTGAGATATCAAGTCGTAATAAAAGCACAGTTGAGATGATGGGACATTGAAACACCCTCAAATGCTGCTGGCAGACAAACAATGATGTTTACTGCATAACAAATGAAACTCTGGGAAAGGGTTGTCTTAGTCGTTGGTAAATTCAATCATCTCTCGCCTGAGGCATCATCTGCTAAAAGCAAAAACAGAGGGCAAAGGCTGTCGGCTAAAGACTAGGCTAGAGACAATCTTTTCAGCCTAATGTCATCTTCAGTTCATTGGGTTGACGCAAAACGCAATCATTTGGAGTCTCTCTTAAAAAGAAACTCGTCCTAGACCTGATGACGATGATGAAACCATTCAGAAGGAAAGTAACACAACATTTACCGATGAGGATAAGAAAACGGAAAACACGCAACAATAACGATAAAGATAATTAATAATTATGAATTGTATGTCCAATCCTCAGAGCTGCAGCTTTCGCCGATAAAAGTTGAAGTCTTTAAACAGAATGACGTCTCATGTGTATTCAACTACAACGATTATCTTCAAAGAGCAAAAGCTAAAGATAGAAGTTGTGTTAATATTTTTCTGTATTGGACGGATATTCATAAAAGAAACAGTAAGTGCTTGTTTTACATCGTAAGACCAAGTCAAGAAATTGATTCAAGTTTTTTAATAAAGAAAAAGCAATCATCTGACTACAGCGCTGAAATTGGAAAAAAAAAAGTTTATTCAGTTTTCAAACACACTTTTGCTTAATGAAACTCTTTTTCTGTTGCCATACACAACAAAAAAAGAAATAAATTAGTTTTATTATTATTTCGTGTCATAAATTGATTAATGGAAAGCTTTCAATGAGTATCCATAAATTTTCAGAATACGTCGCTTAGATATCGAATGGAAAATGACATCATTTAATGTTGGCTTAGCTAGAATGACGTCGCTCTTTTTCTGAAGAATGGATTTAAAAATTCGAGGAAATAAAATATTTTCAAGTGAAGCAGCTTTGCGATTACGTCTCATCGAATATTTATATAACTCTTTTGGATCTCACAAATTTGTCTTTTTTTCTCTTTAATGATATACTTAAACTGACTTAAACATGTAGATCTCGGTTTTATTTAACGTCCTAATGAGACTCTCATAAATATTTTCCTGGAATTTTACTCTCATCTGTTTTCATGGCGAAAATATTTTCGTAAGGAAAAGAATATTTCCGCAGTATTTTTATCGATTGTGCCTTCTAACAAAGAAAAATAACATTTCCTGTAATCGAGTTCGTGATGTCTTGTACGAGAAAGTCACAAAATATTATGTTAAACATGATCTTAGTAGATACATAGAGAAAAACGAGGGAAAATATTGAAGAAGTGAGAATATTTGCTGCCCCTTAAAGTTATGCTAAATCAACATCATCCTAATTTTCAATGGATAAAATTTCTCTTAAAGCTTCATGAACGTGAACATGAAGACATAAAAAATGAATGTTTTATTCAAATGAAACTAAAAATTCATTATATTTTCAAATTTCAGCAATTTAAGTAGAAAACAGAAAGAAATTTGTCAGTAAATTTATTTTTATTTCGGTTTAATCTTAAAAAAAGAAATTTTCTTTGCATTATCTGCTATGCAAGTAATTTAAAGTCTCAGAAGTATTTCTCTTTAAGAGAATCAAAAAATAATAGCAGAATATGCGTAAATTGATTTATGGATCATAAAACTTGAATATTAATAAAGAAACGAGAAGATGAAAATATTTTAAGTTCGTTAAGGTAGGAAAATAAATAATCCAAAGTTTTCTCACAACATTCAAAATTCTTCGTTATACATTTTATTAAATTTAGCAGTAAGACCTTTTGATATATTCCATTTTCAATTACATATTTCTATCTGTTATATCGGGTTTAACGGCTAGGTGGAATTTATAATATAAATTGATCTTATCAAAAGTTTTTCAACGCGTGCTCGTTTTCTTTTAACGGCAAAGAAGGACTTGAGACGATTATGTATAAAACAATAAGAAAATTTGAAGTGATCGAGCCCAGAAAACTTTGAGAATCTTTTGACAATCACAAGTAATTGCTTTTTCATGTTTCGTCGTTTAGAATTAAATTCTCCGTGTTGATAACAAATTCATATCTATTTCAATATTTAGTCGATGCGAAAAACTTTTTAAATTACTTATTCAAAAAGGAAAGAAAAGTTATTCAATTAATTGCTTTTAGAATCAATAAAAGTTATGAACAAGCATTGCTTTTGGCGGTGACGCAACATCATACACAATGTAGAATGTGTAGGGATGAAATGAAAATGAAATTTTAAATTTGAGTGAATTCCATTAAAGGAAGTTGTACGTGCACATGATAAAATGAAACAACGACGAATTTTAGTATGAATCGTTGCAGTGTTTGCTTGAATAATTTTAAAGCACTTGACTTCAAGTTATTTGCGAAATTGTTGGCTGCGAAAATAATTCAGATGCAGTAACATTCTTTCACTGTTTAACTATTTATTCCAAAGAATTTTCTTTGCACTTTAAAATTAACTTAACTGTCAAGAACCCAGAAATCCTAAAGAAAAATTCCTTCGTGTGTTTTTCGATGTAAGCACATCATCAGAATGAAATTAAATCTTACAAAGTTTGCTAAGAGTCATTCTTTTGTTTGTTCGAATGTGTGGCACTTAACGAGTTGTTCTTGTGCTGAAAATTTCTTTTGAATTCTTCTCAAGTTTCAACGTGATCAGAATTTTTTGTCACTCTTCTTCACAGATTTCCAATGTCATAGCAACTTATTCTGTGTTGAAAAGCTTCAGAAAAACCATTGACGGAAGCTCGTGGGTACAAAATTAATATTAAAGAAGGTGATTTTGTAACTTTGGTAAAATATTATTCACGTCATTCCTGTCGAATTTAATAAAAAATACTTACGTTTATATTATCACGTGCAAAACGAACCCCCAACGCACTACAGAAGTGTTTCTGACATTTTTGTGTCATTCAGCTTTTATTTAAGCAATATTTGTTTCTCTCATATTTTCAATTCAATTAAATTTCTCTTAAAGATGAATGAAATTTCTATTTTGTTGAATGGCAAGCTCATGTTTAAGTCATTGTCATTCATTTTAAGGAAAAATAAACAGACGTCAACCTTACGTTTCGTGATTAAAATTTCCTTATTCTCCGAACCTTTTTTTATTAGTGAGTTTTAATTATTCTATTTTATGTGTCGTTTGAAAAAACAATTTTCATTTAATGAAGAAGACCTTGTAATGTTAATGGAATCCTTAATGAGAGATATTAAGTGGGAGGACTTTTTTTATCAAAAAAACTAGCAGATATTGTCATAATATTGTTGAATTCAGGTTGAAACACGAGTCATAGACTGAAGTTGTAAATGGGAATTTCCAAAATTCTTTCATTATTGTTCTATGGTTTCACCACATGCTGCTTGTTGTTGGATGCTTTTAAGCATGCTTGGTAAATTGTGCACGTTATGAGATAATAAATTTACTACTTTTTAAGAAGTCTGGTTGTTAAGTGGCAAATGTTTAAAGAACCTTTCAAGTTTTCTAATTTTCTTTTGATTAAGAATGCTTGTTTGCACTCTTAATTTCTCGCTTCAACAAGTCAAGATCCTCTGTCTTATTAAAACTCATTCTTCTGTCTTATTAATGTTGAAAAACAATTTCAATTTGAAAAAAGTGGTGGGTTGAAAAGTTTCATATTCTGTTCATTTCCTCTCAATCGTAAAGCTCACCCACTTTACGCACGATTGTTCTTTATCTTCACATCTTATTCTCAACAGAAAAAGCAAATATTTCCTGACGAACCATAAACAACGCAAGTCAAGCAAAATTCTCAACTGGGGAAAATATTTTTGTCGTTTTTCTCTTTCTCCAGGTTATTTACATTCGGGAAGAAATTCTTATGAAATTTTAAAAAGACAACTTAGTGATTTTATATGCATTTCAATTCAGACAGAAAATTTACATTTTAAGCTCTCGACGGAAGAGCAACATTAATGTTTAATGAAATGAAAAACTTCAAAGCAAATATACTCAATGCTTCTTACCATTTAGAACTGTTTTACTGTCAGAAGAAATTATTTGCGTTGAAATTGATGTTCCACAACAAACAAAGTTCGTTCCACTTCAGTACGAGCACTAAATGAGAGAAGACCATGGGAGATGAATTAACTGAAACATTTACTTCTTTTTTTATCATTTCCATTGGTTTTATTTCTACCACTTTTTTTTTTCTTTTCATCTGAGATATTATTTAGATGAAAGAAAAACTTTATTTTTTCCTCCATTCATCATTAAAACATCTTAATACATTTGCACAAGCAATTAATAACTAATTTATAAGATATATGTTTTTATTCTCTTAACCTTAAGGCTATGGATGCCACCAACCAAGAATAAACCGAAAGCTGTCGTTGCTGTTAGAGAAGGAAATCAATTGGAAATCGAAGATATGTGAACGAATAATGGACTCGAAATCAATTATTTCAATTATTAATTAATCTTTTGCCTGTTCGTTTTCACATACATAATTCAAGTATGTTAATATTCATGACTGCTAGTAGAAGCTCAACATGATTAAATAAACAAGTCATATGAGAATAAATAAAAAATAAAAACAAAACTTAATAACATCAAAAAATAAAAAAAGAAGCTTACGATGAATGTTGCAATTTATCAATAAATTTATCATAAAAATATTTCATCTTTTTGTTATTTTGAAAAACATGTCAAGAAATGATTCAAAAATAAATTGAGTCATAATTCAAGCAAATATTTCTCCCGACCGTCTAGAAACCAAAAGAACGAAAAAATAAATCACTCGGTTCTTTGAGCGATTCTTGGTTTAAATTCTTGACATTTTTATTCGACACTTCCATTTTCCCTCAAACGCTTCTTGGATATTTTAATTATCTACTTCTTCGATTACATCAAACATTTTTCATCGCTTCATGATGCTTTACAAATAATGGAAATATTTCTTTTGGGATTCTTCTGTGTTCTCTTGATTTCCAATTACTTTCATAACTCCAGTTCATTCGCTTTGCTGTTGTAGAAAATACAAAAAAAAGTTTTGGGGCTCTGCTTTTTTTCAATATTTTTTTCCTTTCAGTATTCATCGTTTATTCGCCTTTCGAGATTTTCAATCCTTTTGAGATTATTTGATTGGTAGCTGTGTGTTTTTTTATCTTCTATTTTATGGTTTATTGGCATCTATTGAACATAAACAACATCTGACGATTGATTCTGCAGATTAAATTCTTTCTTCAAAGTTTCACGAAAAATCGAACATTTATTTTATTATTTCCTTCTGGGGTTAGTGACAGATAAAGAAATGTGTTGCCGATCGTCGACGGGCTATATGTGTATGATTAAGTTTTCTAAGAGTTATTCATAGTTTACGTCTCGTTCATCTAGAATCAATTTCTTTTTTCTCTTTATTGAATTAGCAACATAAATCTCAAAGTTATATATCGTGACAGCTTTTTTCACATTCTTTATATTGGAACGTATCGTAATGTATGAAAAACTCGATTCATTGGATGTGCTGACACTACGAAAATTTTTAGTACCATTAGAAGTCCTCAAAGTTCTATCCATCTCTTTAAAAACGTTTGAATAAACAACAATCTGAATAACTCTTCAGAGTTCGTAGTAAAATATCACGTCATGTTTTGATAAAAGCATTTTCACACTTGACACTCTAAAGTAATCTAAATTACAAAGTAGAAGATTTGTTTTTCCATTTTTATGAAAAAAGTTTTTCTTTTCTTCTTTTATCTGTTACACTTAACATAATTGAATCTTTCGTAAATTTAGTGAAACTTAATCTCACAATTTTTTATATTTTTTTTATACAATATCAAGCAAAGGGACTATCCTTAAATGGCAAAATCCATTTAACATTTTATGCAAATATGTTTACTTATACATCTATATATTTGTTTGTTAAAACGTCATACCCTGCACATTGAATAACGAGTTCTATTTGTCATGAGTCTACTTAGATACTCTGCCATAAACAAACACCTTTTTTAATGCTTTCAGACTCTTTTCTTTAAGCATTTTTTTTTGAATAATAAACTTAACTGTAAGGATGACAATTGTAGATTTCTCTGGAGAAACTTTTAATTAAAACAAGAATAAAGACTCGTTATTTATGTTCATTATACATAAATATTAAATTTCAAAGTAACAAACATAAAAAAATTAAGCTTGATACGTTTTAAAGCTTTAACAGCATATTTTCATTCGTTCTTTTACAAGATTTTTCTTTTGATTTCTTATAACTTATGTCAATAATATTATTGGATATATTTTAATTTACTTACTTACTGGCACTTTCACTCAACTTTAACTACCACACTCAATTGACTCATATCCACACCAATTAGACTTCTGGGACTAATTCAAAAGATTGAATTAGAACCAAAAGCCATTTCAGGAATTAAAAGTTGATCAGATTTCTATCGAGTTTTAATCCTTGAATCCAATATACGTCCAGAAACTATTCGTTGATGTACTGCTCGATGAAACTTCAGTCTTGTTTTGTCCACCAGCTTTATTAAATGATTCATTCTGTTGAGAGAAAATGAAAAGTTTTAAAGTTAAAATATTGAAATTTCAGAAGCTTTGGTGTTATGACACTAACAACGGTTGACTCTTATTTGTACATTGGGAATAAAATTTAAGACGCTTTCCGACTTGTTATCATTAAAAATATATTTAGCGAGAGAGTTCAGTTCAGAATTTAATTTTACATTCTGATCCCTTCCCATTAAAACAACAAGTATTTATGTACATATTGTTGCCGCTGTATTAATTTACATAAGATGATACCATTGTAAACAGTACAGACGCCGTTGTCAATCAATAATGTAACTAGGTTTAATATCTCTATCGTAACATAATTTTTCTCTGTTCTATGGAAAATTCTTTGTTCCTTTCTCCATTCTTCCTTTAGCGAAAGCTATTCCAAATTAAAATATAACAATGACAGTTTGTTTATTTAATATCAGTTGGCCAATGTGAAATATTCGAGCAGACACAGAGAAGCATGCAAATATTTATGATGTTTCAACCACAACTCGTTTTTGCTGTTTTAAAGAGAAGAAAATAGCTTTGAAAGCATTTGGTGTCAAAATTGTTGAGCACATGAGTGAAATTAGTGTGGAAAACCGCGAAGAGTTTTCCTTCGGTATTGAAATTAATGCTTGATGGGGTAATAAAGTACTCAACGGAAAATCAAAGCATAATCGCTGTTAATGTCAAAAGTCACAAGATTAAATATTTAAAACTTCTGTTTAAATTTGGATATCATCATAATTATATTAAAATTTATTAAATCATGATGATTGAAAAGCGGGTGCAATGACGCGATTCATTGATCAAATTTTCTAACGTTCATCTGTGACATTTCTCATTTTCATGAAGGCAAAAGCCAGGTGTCGACAACTTTGGCTGAAACCAGTCATTTAGAAAAGTGCTTTTTAATATAAACATCATAAAGCTTGACTTTACATGAATTATCACCATTCCACACACCACATGGTGTTCTTTCATAATTTTCTGCACGTTTGCAGAAGCGAAACATATTAAGAAAATAATGAAGCATGAAGATTTGCGTTTTCCTCTTAGAAATTCTATTAAAAGAAATTCTATTTTTACATAATTTTGTCATTCTGAAAATTGAAGCTTTTTATTTATGATGAACCACAATTGTCTCAGATTACACGATGAAGTATTTCTCAGTTTTTGATTTCATCTCGTCACATGTCAAAATTTAGATCTATGCTAATTGAACTTCATTCGTTTTCTTCTTAGGAAAAGTTGAGCTCAACTGGCAGTCTGGTAAATAAACAGATGTCAAATTGTTATTCTGGTTAATCTTTCGAAAATATTTCCCAGTAAAAATTTATATTAGATTATTATGAATGCTTTAAAAAGACGTTCATTCATTTTTCATTATTTGCTTTTAAGTTGTCCACGCCCTCAGTCAAATTCCTACTTTAAATTCATATGAAGATATTTACATAATAGGGTAGTCAAGCTATGGATCAAAAAGTTTCCATTGACAACAGTTTTGAAATATTTTTGTGAGATTCTTTCATGTCTCATTAATCTCCATTTGTATTAACAAATCCTGAAATAAATGACAGATCATTCCGTTCAAGATCCTTGACGACGACTCTTTAATCCTTAAACAAAAGCGAGAGAATTTCAAGCCAGTTCAACAATGGAAAGAGAGTAAAATAATTGATTGAATCGATCAGTGAACTGATTAAAGTGTGGCAAACTTATTATGAGTTTCAGTTTTCCGCCAAGAACCAAAGCTTCATTCAAGATTCCTTTAAATTGTGATATTAGACATTGATTAATTTATTGATCGAAGAAGAAGAATTGTTCAATATCAGATACTACTTTAAGAAATATTTATTTGTAGCATCCCAAACTTTCTTTATTTTTATGTTTTTCCATCATCAATCTTCTCCTTCGCAATTCTTTTTATTATAAACTCTTTTCTTTTAGATATTGTTGATATGTTTATCTACACAGTTTTCAAAATTTAATAAAGAAATTTGCAGAATCTTTTTGATGCCATTAAGAAAGCTGCTTCGTTATTGTTCTAAATTGATCTCATTTTTGGGTCAATTTTATTCTATGTTCCTGATCTCTCCTCAATACGAACGTTATAGCAATGTAACAATGATTCAATATATCAAGGAATAACAACGGATACTTTCACTTATTCAATTTAGGAAAATAACGAAGCATCTTGGAAAAAGAAATTGTTTATCATCCTGAATAGAAATTCCTTTCCTAATGGCATCAAAAAGATTCTGCAAATTTCTTTATTAAATTTTGAAAACTGTGTAGATAAACATATCAACAATATCTAAAAGAAAAGAGTTCATCATCATCATCAGAGTAGGGAGTGCACGACTGTACACTAAANCTTCTTCCTCGATCAATAAATTAATCAATGTCTGATATCACAATTTAAAGGAATCTTGAATGAAGCTTTGGTTCCTGGCGGAAAATTGAAACTCATAACGAGTTTTCCGCACTTTAATCAGTTCACTGATCGATTCAATCAATTATTTTACTCTCTTTCCCAATGATGAATTTATTTGAAAATCTCTCACCACAATAGTTCTTTCAAATTAAAATTTCAATTAAAAATATAAAGAAATGTTTCACAACAGTTTCCTTGGTGTTGAAAGCTTGAACTCAAAAGAAACTTTGTAAAAGTAATATCCGATAGGAATAAATAATGAAAGCAGACAATCGAATGTAATTAAAATGTCATGAACAGTGTAATTTACGTAACCCTAAATTTTGTTGATTAATTAAATGAAATCTTATTTTTACAGTAAATCACGTAATAAATATCATTTAATCAGGAAAATTTACACAGCTAAATAATAAAGTAGCAAATGCAAGCATGAGAACATGTAATTAATGTAAATCAATACTTAATTTTCAATTTTATTTCGGAAAGCTCTTTTCAAAAAGAGTTTAATGAAGTTAACAACCACGTTTCAATATTTAATTACATGACTTCAGCTCCAATTTGTGTCATGGTTTCCCTTCACTTGATTTTTCCTGTTTTACAAGGGAGTCAAACACACCCAACATGATTAACCAAACCAAAAATTCAATTCGCTTCATTTATTAATTTTACGATTTTCTTTCAGCAATATCAAGCGAGTACGCTTAATCCTAATAAATTGTTTTCCCGCTTCAAAAAGTTCTACCAAGCAATAAATCATAAATTCTTGAAAGAGAGGGAAAGCGTGTTGAGCAAAAGAAAGCAAAGTTGTAACCACTGACTGAGCTTATAATTCCTTTTGAGTCGAGGTTTCTCCAAACAGACACAAGTGCTTGTCGTTTCTCTTTTTCGCGGAATTTTCCAGGATCAATTTAGTGGAAATATAATTTGAATAAAATGGATTATAAGCGAATATTTTAGAGCGGTTCATAAATATCCGACCCGACATTAAACTTGTGTAATTTAAGATGTCAAAAGATTACATCCTCGTTTCAAGAGTTATCTTTTGTTCCAAGGGTTAACACCCAGACATAATCATTAGCATATTTTTATGCCAACATTTGTAAGTAAAACGTGACCGAGTTAAGTTTAAGTACGTAAAAGAAGATTTCTCACAAAAAATATTGCTCAATTACTGTCGAAATGCGGTAAAAGTCCTTCAGAAAGCTTTTTTCGCATTTGTGGTCACTCAAATTAATTGGATTATGTTGTATACAAAACTTTTCACTTTGTTCATTACCGCACTGCTTCGAGTTGTTTGAATCAATGTCATAAATTATTCGAATTAAAAACCGCCAGCTTTTCGAATGTGAACAGAAGTTGTTTAATAGACCGTAGGCGAAACAAATCGAAGCACTTAACAAGTTAAAAGCAATCAATAAATATTATAAATAAGAGCGATTGAAAAATCGATAAGCGAAAAACTCACCACATTCATTTCAACTAATTGACGAGTCTTGTGTTCGTGATGTGGACGTTCTCGGTGATATCGACGTCGATGATACGTTTTCATCCTTAACGATCAAATTATTCTTATCAATTGTTGTCTTTGTTGAATTGGTTGAAAAATTACCGTCATTATTTCTATCCTTTTCTTTGTGGTTGGCATCGTAAGTGTTCATATCGGTCTCGATGCTTATCATCACGTTCTCATGATTTGGTTGGAGGAATGTCGTTTCCTGACAAGTCTTTTCACCATTTCTTATGAGAGTGTCGTCATTTTTCTTGTTCGTCAACGAACTTAAGAGAGTCTTAGGATTCTTCAATTCGCGATGCGTTGAAATATTCACAAACAAACATGGAAGAATCTGTTTAAATTCCTTTCTAAAATTCTCGTTTAACCACGCATAGAGAAACGGATTGTAAATGACAGAAGACATCGCAAACAGATGTGATGTGAAGAACATGAGATTATAATAGCGATGTTCGTTAAGGTTCATGTTGAAGTCTTCCAAGATGTTTATAAGATTAAGTGGAAGCCAACAAATCCCAAATATGAACACCATTAAAACCAGCATTTGATTAGTTGATGTCTTCTTGCGTAACACCTTCTCACAGCAATTTTTCTTCTTTGAGTTCTTACTCTTCGACAATTTCTTTTTATTATTTCGAAGCTTCCAAAAAATGCAGAAATAACATCCAAGAATAAGTACAAATGGAAGCCAAAATTGTAAAACAGAAGTCACTGTACCAAAAAGTTTCCTAAAGAAATGAAACAAAACAAAAAAAATTGAGAACGGAAAAAGATCTTCAAAGTTTGCAAACAATTAAGATTCGATTTATGTGTCGATGGCAGATGCTTGAATTTTAAATTTCATTTCCCGTGTAATCAAATCATTAATTTGGAAAATATTTTTGGCGGAAGAAGATCGCATGTGCAGATTTTTTGATTACAGAAATCTTTTCCAGACGTCTTAATTCTTAAAAATTAATTTAATAATTGATGAGCATATAAAATTAAGACGATGACTTACATTGACCAATCGTTAATGTTAAATCAACTGTATCAGGTCATGACTTGACTTGTAGAAAAAAGTATAATAGAAGATTATCCGATATTCCAATTATGTTCATCAACATGATTAATCGACTGAATAAACAATTGATTTTGAGAATTAAGTCATCATTATCTTGATTACGAATCTCCTCGCATTATCGACAACACGAAATTTTCAATAATCGCTTCAACAAAGAGAACATTTTGTTGCGAAGTAAGTAACTTCGCTTATTAATAGCAACAACATGTTGTGGGAGGTTGTAATCATTTTCCAACGATTAATCTTAAATTTGAATCGCTGCCAATAAAATTTAATCTAATGAAGATAAATATTGAAATGAATGAAGTTTAAGGGACTCACCTGGCGTCTTCTGAAGGCCATGTTTCCTCACATAGAGTCACCTCCTGATGATCTATTAATCTATCGATAATTTTCATATAATATCCGTATGGATACGTGAGTGAGAATGCACAAATCCATATCAGAAGAAGCACGAGAATGCAAGTGTAGATTTTCATTCGTGGGCGAAATGGAAAAATGATGACAAAAAATCGATCGATTGCGATGGCTGTGAGTGTAAGTGTCGATAAATAAACGCAACAGCATTGCAAAAAAGCCACTAAATGACAAAGAAATATCCCAAATATCCATCGACCAAGAAATGTGTATGTTGGCGTAAGAGTTATGCAAAAAAGACATAAAAGTATGTCAGCAATGGCAAGGTTTGTGATGAAGAAATTTGTCACAGTTTGCATTGTTCGCTGTCTAGCGACAACGAAGCAAACAAGAAAATTGCCAAACATTCCCAATATAAAGATGATCATATAAAATACTGAGAAAATAAATTGCACAAATGGTTTCTGAATCAAGTCGTCAACAGGCAAGATGAAACTTTCGGCCTCGGTTGAGTTGATGGATAAGCTTGAATTATCGAGATACATGTCAGTTGTAGTTGAAAGTAAATAACCATCACGACCGTAATCTGTTGACATTAAAATTGTATTTAATATGGAGCCAGTCGACATTGTTGTAGTCTAAGTATGATGACGATTTTCCTTTCTAGATAAACTTCTATCCGAATTGAAATCTTTAGGTCACACTAAATAACTTGACAATCTCACATTTGGGATTGTTTGTTTAACTATCGTAGAGAATGTTTCGTTTATTTTAGGAAAAAGTTGTTAGCACGATTCACAATGGAGACGTTTTATGCACAAGTAAATCGAAAACCATCCTTTGTTACGATCTAGTCGTAAATATTGCAGAACTTGAATCTTGATAGATTACACCACTAAACCACTGATGATAAATTTATCATTATTTCTTTCAATATTATGACTGTCGAGCCGTTTTTTATGCTGTGCTGGGATTTTTACAATATCTTCTTCTTATCTTTTTCCCGATTCAACTTGTAAGCTTGTTTTAAAGTCGTAAATTCTTTTATGTTTATGCACAGTAAAGACTTCTCTTTCTTTTACCATTCAAGTTCATTGCCGAAAGCTTTTACTTTTGTAAGTAACACGAGAAAATAAGATAAAATTTCCTCTCAACGGGCAGACTTTTTCATCTGAAATGATACATGTTGTCACTGAGCGTTAAATCGCAGCATGGTTGGTGATTGATGGAATTTTCTATGTAGATTGACTTCACACATCACCTGACACAATTCTTTGTTTTTCTTTTTCTTTTCTCGACGTTTTAAAAGTCACGCTTATTCTCAGATGTAAGGAAGAAATTTTTTGAGTTTAAACTTTTCTTCGCTCAGTCAATGCTTTCATTACTCGAATATTGAAAATCGATTCAACACATTCATGAGTTGACTTTTCACAGAGAAATTTCCATCCAACGAGTACACACAGTTTAATCTTTGTTTACTGTTTTTCTATCCATTTGTTTACAAAGTCATTATTTTACTTCAACTTTTTTTTCCTCTCGCTGCTTTTTTTTCTTCACACTTTACTGGCGCACATCGGAAGGCAAACAATGTTGATCATTTTTCTTTCACTTTCAATTAGAGAGTTGACTTTGACTTTTAAATTGAATTGTTCCTCTATTGAATTAGAACTTTTGTTTCACCTTTAAAAGAAAATTTTCTTTTTGGTTATGAAGAATCATGAAATGGTGGTGAAAGCCTAGATTGAACTTTAATTAGCAAATTATTGATTTTTTTATAATTAATATTTTTCAAAGCTCATTCTTGTTGATTAATTTTCCTTCATTAACATCAAATCAGGACTTTTGTTGAGTCACGAACAATAATACCGCGAATCTCAAATATTTCATAACGACTACGTAGCTGTATTTAGCTTTATTACTTAAAGGTCGCAGTTAAATTAATTTTCAATGGAACAATGAAGAAGTAATTTGTACCATGAACCTTTTCATTGCCTAAAAATTCACATTCGCCCACTTGAGTTTTCTTTAAGTGGCTTCAAATGATGATTGTGCCTTTTTTCACTCTCATCTCTTTCGTGGCAGCCAGCAAATGAAAACGTTGGTTCTCTAAGGATTTAAATATGTCAATCAATTAGGAGTGTTTGTCGTCAGTGGGACTAATAATTTTGAAATAATGTGTATAATAAAATAGAAAGCTCTTAAGATTATATTTAAAAAATCCATTTGAAATAATTGCAAATATTATTCAAGACGTTTATCTACGATATCGCTTGAGGAAAACTTAATGGCTTTCAATGATAGTTTTATAAGAAAATATTCGCTAGAAATTTCTCCTCGCTTATGTAAATATTTCTAAACTCGGAAAACTTGAGAAAATATTCAAATTAAGTATATTTGAGTCTTTAAATAATAAACCCTTCAACGAACTTCATTAAAATATTTATAAAGGAGCGGGAATGAAAAATAAAATGTAAGTACGCTTAGAAAATTTGAGCGACAATTATCTTTTAACATTTTCATGACGAAATTAATTCCAAAAACATGTAGCAAGAAAGATTTACTGAATTACGAATGTCTAAAAAATTGCCTGTAGCATTAATTTATATATCATCTCGCACTCATTAAATTTAATTACCATCTTTAGAGTACAGTAAAATTTTTACACCTTGATTGCTCTCTTCTAAATATTTTAACATGTTTTAAAAGTTGAATACGAAAATAAATACGAAAATAACTTCTTCACGACTTTTAATCTTATTTTCTTAAGAAGATAAGTAAGATTATATTAAGTCTGTATCTACATTTGCTGTCTATCAAAAAGGAATAGCCCTCAATTAGTCCACAAATTAACTAAAAGGGAAATAATAATCTTTTAATTGAAGCTTTCGTTATGAAAAGTTTGAGAACCACTGGGATTATTACTTGTGGCTCACGAAACATATTTGATCATTTTTTATTTTTATTTATTTCAAGTTAAGCCATTAATTCGTCTCTAGTGTAAACATTAAATTTATGATGTATTTTAATGACTGATGAAATCGTATCCGATTAATCTTCTTTTCCACAAATGTATCTTTGTCATTAAAACAGTTTTCTTTTTCACCACCACTTTTCCAGTTCTTACTTTAATAATTTTCTCACAATTTATTTTAGCACCGGAATTAATAACTCTTAAGTGTTTTATTTAAAACGTTTTCAGAAGCTTTTCTTCTGATCGTTATAGTCCCTCGAATCGTCGTCAACTGATGGTTGCTTCTCCGTAACATGAGCAATATAAATGAAAATTGAAACAGAATTTTCCTCTCATTTTTAACAGAAGGAAAATTGAGCAACAAATTTTCTCTCTCATTTTCTCTCCTGTTACTGTAAATACTTATCAACCTGTTGCATGTTTTTAAACTTTTCACGGTGATTTTAGCGTTATTGATTGCTTGAGGTAATCATAAATATTGCTTTTATTAATGTTTGTTTTTCATGTAGATAGTTTTGATTTTAAAGTGGAAGGAAAAACTGATTAAAAGCTGAAACGATTTTCTGTCTGCTTTAATTCATTCAACAAGTCAACGTCATGCAATGCCAAAATTAATTTGAGAGATGAACATTTTCTGTTTCTAACTGAAACCAGACACCCGAAATAAAAGTTTTAACATTTGTTATGCATCTCGGTCTTTTAAATGAATGAAAAATAATGAGGCTAGTATTGAATTGAATATTCAAATCTATAATCTAATTGACACTTGTCAATTATCTTCTTCTTGATAAGATAGGAAAGCAGATAACAAAAGAGCATTTAATTTATCGACAGACATGTGGATGGCTAGAAAATGATCATAAAACGACTTTTTTTTGTGACGTTGAACTTCAAATGATTGTTGACTTCAAAACTATAATCAACAATGTTTGTTTTATTAACAACAATTTACAGGATATTTCATTAAATAAATTCATCTATTATATTTGATCTTTAATCTAAATAAAGTTTATCTGAAGCTATTACTGAAAACAGCATGAACTGAACACCGTGAAGCTAGTAATGATAAAAGATGCTCTAAGTCTTTTGCTGTCAATTTCAATTTAATTTGAAAGCAGACACAAGCACAAGTTATTATTTATATTTGTTGTCTTGACAAACTTGCTTAATCATTTCTCAATATTTATTCAACAATTTATTGCCATGCACTCTGAAGAAAAAAATTAGAAAAACAATTTTTTTGTTTCATTTCACTACTTAACATAGTTTCAACTTTATTTACAAATTCAATAAATTATTAACAATAAATTATAATTAAATTTAATTCTAATTTAAAGATTGGAACATTTACTAAAAAAATCAATGCTTAGATTATCAAAGATAATAAAATATCGAGAACTATTGAAATGTTTAATCAACTTCTTCAACTGTTGGTCCACTGTGTTGTTGTTGACCAGCTTTTGGAGTGAATCCTGGACCGCCAGCCCCTCCATGAAGTTTTGCCATTATTGGACTGCAGACTTTTTGGGCTTCTTTCAGATGATCTTCAAATTCTTCTTTCTCGGCGAGATTGTTCGAGTCAAGCCATGAAAGTTCTGATAAACATTTGTCACGTACAACTTTCTTATCATCTTCAGTCAATTTTCCTGCTGGAGCATCTTCTACAGCTTGCTTGCATCCGAAAATGTAAGCTTCGAGTTGATTACGAGATTGAATGCGTTTCTGTTGTTTCTCGTCTTCTTCACGATACTTTTCAGCTTCCGACAACATTCGATCGATTTCGGCTTTCGACAAACGACCGCTGTCGTTCTTGATTGTTATTTTTTCCTGTTTTCCAGTTGAGTTATCTTTAGCTGAAACGTTCATGATTCCATTGGAATCGAGATCAAATGTTACTTCAATTTTAGGAACTCCACGAGGTGCTGGTGGGATTCCAGTGAGATTGAAAGTTCCCAACAAATTGTTATCTTTGGTCATGGCTCTTTCACCTTCATAAACTTGAATTGTAACAGCAGATTGATTATCGGAGTATGTTGTGAAGGTTTGTTGTTGCTTGCAAGGAATTCTCGCGTTTCGTTCAATGATCTTTGTCATTACACCACCAGCTGTTTCAATTCCCAACGACAATGGAGTGACGTCTACAAGCAACACATCTTGAATCTGTGAACTTTGATCTCCTGTCAAGATTGCAGCTTGAACAGCAGCACCATAAGCTACTGCTTCGTCTGGATTGATAGAGAAGTTAAGTTGCTTGCCACAGAAGAAATCTTGAAGCATCTTCTGAATCTTTGGTATGCGTGTTGAACCTCCGACCAACACAACGTCATGGATTTGTCCTTTGTCCATTTTCGCATCACGTAAAGCTTGTTCGACTGGTTGGAGAGTTGATCGGAAGAGATCCATGTTCAATTCTTCGAAACGAGCTCGGGAAATTTTCGAATAAAAGTCAACACCTTCGTGAAGTGCATCAACTTCAATTGTTGCTTCAGTCGATGATGATAATGTGCGCTTAGCTCGTTCACATGCCGTTCTCAATCGTCTCAATGCTCTCATGTTTCCACTCAAGTCTTTCTTGTGTTTTCTTTTGAACTCTTCCAAGAAATGATTCACCAATCTGTTGTCGAAATCTTCACCACCGAGATGAGTGTCACCAGCTGTAGATTTCACTTCAAACAATGAACCTTCATCGATGGTTAAGATGGAAACATCGAAAGTTCCGCCACCAAGATCGAAGATCAAAACATTTCTTTCTCCTTTCAAGTTCTTGTCTAAGCCATAAGCCAAAGCTGCTGCTGTTGGTTCGTTGATGATTCTTAAGACGTTGAGACCAGCAATAGCTCCAGCATCTTTAGTGGCTTGTCTCTGTGAATCATTGAAGTAAGCAGGAACTGTGATGACTGCATCGGTGACTTTTGAACCCAAATAAGCTTCAGCAATTTCTCTCATCTTTGTCAAAACCATCGAACTGATTTCTTCTGGTGCAAACTTCTTAACTTCACCTTTGAACTCAACTTGAAGTTTTGGTTTTCCACAATCATTATAAACTTTGAAGGGCCAATGCTTCATATCAGCTTGAACTTTCTCATCATCAAATCGACGTCCAATCAAACGTTTGGCATCAAATACTGTATTTTGTGGATTCATTGCCACCTGGTTCTTAGCTGCATCTCCAATAAGTCTTTCTGTATCGTTGAATGCAACATAGCTCGGTGTTGTTCTGTTTCCCATTTCATTAGCAATGATCTCAACTTTTCCATGTTTATAGATACCAACACAGCTGTATGTGGTACCAAGATCAATACCAATGGCTTCTCCAGTTTTTTGCACAGAAGGCATTTTTTCACTTTATTTAATTCTTACTTTTATATAAACTTTGATTTAAAATTTTTTCACTTTACGTTCACTGTTAATTTTGAATAATTTTGTTGAATTCTTTTTCTTTTAGTTTGAGATGTTTATCGTTTCGTGTTTTCTTTTAAACTGATTGCCGTAGCGTACGTTTACGCTGCCTTATATATGAAAACAAAACTGTAAAGGAAACTTCTACGTTATTCTCGAACATTCGAGCAGAGTTTATTTATATCCAATGGAAACTTCGAGAAACAATGAGTGGTTTTCAACAATTTCTAGCAGTTTTCTCAACAGTTCTACAAACATTTGACAGGTTTTTATTTCTCTTCAGTTTCTCGAACTTTCTCATGTAACTTTTCCGACCTTCCTGAACTTTCTCCACATTTCTATTTTAAGAACGTTTATGTTACTGATGATTTTTCTACCTATGAGATACCTCTCTCTACGTATGAATGAGTAAATTAAGACATTTCGACGTCATAGTTTCGAGATTTTTTTAAATTTATGAGTTTATAGTGTGCTACTAAAAATATTCTTTGGTATTTGTGGAAATTTTGAAATCATTTTTCTTCGGCAATTTGTAATAAAAATGAGTTGGAAATTTCCAGTTGTTTGTTGCGGAATGAAATTGACATGAAAAATATGTATATATGAATGATATGATATTTTAGTTGAATCACTGATATTCTTTGATCATTTACACTGCTAAAATAAGAATTTAAATATTTGTGAAATGAAAATTTCATAAACAATCAGTTTATGGCCAAATATAGTAAAAGGCTGCTTTATTAATTGTAGCGATGTTTTTGGATGCAGTTCATTTCATAATGGATGTCACAAATTTATCATATAATTATTCCCATATATAAATTTACATTCACTAGAAAAGTCTAATTAAAATCTTTGCTTCATTTCAAACCGAAAGGAAACGCATTTCATAAAAAATGTTTGTCTTGAAATATTGTAAATAAAATTCTAAATTTAACTGTTAAAACATGACAAAGTTCATTGAATCGAAGCGTTAAATCTGGTCACGATAATTTCATAATATGAAGTTGTCTCGCAGTATTAGTAAGGCTTTGTTGATGACATTTGTTAAACGAGATTCAAAAGAAAAACATGAAACAATTATTTTTCATTCAATTTATTAAAATTCTCTCTTCATATTAGTTTCAAAACAAAATATAAATTACAGTGCCAAAAGAGACAATATTTAATTTCAAACTGTTGGTGACGTTCATTTTATTTAATCAACTTCATCGACTCTTGGACCACCGGGTTCACCACTTTTAGGGGCAGGGCCAGTTCCAGCTCCAGTACCAGCTCCAGCTCCAGTACCAGCTCCAGCTCCATGAAGTTTTGCCATTATTGGGCTGCAAAGTTTTTGCACATCCTTCAGATGATCTTCAAATTCTTCTTGTTCAGCGAGATTGTTCGAGTCAAGCCATGAAAGTTCTGATGAACATTTGTCACGTACAACTTTCTTATCATCTTCAGTCAATTTTCCTGCTGGAGCATCTTCTACAGCTTGCTTGCATCCGAAAATGTAAGCTTCGAGTTGATTACGAGATTGAATGCGTTTCTGTTGTTTCTCGTCTTCTTCACGATACTTTTCAGCTTCCGACAACATTCGATCGATTTCGGCTTTCGACAAACGACCGCTGTCGTTCTTGATTGTTATTTTTTCCTGTTTTCCAGTTGAGTTATCTTTAGCTGAAACGTTCATGATTCCATTGGAATCGAGATCAAATGTTACTTCAATTTTAGGAACTCCACGAGGTGCTGGTGGGATTCCAGTGAGATTGAAAGTTCCCAACAAATTGTTATCTTTGGTCATGGCTCTTTCACCTTCATAAACTTGAATTGTAACAGCAGATTGATTATCGGAGTATGTTGTGAAGGTTTGTTGTTGCTTGCAAGGAATTCGAGCGTTTCGTTCAATAAGTTTTGTCATTACACCGCCAGCTGTTTCAATTCCCAACGACAATGGAGTGACGTCTACAAGCAACACATCTTGAATCTGAGAACTTTGATCTCCACTTAAAATTGCAGCTTGTACAGCAGCACCATAAGCTACTGCTTCATCTGGATTGATAGAACAATTAAGTTGCTTGCCACAGAAGAAATCTTGAAGCATCTTCTGAATCTTTGGTATGCGTGTTGAACCTCCGACCAACACAACGTCATGGATTTGTCCTTTGTCCATTTTTGCATCATTTAATGCACGCTCGACTGGTTGGAGAGTTGATCGGAAGAGATCCATGTTCAATTCTTCGAAACGAGCTCGGGAAATTTTCGAATAAAAGTCAACACCTTCGTGAAGTGCATCAACTTCAATTGTTGCTTCAGTCGATGATGATAATGTGCGCTTAGCTCGTTCACATGCCGTTCTCAATCGTCTCAATGCTCTCATGTTTCCACTCAAGTCTTTCTTGTGTTTTCTTTTGAACTCTTCCAAGAAATGATTCACCAATCTGTTGTCGAAATCTTCACCACCGAGATGAGTGTCACCAGCTGTAGATTTCACTTCAAACAATGAACCCTCATCGATGGTTAAGATGGAAACATCGAAAGTTCCGCCACCAAGATCAAAGATCAAAACATTTCTTTCTCCTTTCAAGTTCTTGTCTAAGCCATAAGCCAAAGCTGCTGCTGTTGGTTCGTTGATGATTCTTAAGACGTTGAGACCAGCAATAGCTCCAGCATCTTTGGTGGCTTGTCTCTGTGAATCATTGAAGTAAGCAGGAACTGTGATGACTGCATCGGTGACTTTTGAACCCAAATAAGCTTCAGCAATTTCTCTCATCTTTGTCAAAACCATCGAACTGATTTCTTCTGGTGCAAACTTCTTAACTTCACCTTTGAACTCAACTTGAAGTTTTGGTTTTCCACAATCATTATAAACTTTGAAGGGCCAATGCTTCATATCAGCTTGAATCTTCTCATCATCAAATCGACGTCCAATCAAACGTTTGGCATCAAATACAGAATTCTGTGGATTCATTGCTACTTGATTTTTAGCTGCATCTCCAATGAGTCTTTCTGAATCGTTAAATGCAACATAGCTGGGTGTGGTTCTATTTCCCATTTCGTTTGCGATGATCTCGACTTTTCCGTGTTGAAAAACTCCAACACAGCTGTATGTTGTGCCAAGATCAATGCCAATTGCGGGACCAGAACTACTTGTTGAAGGCATTTTTTAATAAAATTTTCGATTATTTACACAAATTTTTATGTAATATTTTTTTAAAAAATTCAGTTTTCACTCTTGCAATTTATTTAAAACTTTGCACCTTTTGATTCGGCGTTCTTTCCACAAATACTTAATATGCCGAAAAATATCTGTCTTATATGCAGAAAAGAAAAGAAAATTCATGATTCAATACTCCCACGCAAATATACGCTTCATTAAAGCAGATTTTCATCTTGACTCCTTACAATTGTTTTCATGGAATTGAAAATTTGATTGAAAACTAAACCTTATAACAGCTTGATTGAAACTATTGTATGGATCTGCAAACTTGTCAAACAATTTGTAAACAAAAATATTTTATTTTTTCAGCTACTTTATATCAATTTCTTTTAAATAGAAGTTTTATTAATTAATGTGATAATATTTTTTCACTTAAGAAAGAATGTTCAATATCCATCTAGAAAATTTTGAAATGTTCTAGAGCAATAAAAATGTTTCGAGATTGATGTAGAAAAATCTGCTAGAATTTCATCGAATGTTTGAGAATAACGTAGAGACTTCTTAATCATTATGTTTTCATATATAAGGCAGCGTCTACGTACGCTACGGCAATCAGTTTAAAAGAAAACGCAAAACCATAAACAACTCCAAAAGAGAAAATAAAAATTTCATTTGCAAAAAAAGGAAAATTTGGAAAAGTATTTTTGCAGTAAAGTATAAAATCAAAAAAATTAAAGAATGAAAATGTCTACTGCTATTGGAATTGATCTTGGTACCACATACAGCTGTGTTGGTATCTATAAACATGGAAAAGTTGAGATCATTGCTAATGAAATGGGAAACAGAACAACACCCAGCTATGTTGCATTCAACGATACAGAAAGACTCATTGGAGACGCAGCTAAGAACCAGGTGGCAATGAATCCACAAAATACAGTTTTTGATGCCAAACGTTTGATTGGACGTCGATTTGATGATGAGAAGGTTCAAGCTGATATGAAGCATTGGCCCTTCAAAGTTTATAATGATTGTGGAAAACCAAAACTTCAAGTTGAGTTCAAAGGTGAAGTTAAGAAGTTTGCACCAGAAGAAATCAGTTCGATGGTTTTGACAAAGATGAGAGAAATTGCTGAAGCTTATTTGGGTTCAAAAGTCACCGATGCAGTCATCACAGTTCCTGCTTACTTCAATGATTCACAGAGACAAGCCACTAAAGATGCTGGAGCTATTGCTGGTCTCAACGTCTTAAGAATCATCAACGAACCAACAGCAGCAGCTTTGGCTTATGGCTTAGACAAGAACTTGAAAGGAGAAAGAAATGTTTTGATCTTTGATCTTGGTGGTGGAACTTTCGATGTTTCCATCTTAACCATCGATGAAGGTTCATTGTTTGAAGTGAAATCTACAGCTGGTGACACTCATCTCGGTGGTGAAGATTTCGACAACAGATTGGTGAATCATTTCTTGGAAGAATTCAAAAGAAAACACAAGAAAGACTTAAGTGGAAACATGAGAGCATTGAGACGGTTGAGAACGGCATGTGAACGAGCTAAGCGCACATTATCATCATCAACTGAAGCGACAATCGAGATTGATGCACTTCACGAAGGTGTTGACTTTTATTCGAAAATTTCTCGAGCTCGTTTCGAAGAAATGAACATGGATCTCTTCCGATCAACTCTCCAACCAGTCGAACAAGCTTTACGTGATGCGAAAATGGACAAAGGACAAATCCATGACGTTGTGTTGGTCGGAGGTTCAACACGCATACCAAAGATTCAGAAGATGCTTCAAGATTTCTTCTGTGGCAAGCAGCTTAACTTCTCTATCAATCCAGACGAAGCAGTAGCTTATGGTGCTGCTGTTCAAGCTGCAATCTTGACAGGAGATCAAAGTTCACAGATTCAAGATGTGTTGCTTGTAGACGTCACTCCATTGTCGTTGGGAATTGAAACAGCTGGTGGTGTAATGACAAAGATCATTGAACGAAACGCGAGAATTCCTTGCAAGCAACAACAAACCTTCACAACATACTCCGATAATCAACCAGCTGTAACTATCCAAGTTTTTGAAGGTGAAAGAGCCATGACCAAAGATAACAATTTGTTGGGAACTTTCAATCTCACTGGAATCCCACCAGCACCTCGTGGAGTTCCTAAAATTGAAGTAACATTTGATCTCGATGCAAATGGAATCATGAACGTTTCAGCTAAAGATAACTCAACTGGAAAACAAGAAAAGATTACAATCAAGAACGACAGCGGTCGTTTGTCGAAAGCCGAAATCGATCGAATGTTGTCGGAAGCTGAAAAGGATCGTGAAGAAGACGAGAAACAACAGAAACGCATTCAATCTCGTAATCAACTCGAAGCTTACATTTTCGGATGCAAGCAAGCTGTAGAAGATGCTCCAGCAGGAAAATTGACTGAAGATGATAAGAAAGTTGTACGTGACAAATGTTTATCAGAACTTTCATGGCTTGACTCGAACAATCTCGCCGAGAAAGAAGAATTTGAAGATCACCTGAAAGAAGCACAAAAAGTCTGCAGTCCAATAATGGCAAAACTTCATGGAGGGGCTGGCGGTCCAGGATTCACTCCAAATGGTGGTCAAAAACAACACAGTGGACCAACAGTTGAAGAAGTTGATTAAATGCGCTTAAAATTATTTCATGTTTCGTTAATCACAAACATGTTATTATAACCAATTTAAATGTAAATTCCAATCCTAGTCTCTTCATTAGTTCAAATGTTATCATTATTGTGATTAAAAAGTTTAAATCTTGTACTTAGTTTAAGTAAGCGAAATTAAATTATGTAAAAATATTTATGTACAGTTAAAGCAATTTTATGAAAATGAAATAAAAATTCCATAAATTAGCATAAATATTGAGTGTCAGTTTAAAATGTTAGTTTTTTTCAACATTTCAGTGTGTTCACACCTCAAAATGCCAGGAACATTCAGTAAAAGTTTTAAAATTTTAATTGCTGACAAGACATGCAGCGATCTTGTTCATCCAGGATTAACTTGCATGGAAGCAATGAAATTAAATTTAGTCGATGGAATAATCGGTGGATTAAAATTTTATCTTCCTATTTTCTTAATTCCTTTGTTCATGAAAATAAAAGATTGGAAGAAAGTGAAAACGTGGAAAGATTTTCTCAAAGGTTACGGCAGAAGTTGTTTATTTGCTTTGTGTCTGAATTTTTGTTCATTTACCGGCATTTGTTTTACTTAGTAAGTGAGTAAAGAGTAAAATGACGAAAAGTTTTAAAATTGAACTAATGTAGCGATGGGGAATTATTTCTTCAATCACTGAACACTTTCACTGCTGAAAATCACTAAGATTAAGAACACCGAATTTTGATTCCTTTCTGAACTGTTTTTAATTAAAAACACTTTGAAATATTTTTTAATTACAAAACTTGGGAAGAAGAAGAAAGCCCCGAAATAAGTGCTCGCGGCTTTTATATTAAATCTAATTTTCTCTCAGTCATTTATGAGCCTGAGAGTTACTCTTAAAAATTATGATCATCCACTCCACAGGAATGATCGCCATAAAGCATTGCGACATTCTGAAATACGACGCAGAAAACATGCGTGCAATGCGCATGAATTTCGACGTAAAGTATTTCAGTATGTAACACTAAATAATGAATTTTGCATTGCAGTAAATGGCTTCCATTATTTCTGACGTTACCAGCTGGTATTGGTAGCTTATTTTTCTGTTTTGTCCCACCGAAAGTACGAAAAGCCGAAGGTCAAGGAATGTTTAATATGTATGTGGAGTTTCTCATTCGTCGGTCGCGTTCCAAGTTGATCGCTTCCATCAGACAATCGAAAGTCGTCGTAACTTTATTGTTTAGTATTTTAAATACTTGCATCGTTTATGGATATTTAAGAAAAGCTTCTATAAACTTTTGGTTCACTTCGTTTCGAATAACAAAACAAGAAAATGACGACAAGACACTTGCCAAAGGTTGCAAACTTATCCATGACGAAATCACGTGTTTTGATTATTTGAAGCAGGTGAGTTTGGGGAAATCATTTACAATCGACTGCGATTTGCATCTATTAACGAAATTTAATTTCTTTAGGAACTAAAACAAACAGCGAAATTTGCATTTGCTTTGGCGGCAATTAAAGCGATACCAGGAAGAATTTCTATGTTGTACAAACAACCACTCGAAATGCCAAAAAGGTTGCTAACAAAGTTCGATTATGAAATGTTCATGTTCATCATGAGTTTAAATGGAATCTTTAAGGTAAAATTCAATTATTTTATATCCACTGTAATTAATTTGAATGATTTTCAGTATCTCTTCTGTCTTCTTAATCGAAAGTCAAGATTTTCAATCGAAACTAATTGCATTGTGTCATCGTTGATATCAGGAGTCGGATTTTTATTCTATCCTCAATATATCGTCTTCACGATGGCAATGACAAACGCAGTAGAGTCAATTTATCATTGTATCGAACAGAGCTTTAAAAGCCGAGGGAAAGAACTGCCACTGGTCATGAAACTGATAAACAAATTTCCACTGGTCTACTTTATGTTTCTTTTTACTGCTGGTCTTGACATTCAGTTGAGAATTTTGTATCCCAGTTTGGTCAACAAGTACACCCACAAAATTTTATCAGTGCTAACAAATGGAAAAGGCGACGAACTTGCAAAAAATGTCATCAAACTCATGATTGGATTCGAATAATTTGTCATAATTGAAAAGTGAAGTCATTTTTAGCCCGCCTGTCGTCTGCCTTGAAATAAATCTTAAATTTCTTATCACAATGGTGTCGCAGGTCAACACAGCAATTAAATTAATTTGTCAAGTACATAAATAAAATTTTTCTTATTTTATGTCTGGTTTAATTACGAACCTGACCCGACTTTCAAAAACTTCCTTTTGATTCGACCGATTAAATATTGTTTATGGTGTTAGAAACATAAGTTCTGACAAATCGTTGCTTTATCTGTCTACGAGTTGACATAAATTTTGATTTATTGTGGCGCAAAATTTCTTTCTTCTTTTAAAACTTTAATCTTGAACTCGTAACTGAACGAAAGCGGATTAAGCTTAGGCATTGTGATTAAGGAAACTTTGGTTTTCAGCTTCCAGGCTTGATAAATTGCTTCAAGCACCACACAAGTTGATAAATTTAATTATAAAATCAGAAACATCAACAATACTTAATTACTGATGATTTAATTCTACTTAATCTCAATTGTTCATTTGATGTGCTGCTTAATTAAACCTCGATCAATCTTCGTAGACAAATTCAAATTTAAAATATTGATAATATTTTTATTGTGCGTTGCATGTCAGAACCGGATCCATATGCAAATTGAAGAAGAACGAGAACAAGAATTTAATGTTTATTTATTTTTGTCGATTTATTCAGCACATTCAGTCAATTCTTGATTTATTTTCGTTTTCTCAAAATAGAAATAAGAAGATTCAAGATTGTGACGAGACTTGTACTTAATCATTATCGCACTTGCAATAAATCGTAATTTATGACTTGATTTCATCTTTAAATTGTTAATTTAATTAAAAATATCACAACATTTGAATAGTGATCGTCGTGATAATAAATTGCTGAAGGTCACTGAGTGAAGAAATTCTCGACGTTCATCGCTACGAAATCTTTTCGATTTCAAGAGAATTCTTCACATGGTTGATTAAACTCAGATGTTTTACTCAAACATTTGCTTAATTTTCTGGTTACGCACAAATAATAAAATGAGAATTTAAACTCAATTTTTAGTCCATTTATGACACATTAAAATTGGTAAATTGTTATGTGTTGATTGCTGACAAAAATGTTAATTTAAGTTCTGGAAAAGTTTAATTTGTTTTTAATTGTCATTAAAATTGACAAGTAGGAAGAATTTTAATGAATAGCATTGACACTAATGATGAGTTAGACATGGTTGAGTGAAGATGGTTTAATGTCCCTAAAACAAATTCTGAGATTTTTAAGTTCATTCTTTTATTTCACCATTCGTGCTTTGCTTCAGTTGTCACGTAGACCACACAAGCCTTATTTGCTGAACTGTAATAAACACTCAAGATATTTGATTTACCGATAATCGCAATGATAATTCGGCATGAGGCCTGAATTGACTGAGTGTTAACAAGAAGTCTGACGATACAAATTAACTGTCAAGTGGCTTGAAGCACTTGATTCATAAATTTTCCCCACCTTGACTTTAATTCGCAGATTTTCACTGGATGACTTTCAATTATTTTTCAAGTTTCAAGTCAAAAAATCTTTCTTAATCTTTTTTTTAACCTTTATTGCTTTGTTCAACATTTAACTTAACATAAAATTGTGTTTAACTCTTTTCTCTTACTTAGTTAACATTTAAAAATTTAACCACATCGTGCAATTATCGTCGCTTCATATTTTAATTGTCCATAAATGTTTCCAAATTAATTGCTAAATATTATTTAATTATTGATAGTTAAGATTAAGAATGATTTATTCCACATTATGACTAGTAAATTTTATTCTCGTGGACATTCTGATTAACATTAAATTGTGTTGTGTGTAGTTGGTAACTTTGTATGCTTAAATGATTGCTTTTGTGCTTTAAATGCAAAAACTAATAAAATGTAAACCTTAATAATGGCACAATTAACAACAAAACGAGATTTTGTAACTTATTTCAATTTCATTCCCAATGTTGTGATAACTAAGGAGACGAACATCAAAAACATTGAAGCGCCTTTGAATGATGCCGCGGAATATTCTGTAGAGCCTTGAATATAAACTAAAGCTCGACTGTTAAGTGGTTGAATATGTCGGTAGTTGTGAGTGAGTTTTTGTCCCTCGTCATCCTGAACAGCTTTAAATCGTTCAACCTTTTATTTAATGGAAGGAAATAACGACTGTAATTAATACAACTAAATTGTTATCGATTGACATACCTGATCCATAGAAATAGGAATCGATTGATCAAACACAGTCCAAACGACAGCTTCACCACATCCAGGTGTTGTCAACGAACCTTCGTATCGGAAATAACTTTGCAAACGCTTTGGCAACAAATCATCAAGCAAAAGTTTGTCTTTGTAAGTTTGATTTCTCCCAACTGCTTCGAAAATGTTTCCTGCATTCAACAAAATATTTTCAATGATCATGTTGGGTTCTAATGAAACATGGAAGAGAATTCCAAGAACGGCAACGCCATTTTTCTCTTGTGCAGCTCGTGTAATGCTTTCGAAACGTTTTTCATGGTGAACCATATGCAATTCAAGAGCGTATCTGTTGGAAATTAGTTCAAGATGATTAGAATTTGAATTTCTTATGAATAATTTAAAATTTCTTACCTGTCGTTGTTAATCAAATGTTCAGATGCCCAATGGAAATGCATTTGATCGAAAATGTAAGTGCCGGGAAGGCCACCACCGCTGACAGAGATTTCACCTGGCGTCGTGCTTATTTGAACTTTAAATAAACAAATTGTAAACAAACATTATCAAAAGTGCTTCAAACGACGTTTAATTGTCTCACATAAATCTTTGATGAGCTGATGAGTTTCGATACCATCATAAAACAAAATATCACAATTGACAACGTTTAATCGTTAAGTCAAGTGATTACTTGAGCGAGCATTAACTCTTAATGATTCAACTTCAAAAGATTTTTTGTTGGAAATTGTCTCACAGTTAATGAAGAATATTATTTTATTAGCTCAATAATAAAGTGTGGAATTATGTGAGATTAACTGAAGGTGAAGCGAAGTGGCAGTGACTAAGTCATGACCAAGGTGACACCTCAGTAGATAATAATTAATATTAAGCACTTACTTGAGTGTCCATTGTTGATAATGTCGGGAGTTTTCATCGGAGTGTCGTAGTTTTCAAAAATAAATCCGGGATATTCTCCTTTAATCGAAGCATCGTGTGCCAAATCGACGGGACTTTGTCGCATTCCAGCAGCACACATTCCACCCCAATCTTCATTATCTGATTAAAAATAAATTGAAAATAAATTATTGTTTACGAATGTCTGCAATAAGAATAAAAAAGTCATTAATCAGCAATTTTTCCCTCGACATTGAAAAGCTGTTAAAACGTTTTCAATGCTAACAACAAAGCATTAGTGGAAAAAGTTTGAATGTTAAACTTTTTTTCCCATGCTACTTGTCATCAAATTAACATATTTTTTTTTCGTCTGTAGCTGTTTAAATTTCTATGCGTCACATGATTTCCGATTTTCTTTTTGCCTTATCAATTTAAAAATAATTTGTCGTTTAAATTATTTTTATTACTTTTTTCTTTTTTTGATGAAAACTTTCAAGCGACTTTAATTTAATCTTTATCTTCATGTTGCTAGTGATTAAAATTTTATAGACAATTAAACAAATGAATTATGTGATGAATTCGTAACTCAACAAGTCTAGTGTAAAAAAGAATTTAATTTCTTCTGAAATCTAATTAAAAACTTTCATTGTTTATGATTTGAAATTCGCGAGTTTATACCTTTGCTCTTTGCGAGATTTTAAATAACTTCAACAGACATATAAAAGTCATCTGCTTATGTACCTACATCAGGTTTTAAGTTGTTCAGTTTTTGCATAACTTAATAAACAAAATTTTTGCTTAGATATTCATTTAAAAAAAGAAGTCATAAATCAAGGCGCCTGTTTGCATCGTATTTATGTTTACTTAACTTTGGGAAGTGAATTTGATGATAAGTTTTGCAAGAAAATAATTAGAGCAGAAGAAATCACGAGTAAATAAAATAAATTTCTTCATTTCATTTCGTTTTAATGCATTTCGAAAAAGCTATCAATCAGCATTCTCAAAATAAACCACAGAAAGTGTAGAATCAACTTTTAACTTTATTGCGGATGGTGGTTTGGAGTGGAAAAATTCTTCAATAAATTGCAACTAATTTGAACTCGGCCTTGTAAATAATTTGAATATTTTCCTTTTTTCATCTTTTAAAAATTATATAAAAATTTTCCACTTATCGGAAAAACAATTTCCCGACCATCATTTTCATTGCAATCATTGCATGATTGTGTCAATTACAATTCCATGAACAGAAATCAATCAAATCAAGCTGACAATGCATCAATTGCTCGTCAGCAAAGAATAATGAAATGAAATTTGGAACAACGCTGATGCTTCACTGACCTCACTTTAAGTTCAATTTCAAGATCATCATTCATAAACCGACACCTACTGAAATGTAAGTTGATAAACATGACACACAAAACGATGATGTTCGGCTCATAAATCCACTCAACAAATCAAGCGTACGAGTCAATGAGATTGTGAGCAAAATAACCAGAACTAGGTTTTTATTTTATGAATATTTATCTTGATGACAGTGACAAAGAATAAAACATAAATTATTGTTCTTTTGTCAGTGAATTTGGACCGTGATAAAAATAAATTTGAATGTTCTGCCAATTTTTCGTGTAGATATAATTTACGATTTTTACGCGTGGGTCATTTTGTAAAAATAGATTTGAAAGTTTTTTGGGGACTTGTTTCAGCAACACTTACCATTCACAACTCCATTGGGTCCTTCTACAGCATAGTGCCAGTGATCAGAATTCACTGATGTGACGGTTAAATATCCTGTGAAGAAAAGTGCACTGAATTAAAATTTCTGTGTACGAGAATTCTTTAAATTCTTTCTGCAGCAATTTAAGCATTTCTATTTAAAATTTTGCCTTCATGAAAGAGTTTATGACAAGTCTGAAACATCATTTGTCATTAAAAGACGAGAAATATTGACGAGATTAAAGGAAAGAAGGTTTGTCAAAGAATCTCGTGGGTTAACAATCAGAGGCAGACATTTTCCCTGCCAACAAATTTAATTTTTATTTTTCTAAGTCAGCTTCAAATAATTTTCAAGAATATTTCATCATTTTTCTGTTTGAAAGAGAAGCGAAAATATTTTCATAATAAATGTCACATTAATGTCAAGCATAATTGGGGAAGCTGATAATCAATCTTCATATGTGAGTGACTCTGATTATGTGTATGATTAATCTAAGGTGAATTTGATTGAAAGTCTTGTAATGAACTCGCTGACCCATCAGTGTCATCATTTCTAAGCAAATCTTTTGCAATTCTCGCTAATTTATTATTCACTTTCGTCTTTTTATCTCCCATCGTACATAAATTGACGTTTCCTTCGCTTTGTAAAACAATCAAGTCATATGTAATTGTCTATCTGATTGTCTTTTCACAAATGTTCTTCTCACGTTATCATCACCAAAGATTGAATATTGTTGATACTTTGTTAATAAATTTAAAAATGTTTTGTATGTAAAGCACATGTCATTGATATGGCCAAAAATATTTTGACATTCATTCGTCAAAATTCCGACTCGGAATTTCTATAAAGCAAGAACGTAAAGAAAATATTTTTAGATAAGATAATTAAAGTTTTGTGTGACAAAAAGATTAAAAGACGTTTTATGGGTAACTTTATAGGTTGGTTGTAAAGTTTCGTTTACCACTTGACACAGTTTTCTTTTTAATTTTATTTATCTTCTTCAATTTACTTTTTATTGTCGTTAATCAATTTTAAATCTAGTCAAACATCTTTTTCTTGATTGAGATATTTGAACTTTAATTTCATTAACTTTGGACACCCACTGGGCACTTTTCCAAATAAAATTTAAACGGGAAATTCACTTAAACGTGATTCTGTTTGCAGTTGTAATTGACCAGATTTCAACTATTAAATATCGTTTAAAACTTGAGGTGTACAACATGTGCTGAGGTTTTACAAAATAATAATAAAAAATATTGCTGTAAACTTAATTCACAAATTTTATGTCCTAGACATTCTATTTCTATTTAATGGAAATTTTCAAGTTTTTTCGCGCTTTTACTTTAATCATCTTTTCGTCGGAAAATTTCAAGAACGTCTTCAAAGAAAATTTTTGCTCTTTTCGCACTTTAAGTAAACTCAACAGAAAAATCCCATCAGAGGTTTATTGACTGGTGCTATCAGGAGAAAACCAGATTTATTGGGCTATTTATTAAAGTTGCGTCTCATTTTACAACCGTCATAAAATATTTACTTACTCAAGAATTGTGATCGAGAAAAATCATCATAACAAAAGACTTGAAAGAATCTCTGATGTAAAGATAAATAAATGGAAATTTCCACATTAACTAAGTGCAGTTTCAATATTTTGAAACCTTGACTGAGTGCTTAGGTAGCGAATTGATATCGTCAAGAAAACCTGATTGACTTTTATTCTTATCGTTTGTCATGGGACTTCAATGCTTTATCAATCGCCTGCTTACGTATTTTTGATCATTCAGACAGCATGCATTGCTTTTATGAGACTTGCAATGCTTGAACTCGATTGAAGCTAATTGGACGACAATAAAAATCTCTTTCATGATGATAACTGTTCTGAGATTAAACTGAGTTTTTAGATTAATTTCTGACTTTAATTTTGTTTCTTGATAACGGCAGTGGAAAATTGATTTATTATTTTATAACCAATTGTTAGATGCATGACAATCAATAAGAAGGTGACAGTCATCACTTGACAATTGGAAAATTCGCCTTCAGCATTAAAAAGCAATTATTTTGTAATAACTCGTCTTTAAATTCCCATTTACGGATTAGCAAAATTTATTAGCAATTAACTTCTTCAAAGTTAGAAAACTTAGAAGTGCTTTTGATTAAACTATTCTGATAATAAGTTTCAAGTGGCCATTTCCACAAATTACTTTAACAAACCGTTGCCGCCATCCTTTCCTTTAATGTTGAAAAATGGTGAAATAAATTCAGATTAAAAAGAATTTGCTTTCGGAAACTTCCACCTAAATGACAACATTAAATATTTGCTTGATGTTAAGCATAATTTTTATGGTTACAACTGATAGAATAAATATTTAACTGCTCGTCTTTAATAATCTTTCATTACGTAAATAGGAAGAAAATGTGCCATGATCAAACACAACACTTCAAACTCTTCCGTTTTGATGTTAATAAAATCATAAACTTAAGTCATTACGCTTAAGTATAATTTCGTATTGAAGACGAACGATTTATCATAATTTTGCTTGCATGCTTTCAAAAATTTTTACAATTGCATGTTGTTGATGACACTTTTGGATGCTTACGAAATCTAATATTGGCTTGTAATGAGCCTCAAATATTTTAAATCTTGTGACTTCTTCAACTTCATCAATTGAATACTTGAAACTTCTACTTACCAGCCACAAATATCACCAATGCTTTATACATCGTTTGCTCACAATTTTATTTTTTATCTCTTTGTTCTCAAATTTTTAATTTTTTATTCACCAGAAAATTTGCTCGTCAAATGTTTTTGTTTTCTCGATTATTTTTAAAGGTGATAGCAAATCGGATTCGATGGCAATTAGAAAGTGCAAAAGGAAAAAATTATATCGAACAATTGCTATTTTTAATTGCTTTTAAGTCACGAAAAAAAAACTTTTTGTTGGCAATGAACTTGACGTTTTGATTTTATTTGCCGGTTGTTGTAGATCTTTTAGAAATATTTTTAGATTTGATTTATTTCTTAACTTGTTTATCCTGTTTGGAAGATTTTTGCAGGAAAATATTTTGTTAAAGTGATAGAAATTTATTTTTATTTAGTTCTCAACTGTACGATGAACAGATCTAGACTAAAACGTGAACGGTAAGACGAGTGAATTTTTATACATTGTGAACACTTGACCGACTAGGCGACTACCATGCATGTACACTCGTATACAGCACAAACAAGTACTGAATATATTTTGGGTTCGTTCAGTTCAGTTTCTGAGTGAAACTGACGAGAGAGAAAAATATCAGAGAAGAAAATGTTTTTTCTGCTTTCGCAATGATAATAACGATGAATGAGAGCTTTGAAAGCTTTAAGAGGGAAAACTTTTTTACTTACCGACGAGAAAATATTTCAAAACGTGTTGAGGTAGGTTGATGAAGATTGTCTTCGAGTGAATCAATAATCCGCTTATGAAGAAATATTACAGGAAGTAAACTTGTTAGATTTTCAAGAGATTTGTCATTTAAGATTTTACGGATTTTTTTTTGCTTGCGGAACTTGGTAAATGCCGAAAGTTTGTCGTGTTGACTTCAAGAGAATTATTTAATTATTGCAGAAATCAATTTCACGCCTTCCGACACGTTTCTGTTACAAAGCTATGACGACATCAGATACTTAACAGCAAAGCTTTTTACTTCCATGTTTTTGTTTGTACGTGATGGTGATGATGACTTGGTAGCTGAAAATCGCAGAGATGGCTAAGCTTTTATGTAAATTAAACACTCATCGTTTCAATTTTTTAAATTTTTTTCTTATTTTTCTTTCTTTTATTTCATAAATTATGTATGTTGTTTTTATTTCTCCATTTTCCGTCACATTAAGCTTCATTTCCCTTCATTCGCGATCATCAATCTTCTCGTTATCTCTTGCACGGAGCGAAAAGTTGCGTGCAGTGCTTTCAGTTTTACATTCAGACTTTCATAAAGGATACACAAATTGTCAAAACGTGCAAGAGAAAAATCGAAAACAATAAAATGATGCTTTGAGTACAAAAAACACTTTTTTGTGTGAAGAATCGCAAGTCATAAATTACGATTCGAAATTTTAAAAAGAGAAAACAAACAAAAATGCTTGGACGATAAAGAGAATTGAATTAAAGGCTACATTAAAATAATTTAGAGCTTTGATTCTCCATCTTACTTACGAGTACAAACAAAAGAAAATCCAATTTTTAATTTTAAAAAAATCAGTTAGTTACATGTAGTTAATTGGGTGTGGGTGGATGTTAATTTCATCCAATATTTTACGCAAATACTCCAAAGGCAATAACATAATTTTATTTATTAATTTCTTCTCTTAAACTGTTTTCATCTTTTTGATGTCATTTCGAAAGTTTTTTTCTTCTCTTTTCTTATCTAATGATTGCGCGTTTTAAATTTCATCGTCAAGCCAATGATGATTTTGTCTCTGCTATTAATGGAAATTTTTCAAGCTTCTTGTGTTTTCCTTTTCATTCAAGTCTATAAAAACATTTTCTGTAGAATATTTGATTGATATTTATTGAAAAAATTTATTTAGAATCAACTCCGTAAAAAATTATTTACTTTCCATCCTTCACGTATTTCCTAAATTAAAGTCGCAAAACATGTTTTTTTTTTGTTTCCCTTTGTCAATCTTTCCTTTTTTTCATATTCCATAACTACGACATTTGAATTAATTAAATTGGAAAAAGTTTTTTCTTATTTTTTTCTTTCTTTTTTTGCAGAAAAGTAATAAAAAATAATTACAATTTACATCAAATTCATGTTTTGCTCAGATTTTTCATGCTAAGCAGAATTATTTTCAAGTCGTTAATTAATTTAATTCTTCTTCTTTTTTGTCATTTTCATGTTTCTTTTTTTAAATTTTCGTACTTTGGAGTGGTTTCCTTTAATGTAAACTTTGAAATTTTGTGATCTTTTAAACAATTTGTTTGACCAATTTGATTGTGGGAACTGAAAGTTCTTTGTCGAATCTTCGTAGAAATAAACAAATGAACGTTTTTGAGTCAACTGTAGTCATCCAGGGATGGTCGAGCTGCAGTTTTGAAATGAAAAATCACTCCAAAGTTGATACTATGCTAGTAATGTTGAAGCATTGAGAAAATTACTATTTATCATCATCATCGGGGTTAATCTTTTGTCCTAGTCGAAAGTTTATAAGCTTCTCTCAATAATCTTATGTTTAGACAAATTTCTTAATGACATCGTCACTCTAATTTTCTTAATTTTGTCAAATTCAGTAGCTGTTAGGACTTCTTAGGGATTCACCAAGAGAAAAATGTTTTTTAATTAAAATAAAAAATATTGAAAGAATTTTAATAATAAAGTTATGTTGCGTTTGAGTTCGACGATCATTGTTGGTGATTTTAAGAGTTCTTGAATGTCACCAAATCATCAACTCAATCAGCAATTTTTCTTTTTAATTTTTCATCTTTTTTTTCATGATTTTTTAATTTTTTTCTTGTATTTGTAATTAGGAAAAATTGAAAATTTTCATAATGAAAACTAATCTATTTAAATTACACATTCATGATTTTTTTTGTAGCTTTTCAGCTTATTTTTTCATTTTCATTTTGCTTCTTAGTTTTGAATAATTCTTGTTTTTTTCACTAAGTTTTTCACCATTTAAGGATCAATCACTCTTAAAACATCATCTTAGATAATTCTTCATATGAGTCTGACATTTTCTTTCTTTATTTATTTAGTTTTCTTTCGGACATCATCGTGTTTCATTCATGTTTATATTTATAAAGTAAAGTTTGCAAATCAAGGAAAATTATTAAGATGAAAGCAATGCGCGTTAATATTCCACAAGTAGGTAAAATAAATTGAAAAATTATAAGAGAAAAGAAAAGCAGAAAACATCGATGCGTTGTTTATGAAAATTTAAACAGAAAAGTTGAATAATTATTGTAGGAAATTTCCACGGCAAATGATTTTCTTTGAGTTTTTCATGGAATTTTCCTTAAATATTCTCAAAATATTATTCATCCTATGTATGCTTTTATTATTATAAGTTTTTTTACTTCATAAATTGAAAATCGCTTTCAGATGCATAAGTTGTAGGTGGGCAACAAAATAAAGATAAAAATGAATAGAAAATAAATGAAAATTGATTTTAATTAACGACGCAATAGGGATTAAGGATCGGTAGCCTAGCCAAGTAGCTTGTCATCAACGCAAACATTTGCATTTTTACACTCAGTTTGCCGCCTTTCATGTGTTTACGTCTTCATGATTCAATTTTTGTTTTAATTTTTTTTTTTCGAAATTATTGTTTTTTTCATCGTGAACGCTTTTGCGAAAGAATCAAAAAAAAAATGAAGAGAATTTTCTTTTTTTCTGTTATCAAAACGAATGTGGACTGTCGTCGACCACTTAAGCTCACAATCACTTATGATGAGCTGCCATTGACGAGCTTTTCGCTATTAGGTTGCTTAGTTTCATTCAAAGGATTAACTGATTTTTTATTACGAACGCCACCGCTGCTTCCTCCAGTACGATTTGCACGTTCACGTTGAGCTTTTGGTGGTGGACCATTTGAAGATGAATTTGTTGCATTTGCCGATGCTACTGGTGTCGGTTGTTGTTGCTGTTGTTGTTGTTGTGATGATTGGGTTTGTGACTGTTGAGCTAACAATTTCTCATTTGCGTTGACATCTACCGGAGTCGATGCTGTGACGGCGGCGGTACTGGTTGTGGTTGATGTGGTGCTGTTATTGGGATGATTACCAGAGCCTGTGTTGTTGCTTGTGTAGTTACCGTTTGCTGTAAAATGTGGATAAAACAATCCTTTTTTCAATGAATTGTTAGGAGAGTTGTTTTTGTTTGTGTCAAACAAAAATTGATAGAAAACAGAGTTAGATTAATAATACGACTATAAACTAGGATTAGATTAACTTAAGGATTAGGATCAAGATTTGCTCTTTGGATAATAAAATTAAAAGAAATTGTTAATTAATGATGCTGATTAGAACAAGAAATTTTGAATTTCAATTCAGCATCACATAAAGATTCACAAAAACAACTCACTTTGATTTCTATTGTTGCGTCGTCGACGTCTACTATTAGAATTTTCGTTGGATGATTGACTATCTGTAATAAAATTAATTTAAGATATTTCTTTATCTAATTCATTTAATTCTTCTTACCTCTATCAATTGAGCTTGCATGATCGCGATGCTGTTGCTCATCTTTCGGACCACGTCTAAAGTCTCCTTTTCCTTTATTTAATTGCGAATAATTTCCACCCGTAGAACGATTCGAACCGCGTCCACTTTGTAACTTATTGCTGTTACTGTAACTAATCCCACGATGGAAATCTTCCTCATTATTCTCATCACCTCGATCATTCCCACGTCGGTTACTATAACGAGGATTACCAGAGTTCGATCCCATGCTGTTACGTCCACGATTTGATCCACGACCACCTCGTGATGATCCACGATTTGAGCGTGAATCATAATCATTGCTGTAAGCACGATCCGATCGACGTGACATTGGGAAATTTTGCATTGAACTCATTCCGCTCCCTTGAATAGCTCGCAGTTGTTGATCAATTTCTTGCTTTTCTTGTCGCAACTGTTCAACTTCCTGCAACAAAATTAAACAATTACGAAATTTATAATTAAACTTTGAATAAAAACAAACCTTGAGATGACTGAGATGATACTCGAGAAGAATTTTAGCGTTTCCAATGCTTTCCATCGTACCAACAAACACGAAGGGTACCTGACCTTCTTCACGTGGTTGTATCGGCTCCGGTTCATTGTCACCCTCAATTTTCACTCTCACAACACCAGATTTGTCGACAATCTCCTGAATCACTCGTCCATTCTTTCCAATTACTTTTCCAACTAAATTTCGTGGCACATTAACCGACTCCTCGCCATATTCCAACATACTTCGAGCTTTCTTCACAACTTCCATGTTCTAGAAATCATCAAAAATGAAGAATTAAAGAAAACAAAATCAAAGTCAATTTTCACCTCGCCGGAAATCTTAAACGTGCAGGAATTTTCTTCCAATTCAATATTTGTAATGCCTTCAAGTTTACGAGCAAATTGTATGTTTGCTCCATGTGCTCCAATTGCCAGACCCATCAGATCTTCTCGAACTTGAAACTCATCGCTGAACCTTCAACAAAAAGAAAAAAAAAACATATTGAAACAATTGAATAAACATAAAAACTGGAATTTCCATTTTACCAAAAGAAAATAAAATTAAAAAAAAGCACAACAAATGCGATGCCACATCATTCACCCAGTTAATCATCTTCACACGATTATTCTTTTAAAAATCTTTCTCCTTCTAACTTAAAGTCAAAAACACGACAAAAAGATGAAATTAAAAATAGAAAACACAACAAACATTTTGTTAACTAATTCTAATTTTATATGAAAGGATCATGCAGTTGTTTTTGTACCTTACACGTCCGTATTCATTTTTTCCACTACGATGTGTCGTGGTTGAACTGTGATGGGGTGGAAAATGCGAGATTATCGGTTAGAATAAGAGAGAAAAGAAAATCTTGCGAAGCTTAAGAAGGAATCATGACGAAAATGCGAAGCTTTTGAATGAGATTTGACTGCTTTTGGATGATGTTGGAATGTTAGTTCGTTTCTCAAGCAGATGAGCTTTCTCTCAATCAAATTAATTGATAAACAATACAAATATGAAATAAAAATAAGTTCGCCCTTTCAACTCACCCTCCAGTCGTGTGAAGTTTCGTTGATTCTAGTTGGCGGGCGGCTTCTTCTGTTTTCTTAAGCAGGAACACTTTTTGTGTTAGATTGCGAAAGTGCATGTCGTGCATCATGAGAGCTCGTTTTTGTGTTGATTCAAGACGTGAGGAGAGGACCAGCACACCTTTCACTGCATCGTAGCGACATAATCCAGCCCCACATGACTTCTGAAACTCCTTATGAACACCTTCGACTTTGGCAAATTCACGTAACTCTTCGGGCACTTGAATCTCGAAACGGAAGAAGGTTTTGTTGTCGATCGGTTGATTAGGATTTTTAACACGGAGACGATCTTGAGACACGATTTCAGTGTAACTGTTATCCCATCCAAGATATTCAACAACATAAAAATCGCCTTTCATCATTTTTATCGCAGCTGCCCACCAACCACAAGCTTCTCGATCATTCGATCGTGAAAAGACTTCTATCTCCATGCCTTCTTGAAAGCTTGTGCTGTTGATTGTTGTTTGCTCTGGTGGTAGACGAATTTGACTGAAGAGGAACTTAGATTCAGGCTGCCAACTGGAAGTGAAAGAATAAATATTGAGAGATGCATTTAAGTCACGTAGGAATTCAAACTTACTCATTTTCAAATGATACCATCAAACCATCGTCCAGTACATCACTTGCGGTCCCCTAATTAAAAGGATATTATAAATAGAATTAATTTTTTTCGAAAAATTCGGATGTTGCGACACACACACATCCAGTAACAACGAACGAAGAAAAAATATTTTTCTCCATCGCGACTGCATTGATTTTTTTATTGGCTTTCTTTGAAAAAAAAAACTTTTTTTTTGATAGCTTACAAGGACGTTTGAAATAATCTTTTTATACAATGAGTCACCAAATTATAACCGCGATTGGAAACACAAAAATTTTTTACCCTCCCGGCAGAATAATTCCCCATTTTCTTACGATTTGAGAAGAAAATTTTTCTTTGCCGAAAAATGTGCTTGTTTTGCTTCGATATTTCTAAGAATTTCATCATAAGCCAACAACGTGAAGCGTCAGCAACAGCTTTTAAGATATTTACCTTGTACCAAGCGCCATTTTCACCACAGATCTCCACAATTTCATCCATTCTTTTTTAATTTTCTACTGATAGGATGAGCAAAACCGAGCACTTTATATACAAGTTTCGATCAGTATTGTGAGAAAAAATTTCGTGCTTCACGTCAATTCAACCGTACAACTGATTCACACTTGTACATTGTTGCTCATGTTGCTCAGAATTTGAATTCTTCTTCGTCGTTAAAAATTTTAATAATTTCACCATTTTATTTATTGAAACAAATTTATTTAAAATTTTCAGTTAACTTAAATATGATTTATGTAAATAAAGCTGCATAATTCTATTTTGACATACGCAATACAATTGTAATACATTCATCAACTGTATAATTATTTAAAAGTGAATTAATGTGATCTTCATCAAGAACTAAAGCAAAAAGTTGTTTTGTATTTTCGCGCATTCTTGTTGAAACATCGTCATCTGTTTCACTTTTTAAGATTGGCTTTCGACTGCATTGCTCTAGAACTGAACACAAAACATCATCAATCGGTTTCTTCCCAAATCCTAGCTCTTTAAGTAAACTCTTCTCTATGACAATCTCGAGAAGTTCTGAGATTCGTTCTGTCAACAGTTTGTCGTCTAAGAATATTGGCGCTCCATCCTCTTCGTCCTCATTGTACTCAACAACTTCATAAATTTCATCAGATGACGGCTGTGACTCTTCCTTCATATAAATTATTTCAATGTCGTCGCTCTTATTCAAAGTCTTGATGATTTTCTTCGTCTCTGCTTCAACAATAATTTGTTGAAGTGTCTCTCGATGTTTTGCACGAACATGACGAACAAGACAATCCATTCGAAGAAAGTCTTTGTTACAATAGCTGCATCTTGCTGGCTCTTCAACCTGATGAATTCGTCTAATGGAAAAAGAATTAAATTTGTTTCCTAGTATGATTAAAAATGTCATCAACTTACTTATGAATGCGAACTGCAGCTTTGGTTACAAACTTTTTATCGCACACTTCACAAGGATGAGTTCTTTCACCTATATGCATCTCAACATGTCGATTGAGATCTTCACGTCGCATAAATTTCTTGCTGCACATGTGGCAAGACGGCATTTCCTTCTGTAATTTTCAACATTTAATTAACGTTTGAGTAACTTTCATAATCATAATTCTTACCTTTAAATGAATGTATTCTAAGTGTTCTCGTAATCGTGTTTTCCTATTGAACTTCTTACCACAAATGTCACCTAAAAATAAGTTTTTCTATGAAATTTCGCGATTTCTAACAATTTATGTTCATTTTTACATGTCATCGCATTGTCACCATTATGATAAAACATATGAGCTTTAAGTTGCGTATTTTGAATGAAATCTTTTCCACAAATCAAACATTTGTGATCACGTTTTCCAGTATGAGTACGAACATGACGATTCAGTGTTTCTTTAGCAGCAAAACGATTACCGCACATGGGACATTGGTAAGGTCGTTCACCTGTGTGAACTCGACGATGTTTTGTTAACGCTCCTGAAGATGGAAATCCTTTGCCGCAACCTTCCCATGTACAAATATAAGGCTTTTCACCTATAATAAAAGTTATTAATTCAAGTACATATCATAAATGATAAATTCAACTTACGAGTGTGAGTACGAACGTGAATATTCAACAATGAAGATCCGTAGAAAGTTTTTTCACAATAAGGACATTGAAAGTCACGAGAACGAGGCTTTTGACCAAGATGGGCACGAAGATGCATACGGAGATTGTCAATCCTGGAAAACTTCTTGTCACAAACTTCACATGCAAATTCTTGTCGTTCAATGTTTCCGGGATTGCAACTTGTATGCGTTAAGTGACGTTCCAAATGATATTTTCTTGTGAATGTTTTATGACATGTTGTGCACTGAACAGGTTCTTTTGGTTCTGGGTTAGCATTAGATTTCGGTTTTCGTTTTTTGTAAGGCTTTCGTTGCTTCTTTGACGAATCTTGAATATCTTCTTTGACATCTTCAATTATTTCGAATCTTTCTTCTCCCTCATATTTATCTAAATCTGTCTCCTCAATAGCCAGCTGATAAACTTGAGTAAGACAGTCATGTTGTGCATATTCTTCTTGCGTCTCAAAAGCTCCTTGGCATCTTCGACACATCAGCAAAGGTTGCTCCAAAATTCCTAAAGAAAACACTTCCGTAGAACTTTCAGTCGTTATTTCATTTTTAACAAATTGCTTTTGTTTTTGAGGTGTTGAATTCTCTTTCAATGGTGATGTTTTATTCTTAGATCCTTTAGGACGACCCATGTTTGGATGCTGAGGTAATATTTCTTGATAATTTATTACAGTTTCAAAACGTAAACAAAGTAAACTTTTATTATTTATGTTCAATATTAAACAATTCTTGTGAAATAATTGTCAAAATCACAAAAGGCACTTTGTGTTGTAATGCTTAGAACAAAAACAGGCAAAAAAGCTAATTACAAACAGAAGAAACTAAATATTTATATTAAATTATAAAAAGATTTAAACGCCAAATTAAAGCTAATCGAAAGCGTTTCTTAATGTTTCCTTCTAAATTTATTTATGTCTGACTGTCATTAGTAGATCTCTTAGATCGATTTGAATTTAACGTCCACTTTTGTGATTTAATTTAGGTATAAATTTATTCCTCACATTTGAAATGCTTTTACATTAAATTATAAATATTTATTCTTTCCATTTCCATACATGGAAAAAACTTTAAATCTAGTGATTGAATGTAAAATTTGAATTTTTATTATGTTAATTTCGTCCGTCGACAGCTGTAAAAGAAAAAGAATTTAAAGCGGAATGAATAAGCGATGAATATAAAAAATCCGAAAATTATTAATAAAACCATCACAGCACACAATGCAGCTTGTTGTTTAACATTATTTATTTTCAGTAGATCTATCTCAAGGAAAATACCTATCTTCACTTTCGGGAAGATAAACAGGAAATGTAGCTCAGATTTTATTACAAACTGCAGTGAAAGATCGACTCTTCGTAACTTTGATTTGCTAAATTTTATTCTATTAAATGATGAGAAAGCTTTTTCAAAAAATTATTCTATTTTTACAATTTAGGTAATTGGATCTAATAAAAAAATTTATTTATAGGTAATAAATATCTAATCCACGTGTAATCTCCTGCTGTAAAAATGTTCAACTATTTCTAGGGGAAAAGTTTTCCCATAGCAACATCAAATTTATAAACATAAACAGAAATGCGTTGCTTGAAAGTCCTACATAAGAAATGTCCAATCAGTCTGCGGTTTAAAGCTTTATAAAAAGCATTAAAATCCCAATACAAAATGATTTTCTAGCAATTATTAAATAAAGGTCATCGTGTCATATTTTTCTAGAATATTTTGTTTTCTTTTTCAATAAAATTTATGTAAGAGTAGTGAAAAATTACGAATTAATGTCAAGCAACATAATCGAAGGATAGAAAAAAATTTAAACAAAAATGACTGAAAATAATTTAGATCCGGAAATATGGAAGAAGACTCAAGATAGTCTCGGGAAGTTTGTGAAGAAGCCTCCATTAACAGAGAAACTTTTGAAGAAGCCTCCATTTAAATTTATTCATGACGTTGTGAAAGTGGTAAGAATAGTTAAGAAAATTATTTAATGCATCGTCACATTTATCGATCCAACCAAAATGTTTGTTATCGATCATTGATACTTAGCAAGTTTTGCTTGTTTGTTTGTTTGTATGTCTCCTTAACAGGTGATCCGTGACACAAATTTCCTTACGGAACTCTTCACTGAAAGTGAATTGAATGTTGATAATATTAAAGATCGTGATGGGAAAATGAAATTTCTTCAAAAACTTATTGATGTAGTCAGTGAGTGTGTCAACTTAATTCCCATGAATATATGTCTGACTCATTAATTATTCAAATTGTAATTTTCTGTCTAGAAATTGTAACGAAAAAAGAGCTTCAAGTAAAAGCCTCGAAAATTGTAGCTGGTCTTGAACCAGAGAAGACAAACGAATTATTTCAAGCAATTGGCTATGCATTAGAAAATAATTTGGATAGTAAAGCAGCGATCGAAGCCATCAAACACGGATATCAAAATGGTAATGAATCAAAATCGAAACAGAAGACAAGTAAGGGTGAAACCAAGGAGAAAACTCCCACAAGTAAAGCAACAAAAAATCAGCTGCCATCGCGTGATAAAACACCGGCAAAACCTGAAACAAAAAAATCAATAACAACGCAAAGATCAGTTGATAAAAAAACGTCTTCAAAAGATAAAGAAAAGAAGGAAAGATCGACAAGTAAATCACGACCAAGTGAAGTTAAAGATTCAAAGAAAGTTAAGAAACTTCCTTCGAATGAAAAGATTAATGGTGAAGTTTTGACGAATGGTGGAAGCATCGAAAGTCAACACAGTTCCATTCATTCATTACAACCAAACTCGATTGAAAGGAAAGAAGAAATCGAAGATATTCAAGAGACAACAGCAATTCAACAAAATTTTCTTCAAGTATCTGAAGAAGTCAATAAAGAACATGGCGAATTGAAAATCAATGGAGATGTTCATCATGAACCGGAAATTGCTGTCAAAGACACTCCACCACCACCTGAATCAATTACAAAGCCACAAGATGAGTTGGCAGCAATCATTGATGAAGAAGCAGAGTTCAGAAGAAAAGAAAAATTGAATAAAAAGTTTTCAGCAAAGCATCGACAAAAGTCAGTTGAAGAAGTGCAACCGCCACCATCAACAGAGCCATCAGATGCATCAAACCGCCCAAATCAATCTGAGAGAACAGAAAGATTTCAATCGTCTTATAAACGGGAATCTGTTGATCGACCTCGCACATCATTGCGACCACCTTCAGCTCGACCAGCAAGTTCGAGACCTGCTGCGCCAAGAAGACGTGATAAAAATGTTAAGCAAAAAGAACATTTGAAAGATTTGCTTCAAAAGTTAGTTCGATCAGTGAATCCAATGGGGAAGTTGATGGATTTTGTGCAAGAAGACATAGATTCAATGCAAAGAGAATACACAAAATGGGATGAAATTTACAAACAAGCGACGATTGATTTGAAAAGAGAACAAACGTAAGCGATTGATTATCAATTTTTCAATTTTAATTAATTTTTTTTTTTAAATTCAGGGAAACTGCAAGTGCAATTGAACCTTTAAAATATCAGTTGGGTCAACTCGAGAAACTGATTAAAGAACATCACGAGACGATTGATCAACTGTGAGGCAATCTTTTACTTAATGAACAAAAGATTGTAAAATTATTTACAGAATTATA